TTGGCGTCAAGAACAGACGGGTCGAGTTCACTGCTGAACATTGCAGCCAGCATGGAGTCTGGGTAGCGTGTCAGAGTCGACCGCGTCGTGGTGTACAGGCAGCCGCCAACATTCAGACTGACAATGTCATCCATTTTCTCGTCAGTCCCTGCAGAGGAGCATCCTTTGGCCTCAAAAAAGGAGTTGCTGAACAACTCAATAACGATCAGGGTTCCAATGGTCCACACACACAATTTAACAACATCTTTGCTGTTTTGGCAGATTAATATTGCTCGCATTGGCACGACACGTTTGTTATGGCTGTTAGTGTACGATGCATCGAATGATCTCCAACAATGGCGGTGATTGAACTCAAAGGTTACTAAATAATACCAGAATACTTAGACTTGGCCCACGTTGGGTGCTGCGCTAGGTCTGCTTATGATGATCATGCATGATCATACTAAGCAGACAATGGGCGTCGCTAGGATTTTTTCAAGAGTGGGCAAAGCACATTTTGTTCCCCTAAATCCATGTACATTTCCAGCATATTCTCAATAAACATTTTTTAGGGTGGACAGCGGGACATTTGCCCCTCCCCGCCACCCATTAAATTAACGGTAATATGACTTTGCACCTCTTCCCCCGCCCCTTTTTTTTTAGTGTTGCTTTTCCGGGGGGCATCCCCCCCCCCCCCCCCGCTTTAAAATAACATGCGCCCTCACCATCCGTTCTACATCAACATCTTTAACAGTTTATTTATAGCCCGTGTGTATTTTACTCCGCTATCATGCGGCGACTGACGGCGTCACATTCAAGGCTAACAAAAATAAGGAGACAAAATCAAAGATCAAGGACAGCATACTAGGCCTACGGAGAAGGTCGACATTTATTACGAGCAATATTTTTTGCATCACCCGAGCTTGGCTCAATAACGTCATGGGGAACCCCCGATCCTTGCAATCAACGGTTCAGCAACACAGGAAAATAAATCACGACATATTTCGATATAAAGATGTTTGTGTTGATTTGGCAGTTATCATTTGACTTTAATTGACGAATTCTAATAATAAAACAACTGAAGCGATGTGTGTGCCACAGATACGATTCACAGCATGCGTTAAAATTATTGCTAGTAAATTTGGTTCACTCGCATTAACGGTGGATTTGTATCTTTCTTTGCACTGAAATTGCCAAAATGTCAAGTAAATGTCAGTTGTGTGGATGATCGAATATAGACTTAAAACACGACGATGGCTATTATTAAGTGAAATACAAATGTACTGTTTTGTCAAAAATTGACCCGTGTCCAATAACAAATACTTTAAATCACTCTTAACATTTTTACTAAAATACAAAAACTTGCATGTCTTTTTTTTTTTGCCATTCAATATTCCATTACATGAAAGATTTACATGTTACTGTTAGTTACTTTTGTATCACCTCCAGCTGTGTAAGGATTCTATAAAGTTTGTCCGTATGGTTCTGCGAAGGAGTGCACGTCAGGGGTTTGTGGAAGAACATTAATTGTTATCGTCGTTTTGGGGGACGACAGCTTGAGCCGTTGATATCCATCACGTTAATCTAGACCTTCCGAGCAAAAGTCCATTCTTTATTCCTATCAGAATCACAGAGTACCGCCTTCAGTTCAAAGCCGTGCTCCACTATCTCTCGGAAAACAAGCATGCGTTTATCTCCAACAGGCTCTGAATAATATGTATATGAAGTGCTGCAGTGCTGAATCATGCCCTGTTGCTTGACAACATCCAGAACATCACCTTCGTAATATGCGTCGGTGTTGAGAAACGCCAGAATAACGGGCAGGTTTCCCAGGGTTTCGATGCTTCCTATGTACATCATGTCCATTATTGTATTCCGTATTTGTATCTCTACGAATTCGAATTTTGGACTTTTCGAGGAGTCCTCTGGTGTGACCCGCCGCATCTTTTCCGCCATCACCGCATCTGTCAAATCTCCAACCTGGTAGAAGTCGGCCTCTGAGGTCAGTAGGTCCCATTCCTTGAAGTCCTCCGGAAGATTGAGCTTTCCCCGTCGGAGGAAGTTGAGAACGTGGCGGAAGATGGGCCCGTCTCCGTCGATGGTATAGGCCCCGTTGGCGTCACGAACAGACGGGTCAAGCTCACCGCTGAACATGGCCGCCAGCATGGAGCGCGGGTAGCGAGTCAGAGTCGACCGCGACGTGGTGTACACGCACCCGCCAACATTCAGATTGACAAGGTCATCCATTTCCTGTTTCGAATCCCTGCAGAGAATTCCAGCGTATGTAGGGCTCGAACTACTCGAACACTATTACTGATCAAAGAAAATTCAACTTCTAGGCCTAGGTCTATTAGTGTTCCAACTATGGCGAGTGGTCTTCACACATTCGTACACCGCAGCAGTTCCGTTTTGAAATTGTTCCTGCTCAGCAAATGTGTGTCCGCCCGTCGTTAACTATATCGCCCGGCGCTGCATGCAGTTCACGTACCGTGCCAGGTCGAGTGCAATTATGCATAATGAGATGATGTGACATTATGTTCAAAACTGTCGTGGGCGTGACAATATATATTTTCGACACATGTACAACTGAGACGGGTGCATATCTAGGTTCATCAATAGGTTTTGGGAACATTGGTACTGGGGAACATCGGGTAGATCCCGCTGAGACCACAAGGCCCGATTGCGGTAGTTGTATCACTCGATTATTTCAACTGGAAAGCATTGATTTGTGTGGTGGTAAATACACCGGTGGCTTTTCCCCCACCCCTACCCTGGCCTGCCCCCCCCCCCCCCCCCCCCCCCCCCCCCCCCCCCCCCACACACACACACACACTCAAGGCCCTAGGTCGCGTCAATGACATCAGTTTTTGAAAAGAGGACACTACGATTGGTTCCATCTTTGTAACGAGCAATATTCTTCGCATAACCGAGCTTGGCTCGATGGACGTCAAGGGGAAAACCCCGATCATTGCTATCAGATGTCACGTACGCCACATCAAAATGTACACAAAGCAATATAGTTGGCCTTCAGGATTCCCCAAGTGACGTCAGAGTACTGCTTTGTAATTTTTTATCTTTTTTATAATACAAAAATAGCAATCCCGTTTTTATGGCGTCGAGGAAGATGCTATATTTTATAGCTCCCCCTTCCCCTCACCCTAACCCTCTCTGGAAAGAGCAGCCAGTGAAATCATACTGCTCGACCCACGGGGCCGGGGGCGAGGTCGTGTCACCCCTTGTTGTTGAGTAACTCGCCCGAGTATTTGCATCGTGTTTCGAAGGATACACGTTTATTTCTCACACCTTACATGGTATCTTAATTAAGTGTGTTCTAAAAGTGTATCGTAAGTGTCTTGATGGGACACTGGCTCGGATATCTAATCTGAGAGTCGAATTAGACTTTTAGAGACGTATATTCGAGACTGAAATCACAAGTCTAAATGCATGGTATTCTCTTGAAAGATCGGTCAGTGACCGCAGAAATAGAGCCAGGCGATTTTTATTTCGCATCAGTTTTAATTTGTAAGGGGGGGGGGGGATTAAGCTATTAAAATCCATTTGGCGCTTGACAAAAATAAAGCGTGCCCTCAACAATAACTAAAATCATTATCGATCACTGACGTCTCGATTAAAGACTACTTCCTGACCTCCGCCGCTCCAACCTGACCCTGCTGGACGACTTCCTGGAGATCGACCTCCCGGCCGCTGAGGGCGGACTTCTATCAGATCCAGGAGCTGATCAAGGCCATCTTTGATGCATTTTGATTGTTTAGTTCTGCAATAAAATGATACTCCACCACCACAGTTTGTACGACCTCACGCAGGTTAATGGGAAATTGTATGTGTACTGAATTCAGTATTAGACTGATGTCGTTATGACAAACAAATATGTACTCCTTTTTTTTCAATTTCTTGAATTTATTTTAATAACTGATGTTATGCACACTAGGTTGAATATCACAAGCCTTGAAATGATTATAGAAATGTAATGGACGGGCCAGATAATTATAATTATCTTACAGTCGTTTTATCCATGGCAACATGAAGAATATTATCAAGACAATTGTGTGGCCGCATAGTAGAAAACCCTGAAAAATGCAACACCCGACAAAATAAATAGATAGCTTCTCCATCTGCTCGACCCCATTATTTAAACTCTTGCTGGAGCGAGCACCTTCATGCCTCCACAACATGTAATTTGAGCCACCCGACCCTCACAACCAGCCCATTCACCCCTGATTAACCTCTGGCATGTCTGGAGTATCTCTCAGGCCCCAAACAGCCGTTAAAACCACAGACATAACCACATTTGACATATTCCATTTTGGTCACAGGGGTGATCGAAATAATCCCAACGTTTAAAGTGCATTTGTACACAAGCCTATGTAAATGTGCACAAGCACACAGGGTTTTCCCGCCAATTTTCAACCCCTCCAGTAGATCACAAGACTGACACCCCCTCTGAAGGACGTACTATGGTCCATACTAGGATCTGGCGATAGATGGCCCCGGGTGTGTTTACCACATGGCCAGGACAATATAAAACATAAAAATGTGTAGAGTCAATATTCCATCCTGATTAAGGGGAGGGCGACAAACTGTTAAAATTTGTTATGCATTATTCAATTAATATAAAGTGCACCATCTATAGACACTGTCATGCCCATTCTATGGATCATTACCGTGACGCTAATGCAAAATCAATGAATGTACATTGCACTTTGAACTAGCACAATATGTTCAAGTGTTGAAAATTAAAAAAGCAAGGCTATTTGTTTACCCAATTAATATTTCTATTGACGACGGTGTCACATGAAAATCCGACTCCTATGGAAATCGGACCGCTATTTCCCTATTATTGGTTGATCCCTCGCACGTGACAGGTCACTCTCCCGAAACGATCCTAAAAATAGCACGGTATCGCACTCACGCGTGCGCAGTACTACCAATGAGTCCACATTTCACGGAGTCGGATATTCACGCTACACCGGCATACGGAGTTTTGGATACCACGGTTTGTCATGGCGGAACTTATCGAGCTTAATGTAGGCGGCTGCCTGTACACCACGACGAAGTGGACACTGACTCGCGACCCGAACTCCTGGCTGGGCAGAATGTTCAGTGTGCCAGACAATATTCCCGTCCGAGTAAACGGAGCTTACTTCATCAACGGAGACGGGCCCATCTTCCGCCACGTCCTCAACTTCCTCCGACGGGGCAGGCTGATTCTACCGGAGGACTTCAAGGAGTGGGACCTGCTGGCTACGGAGGCCAACCACTACCAAGTCGGGGCTTTGGTGGAGGCAGTAAAGAAGGAAAAGTATCAGAGGGTCATAGAGATATCTGCAATTCCAAACGTGAGCTACACATACACTGGCAGCAGTAGTATCCTAGAGAAAATACCATCGCTTGTTGATTTTTTCAAACCGTACCAGTCCGCTCCACCTCAAGTTATCACAGGCGGGCAGGTCACCCTCACAGTAAAACCAGCTGGTGGGAAGCCTCACTCTACGGCCGAGACTCTCCACCGTAGATTTGAACACAATCTGGTGGCGATCATCCAGGAGATAGAACGGCTTGGGTTCCAAGCGGAGAAAGAGACCTGCACAATGAACAATTCCAGGCAACAGGAGGAACTCCGCTTGACCTTTTTCCGGCGCATTGGTGGTTAAAAAAGACCATTCTTACTCGTACGTTGGTCGCAGTACGTGCTTCCCGAGTTTGTTCTCCGCCTTTGACCCGAAATTACGATGGATATAAAGGCTGGCACTGCTCAGACTTTCGTTGAAAAAAACAAAGTACACTCTATCAGCTTAGCTAATATGGACAAACTTTATAAAAATCCTTCAAATTTTCACAGAACAAGATGCTTCAAGGGAATGGCGATCTAGCCTGCAAACCGGCCTCGTACTTTGTCGCTATTTTATTTAGAGGTTTTCTTTTAAAGGGACACTGGGTCCTAGGACAGCTTTTTGGGCTACAAAACGTGCTTTGAACGAAATGATGTTAATCGGAAAGAACATTTATTGCTTCCATGTATACGGCCATTAAGATATACATGTAGTTACAATGTACTTAGTTTTTAGCGTTCATTGTGACTTTTATCATCCAAAATTATTTTTAAGTATTTAGAGTGTCTTTTCTGTAACAAAAAGTACGGCGTTCCATCAATCGCTTTTCGTGTTTCAATATCATATGTTTTATCATTGTATTTCTATTGGTTCACTTTAGTAACCTAATTATGTTCTGACCGGTTATAAGCTTTGGTCGTTTAGATAGTTTACATGATAACGAATTAGTTTCATTTGTTCAGCGTAATGCCTTTATGTTACAAGCAAACCGTCATCAATTCAGAAATAGTTTGAAAGCATGTCACATAACAATCCAGTTACCCACTAAAGTGTTATGATTATATTAGCATCGTCAAACTAAATCGTCGCTTTGCTCACGAAGTGACAAAAACCTCCAAAATCGATAATTATTCGATTTTGAGGTTTACTAGCCATTTTATTATAGTTGTCTCAAGGAACAATTTGACCAAGTTTCAAGGCAAAATATTGTTTACTTTCTTAATTATTGTAAACAAACAATTGACAAAAAGCCTGAAATCGGTGATTTTCATTTTCACAAAGTGTAAAATGTTCTCACGAAGTGACAAAAAGTCACCTCGTGAGCAGGGCCAGAAATTATACAATGGTCTATTCGCGGCAGGATGGAAGCATACACGCGCGGGCGAACGATGTTGAAAAAGAACAGACGCGCGCGCGCTCAACTGTCGTGACGCGCAAAAGTAACAAGTTTGTTGCGTCGAAAAAAAGATTCATGATCCCACGAAGTGACAAAAAACTGTGTACAAAGTAATTGGCAAAATATGGGAGCCAAAGTTCTGATGTTCTCACGAAGTGCAAAAAAGTTTATTAATGAATTACTGTTTAATTACGAACTATTTTAACAAACAACTATGAACTAACAAAGAGCAAATCATATCCTATCGGACAATGTAAAAAATTCCGAATTCTGTTACTGCAAAATGGTCGAAAATGTCCTTTGAAAAAATGAATAACTTCAAATGCGATTATCTCAGAATGAACTTTTGTCAAATTTTGAGGTTTTTGTCACTTCGTGAGCAAAGCGACGAAATGTAGCCGTGTTGTAAATTCATAATTAACAATCGATAGTTAGTACTTGTGTCTACTTATAGTCAAGAATTATTTCTATGAACAAAATAAAAAAAATATACAGATATCACAAATTAACAAAACTAGACGATTTGACGACGTGTTCAATTATTATCATTGGTCAATAACAAAAAATTAAATGAACGATAACCATTTTCAGATTTGAAAGATCCCATAAAAGGTGTTGTCAATAAAGTAAACATTGCGTCACCGAGACCACGAAGTAACACCAAAGTCCAATTCAGTGTTACTTCGTGAAAACCGCTTAATGACAAATCGTCACCGACACCACGAAGTAACACCCATCTATATACCAGTAAAAACTAACAATCGGAGGAAAACGGCAACTAAAGTTGAACGCCTTCTAAAACAACACTTTGTGTCAAAACGACAGAGTATTTTCAGTTGGGTTTCTCGTTGTGGACACCTGATGAATTGAATTTATTAAATCTGCTGTTTTTCACCCGTTTGTGTATTAAATAAACAAGAAATAAGAGAAAAAAAGATGAGTGTTAGTTCGTGAAACCGAAAAGGCTGCGAAACTGTAAATTTTCGTTTTCACGAAGTAACACCCTTCAATGTATTCGACACGAGGAAAGTGCAACTACAGGTCAGCGCGCGCGCTCACACAACTTGTTACAAGAAGAGTGTTACTTCGTGATAAAGTTCTTGTCAGCAGAGTGCGCACCATGCATTGCAATGGTAAATGGAACTTGAGTGTTACTTCGTGAAAACGAAAATTGTCACTTTGAGCAAAAGTTGCCATGGATACTTAGCGTAATTATTAAAGTAAAGCTCTTGAAGCTTTGAAACTTCGTGCAATGGTGGGCCTTGATGAATAATTTTTAAAAATAAAAAAACTGAAAATCGAGGGGAAAAAATGGTTTAACACGGTTAGAGTGTTACTTCGTGGTGTCGGTGACGAAATGTTGGTTGGTTTCACGAAGTAACACTCAAGTGTGCGCGCGCACATCGGACACTGGCGCGAACGATTTTCGTTTCACAACCTTACGGAAATACTATTTGGATAAAAACGTTTTTAAAACGTTTGGCAGGAATGTAATTAAGCCGTTTTTCTTGTGTGATTACAGAACATTTTTAATAAAAAGCCTTTAAACTGGTGAAATAAAGATGAGTGTTACTTCGCTAAAACGAAAATGATCGATTCAGCGCACAGTGTACATGAGTGTTTACTTCGTAAAAACAAAAATCACTCGGTTCTGTAAAATGCGCGCGCGTAGCGCGACTGAAGTCCACTTGGGTGTTACTTCGTGGTGTCGCTGACGGTTGAGAGGGAGTCGTGTGAATAAAAACCCAGGAGAATGAAGACCCTACCATTCTGGTGGTGTTTCTCTTGTATAAATATGAATAATTATGACAGTTGTATAATTGATAGGATCCATCAATTTAATTAATTAAAGGTAAAGAACTTCCAGCCGAAAATCCTTTTGATTTAGACAACTAAGCTCCGCTAACAAGGGCAGCTTTGGAGCACTTTTGCACCTTCTTGTGAACTTCTCTTGCGGGCGCAGCGAAGCAGTTCACGGTAAGATGCACTCGCCTCGGGAAGTGATGTCCAAACTTGTAGATTTAAACTGACCGCACACGGGAGCCTTCTGCTCACGTCATCGGCAACGAATGACTTTTGGCGAAGCAGATAGCTCTCGTGTGCGCCAGGCTTAAGAGAAGGCATATCAGGATCTCTGATGAGCGTCTTACCCAAACAAAATCCACCTTCTTAGATAGCTCATCCGCCTTCATAGGTGCATGGAAGAAACATGCATTCGTGCCTTATCTACATGTATATTATAGATTTGTTATATAGAATACATATTCATGAACCCTCCGTGAAAAAGGTACTTTACGCCCACGACAGTTCACCCATAATGACGCATATGATCTCATTTAATCAGTGTACTTCCGCTCTACGTTCCATGTTTTCAATGTAGTGCATGCAGCTTGCAGCTTTGGTACGGCGGGTTATATGTGACGGGCAGACACACCCCTGCCCCACGCACTCAACCACAAAAGAGCGAGGACCACAGACTCGACTTGGTTGGAACCCTCAGAGTTTGACTTTTCTTTATTCAGCAAATCGTGTTCAAGCCCTAAAGAAACATGAATTTTTGGCAGGGGATTCCATACAGGAAAATGGATGACATTGTTAAGCTTGATGTTGGTGGTTGTCTGTACACCACGACGCGGTCGACTCTGACTCGCTACCCGGACTCCATGCTGGCTGCCATGTTCAGCAGTGAACTTGACCCGTCTGTTCGTGACGCCAACGGGGCCTACGTCATCGACGGAGACGGGCCCATCTTCCGCCATGTCCTCAACTTCCTCCGACGGGGAAAGCTCAACCTTCCGGAGAACTTCAGGGAGTGGGAGCTGCTGGCTTCAGAGGCCGAGTTTTACCAAGTTGGAGGTTTAATTCATGCAGTGCAGGCGGAAAAGTGTAAAAGGGTCACTTCAGCCGACGCCAAGAAACGTCGAAAATTCGAATTCATAGAGATAGACAAGGATGATAGCGCTTATAGCCTGGATGTAAAGTACATTGGAAGCAGTGAAACACTGGCAAACTTACCTGCTTTGTTGGAGATGTTCGAATCCTCTAAATATGGAAGTCAGGTCCTGGATGTTGTCAAGCGAGAGGGCAAGATCATGCATGAATCACAAGATCTTCCAATAAAAGTTATCAAAATAAACGCATGTTGATTTTCCGGGACATACTGAATCACGGATTTAGACTGGAGGAGACTAATTATCCGGAGGATGGGCAGGCAACATTTACTTTCATTCTGAAGATCTAGATTGACGAGATGGATATCAAGTCATGTTCAGTTCAGACTGTCATTCTACAAAAATGACGATAACAATTTTATGCACTTTCCTCAAACCCCTGTGTACTCGATTGCTGAACCACACACGGACGAACTATGGAATCCTTACCAAAGTGATAACTTAATAACAAGTAATGCCTTCATGAAAATAATGGAATACTTAAAATATACTTAAAACTTAAAGACGTGTGTTTACGTTTTCAGTAAAAATAGAAGTAATGTTAGAAAATCTACACTGAAAACAACATGACACGGGTCAAATTTTGACGCGGTTATAGTATTTTCGTTGTTTTTATGTCTTCAAGATTTAAATAATAGTCATAGCCATCATTGTGTTTTAAATCTATAATCTCTCATCCACACATTTGGCATTTGCTTTGCCATTTTTAATTTATTGCAAAGAAAGATACAAGTCCACCATTATTTCGAGTGAACCAAATTTACCAGCAATAATTATAACTCATTTTGAACCCTGTGGCACGCACATCGCTTTATTTTTTTTCAATTGTTAGAATCCCTCAATAAAACTCAAACGCAAACTTACAGATCAAAAAATTATATTTTGTAATCTTATAATGTCGTTTTGTGTGTGTGGTTTGCTTGACTGGGGGTTTCACCCGTGACGTCGTGGAGCCAAGCTCGGGTGATGCAAAGAATATAGCTCGTAATTTCGACCTTATTATTATGCTGTCCGTGATATTTGATTTTGTCTCTTCAGCTTTGTGAAACTTAAAATATGATTCCGTCAGTCGACAGTTTCAGATATTGAAATAAAATACACACAGAAACTCTTCAAGGTGTTGGTTTATAGAACGGATTGTGAGGGCGTACGTTATATAAAGCGTTGCAGGGTATTAGATGCTTAGAAAACATCATACTCATGGGCGTGGCCCTTCCCCCCCCCCCCAGGCATAAAGGGGACCAAAAAAAAGAAAAAAAGAGGTGCAAATTCATTTTTTCTTTTAATTTAATGGGTGGTGGGGGGGGGGGGCAAATGTCTCCCTGTCCACCCTCATAAGAAAATGATAAAGTCCATGGATTTGGGGTGAAAATAATGTGCTTTGCCCCCTCTTGAAAAAAATCCTCGTGTCGCCCATGATCATACTGAGCAGACCTAGCGCAGCACCCGACTTGAGCCAAGTCTAAGTATTCTGATATTATTTAGTAACCTTTGAGTTCAATCACCGCCATTGTTGAAGATCATTTGATGCATCGTACACTAACAACCATAGCAAACGTGCCGTGCCAATTCCAGCAATTTTAATCTGCCAAAACAGCAAAGATGTTGTTCAAATGCTGTGTGTGGACCATTGGAACCCTGGTCGTTATTGAGTTGTTCAGCAACTCGTTTTTTGAGGCCGAAGGATGCTCCTCTGCAGGGATACCAAACGAGAAAACTGATGGCATTGTCAAGCTTGACGTTGGCGGCTGCCTGTACACCACGACGCGGTCGACTATGACTCGCTACCCGGACTCCATGCTGGCTGCCATGTTTACCAATGAACTCGACAACTCCGTTCGTGACGTCAACGGGGCCTATGTCCTGGACAGGGACGGGCCCATCTTCCGGTACGTACTGAATTTCCTCAGACAGGGCAAGCTGATTCTACCGGAGGACTTCAAGGAGTGGGACCTGCTGGCCACGGAGGCCGATTTCTATCAAGTCGGGGCTTTGGTGGAGGCGGTGAAGGCGGAAAAGTACCGAAGAGTCATACCAGAGGACGAAACGAAGAACTTTGAATACATTAAGTTAAATGCATGTGTTAACGTAAGCTACACTTACACGTACACTGGAAGCATGTATTTGCAATGGAGTTGGCCACTTGAAGAGTTTTTCCGGGTCCATTCAAGGGAATGTCGGCAAAACCACGGTAACTATACGCTGAACCTTCCACCCGATATCAAGACCAATGTTCACGAGGATTTTGAAAGACGCAAGGTGGCGATATTCAAGGATATTCTTCGGGATGGATTCAGATTGAGAGGACGGTCCTACACATTTAATCCTGATGGGATCAAGGAATTCAAATGGACCTTTGCTCATGTAGCCCCTTAATTCTTGAGCCAATGAAAACAAGAATGTAAGATCCTCTCAGAAATTGGAATTGAGAACAGACGACTGAGAACTACAACGGTTCGGTGCTGTACTGGCAGCATAACGTGAAACTATTTCTACAATGACGTCATATTTTGTTATGGACATAGCGTTCAACTTCCAAGGACACTGAAACCAATTGCAAAAATCCGAAGATTGAATTAAATTGGACAACTTAAGCTTCACCATGACGGTTCCACAAATATGAATAGCTATTTTCGACAATGTATGAATGCAAATGTATGCCGTTCAAACATACGCATTGAGGACGTATACGCCTATAATTTCCATTCACCAACTTAACAGATTGGCAATCTAAGTGCGTATTGAATTATTTTGCTTAGATCATTCAATTACGGACTGATTTTTGGTGAAAAGTTGAATCAGAACCACGATCGCATTTATAATCACTCACTTCAAATAACTGAACTTAGATATCGTAATCGATGTGCTATAAGTTTAAAGCAAGTTGAACAGCCTTTGTTTTGATTGTTCTCCCAAAGTATAGCCACCGGTTTGATTAGGAGATGCTTGTATATTTCAATTAAATTAGTACATTACGTGTATTTAGATCTATAGGGGTGCCGTTCGTGGTATATTTAGATATCTCATGTAATTTGTGCGCTTACGTCCCTTAAACCTTTCCAAGAAAGTGGTGCATTTCGAGCTTTTTATATTCGGTTTGTTCTTCGATTTTCCGAACTGTGTAATCATCAGAAAGTCACAACATAACTTTAAAAATCAGCATTTTCTTGTTTCTCAAAACCAAAATTGGGGGATGACCAAATGACACATCCCCCTGGTCAAAACAAAAAGGGGAGGGGTGTCCCCCCCCCAAAGCCCCTCCCCAGATTTCAGCCCTTGTTCAGGGAAGTTATTAGGACTGATAATTGGGCTATATAGCGACCATAACACTGATGATTTGGTGTGGGCTTGATTTTTATCATTCCCCCCCCCCCCCCTCGCCCTGGTTTTCCGATGTTATATTTATATCTATGCGGGATTTGGGTTTCGGAATGGGCATGGGTTAGGTTGGCCGAGCGTGCTCGAGAGAGATTCCAGCTTACGATCTCCTGTAGGTGTACAATTGATTTTTATTTGTTTTTCATTAAATGTTTGTATTAATTCATGTAAAAGGTGATTCCTACTCGACAAACTCCGCTTTTTGGGGATCCCCTTCCATCATCTCTAATTTGAATATAATGAGCTCAAAGTGTAAAACCAGTATCAATTCCTAACTATCTAAAGCTGCATGTATATATGTATTTATGCCTTGTCAGATAATGAAATGAGATGTGGTAAAAATAATAAAGAATGTAACTTTGAAAGAATGACAGAATGAATTGGTTCCATATTTCAATAGGGGGCGCTGTTCAAATTCGACGATTATTAGCACTATATTACAGAATGGTGTACCGTATTTTGAACCGGGCAGACATTATGCCAGTATAAAATTGTTTTGGGTGTCACAGCAAAGGGGGGTTTTCGACTTATTTTTTAGGAATTTGTATGGAAAACATTTTGTTTGACAGAGCGGGGGGGGGGGGGGGGGGGGGGGGTTGACCCCCAAAAACCCCCCTTCTGGATCCGCGCCTGGGTTGAACTTTGAACCAGGAAGTCTGTGTTGCGTTGGTACTGAACTGCCAATGCAAGGTGCGGTACATGCACATGGTGGATCACAGGGGTGCACGTTCTCAAGCCTTTAAGCAGCATATTCCTGTGAGTTCTACTGACTAGAATCAGAGACATGGATGACGTTATCCAGCTCAATGTTGGCGGCTGCCTGTACACCACGTCGAGATCGACTCTGACTCGCTACCCGGACTCCATGCTGGGTGCCATGTTTAGAGGTGACTTCGACCCGTCTGTTCGTGACGCCAACGGGGCTTATGTCATCGACGGAGACGGGCCCATCTTCCGCCATGTCCTCAACTTCTTCCGACGGGGAAAGCTGATTCTACCGGAGGACTTCAAGGAGTGGGACCTGTTGGCATCAGAGGCAGATTTCTATCAAATCCCAGACCTGGTAGCGGCAGTGTCTTCGCGTAAGGAGGTGGAGGACAACCCAAAAATGGAATTTGTGGAATTCACAGAACAATCTAGTAGTTGTAAATACATGGGCAGTTGGGAAACTTTGAATGAACTACCGCGTGAGTTTCTTATTGTATTTGAAGCAGATCCTAGCTTGGTAGATTCAAAGGCACAACGATTACGATCCCTAGAAGATATTCGGTCGAGTCTGGAAAAGTATGGGGAGATCTCGGGATACTATGGTCGCTGCTCCATTCAGTCGCGCTTTAACTCAATCCGACCCAAGATAAACCGACCAAATTGGATGGAGGTATTTCAACGAACCTCTGAACTTGGTTTTCAGTTTTTGAGCACGGCAGGGATGAGCGGAACTAAAAATTGGCTGTTTGGTAGAAAGATCTCAAACCATTACGACAAAAAACATACAGGGTCTGCTGGTCTCCTTGGGAACTAAATACAATGTAAACAACAATGTAAACAACAACTACAACAACATCAAAAACAAATGAGATCAATATAAAAAAATGGAATGAAAAACTTCACTCCAACAGCAACTTGTTTTTGTTAATTTTACAAATTCAAAAGTGTGTTGACATTGTTCTCGTATTAAAAGATCGTATTTGGAGTAACTTGAACACATGGCTTTTAATTAAAAGGACAAAACAATCGCCTAGCTATCTAACCAGATTGAAATTTCTACTTCATGGTTTTGTTCCAGCCATCGCATAGACATAGTGGCCATTCGTATTCGCTTAAAAATGACAACATTATGTACAGGCGCAATGATTTCACAGGAATGCATGATTCTATACTGACAAATGAGTAAGATATTTCATGATATATTCACAGTTTCATTTTTAAGTGATTAATGATTTGCGTTAATACCTTTAATCATATAACGTGGTGCAATTTTGACTGGAAACACGCAGTCTAACTTGCAGCCGGCTGTGCACCATTATACGTATCAGCTCATTAAACCGTTACCGTGTACAAAGCAAATCAGACAATATTTATGAATAAGAGGTGCAGGTGTCTGGATAAACTTCGTGTCATTCCTTTATTTTCAATTCTTGTTATTTTAATTTCGATTGCGTTACAATTTAAGGATTGAATACACTGCTGTATATGTATGTTCCATGGGGAAAACATTAATCTTACCTTCAATGACGCCGAAAAACAGAACACACAAAATTTAAAGCACATTACACAGCAAACCAAACAAAAGAACATGTATCTTAATTATGTTGGTAATTTGATCTTCAGACCAAGCCTTTGCTTATCACTTTTGTTACATAAAGTTGTCCAAAAATCATGTCAGATGCATGTACATTGGGACTTTAATTATTGGTAAAAAGTTGTTTTAAGTTGTTTTCATGTTATAGCATATCTTCGTCGAGTAACTCGTCTGATGTCTTGATATGGATAGTGGCTCAGATACATGCATCTAATCCTGGCTTTCAATACTGAATTCAGTTGGTTATCTCGCAAGAAAGGTCAAGAGAGCAGAAGCAAATGTGCGATTTGTTATTATTTTCACATCAGTTTTGGTTCTTATTTTTGTTTCCCTGTAAATTTACAGGCATTAGAGACATTATTGTACAAACATTTACGTACACTGTTTACGTAAGCGAACATCATTGTTGAAATAACTTTTTATTTGTATAGATAATAGAGTACTTAGCCTCAGTTTTCTTTTATTAATAAAATTCATGAATAAAAAAAAGCAAAGAAAAACTTCCAAATTAAAGAAAAAGTACAATCAGAATATGGTGACTATTTACTCATGGTGTTGCGTGTCTGCTGATTGCAAGGATCAGGGAATTTCCCGGTGACGTCATGTAGCCAAGCTCGGGTGATGCGAAGAATATTTCTCGTAACAAATTACGACCTTACATCATAGAGATATTCTCTCCGTGCTCTTCGATTTCTCCAGCTGTCGCACAAATATTAATATAAATCGCAGACTTAAATAAATTGTTCAACATGTTGGTCTAGAACGGATTGTTAAGGCGGGCGTGTCATATACAGCGCTGGTAAGGAGTGTAGAAAGCATCACACTGAGCAGACGTATCTCAGCACCCGACTTGAGCCGATGCTGTGACAAGTATAACCGCTCCAGTTCAATCAACTTCATTGTTAGATGAATCAATTAATACAAAACTGCACAGAAATCGTCATCATCACGACCATGATTTTCTCCAGGATCTAATGTTATAGATCACTTGACACATCATCTCATTTGCACTTTGAACCATGTCGAGTGTGTGTGCCGTGCCCACGCCCAATGTGATCTGCAAAACAGGAACCATTTTGAAATTCATGGCACTGCCTGCCTGCCTATAAAGTGAGAGGAACATTCGAGGTTGTTTCTCAAGCAAAATTGTACTCGAGCCCTATAAGAATAAAACTCTGCAGGGATTTGAAACAGGAAAATGGAAGACATTGTCAAGTTTGATGTTGGCGGTTGCATGTACACCACGACGCGGTCGACTCTTGCTAGCTACTACTCGGGCTCCATGTTGGCTGCTATAGTCAGCGGTGAACTTGACCCGTCTGTTCGTGACGCCAACGGGGCCTATATCATCGACGGAGACGGGCCCATCTTCCGTCACATACTGAATTTCCTCCGACGGGGCGAGCTTATTCTACCGGAGGACTTCAAGGAGTGGGACCTGCTTCGCAAAGAGGCCGACTTCTACCAAATGCCTTGCCTGACAAAGACAGTGTCTTTGCGCAAGCAGTCAGAATTCGCCGATGCTCAGTCGCGTAAAGATTATGACTATGAGTTGCTGAGACAACCCGTAGAAGACAACCCGAAAATGGAATTTGTGGAATTCATAGAACAAGATAACAAGAGTTGCAGATACCGGGGCAGTTGGGAAACTTTAGAGCAACTACCACGTGAGTTTCTTGATGTATTTGAAGCAAACCCTAGCTTCGGACGCTCCAGGGCATCGGCACTCTCAACCAACGCGCCAAGTTCACGATCCCCGAAGATATGTGTTCCATCGTACAAAGGTGTGGGGAGATCACGGGATACTGGGGTGCGTTCTCCCTTGAGCAGCCCGGGCAGGCACGCGGAAGCCCCGACCAAAACCCACCAAATTGGATGGTGGTATTTCGACAAACCACTGAACTTGGATTTCAGTTGTTGAGCACGTCGGCGAGGAACGGAGAGAAATCATGGTTGTTTGGTAGAAAGGGCCCCTCCTTTATTTTGTAGGAAGATTCTCCATAGAACATCTAGATGGTACAATGACAAAGAAGTCCTGTAGTCCTTGCGAAAGTGTAAAAAAAAAACAACGAAAACTAGACCGACGAATGAAACAATTGTGCAGCAGAATACTTACAAATATGAAACTCGATTCGAAAAACAAGATAGTTTTTGGTACTGTTATAGATTCAAAAGTATGTTATAATTTTGGAGTGAACCGAAAATCCGTGGCTATTACAGATAAAAGTATGGCGTGCAGGTTACCCTCACAGCCAGTCCGTCAAAGCACGCAATGGGAATCTTCCATCTACGGCCAAGACTCGTCATCGTAGATTTGAACAAAGTCTAGTGGCGATCATCCAGGGGATCGAACAGCTTGGATTCCAAGCGGAGAAATTAGTCCTGCACGATGAACGATTCCAGGGTATAAACAGGAAGAACTCGGACCTTTTTCCGGCCCATCTTTGAATAAAATGGACCTTTAATACTTAAACGTTGTAGTCGCAGTAAAACTCTTATATCCTTCTTCTCGAGTTTTTTCTCTGCCTTGCATCTTGAAAAATGCATCTTATACCGTAAAAGCTGTGGCCATTTAGATAGTTTAGGTAATGAATTAGTTTCATTTGCACAGCGTAATGCTTTCGTGTCACAGGCAACACGTTTATAATATTGAGAAATGGTTTGAAAGTTTACGTACCGGTATTAATCATAAAGTGTAATGATATATTGTAGCAAGATACCACTAAATGTAACCTTTTTGTAAGGTCATATACAAGCATTGATGTTTAGTACTCGTGTGCTATTATTAGACTGTTATTAGCCAGAATTTCTTTTAAAATATGCAGAGCTTGTCTTTTGTTTAAAAAATAAATAAATAAATACAAAATATACACAGAAATATCACAAATCAAGAAAATAAGAGGACTTAATGTTTAAAATCTAAGTAGAAGTTTTCTCATGGTGCCTCAGACGCTTAGGGTGGAAATGGTGTAGGCCTAGACCCTCCAATTGAAATTTGCAACAGGATTAATTGCAACGTTTTTTTTTAACAACTCGTGACTCGTGCACTTTGCATCGATGTTTAGATTGAGAAAGGATAGAAATCATTTTTGAAAAGATTTAAAATTATGTATTATAACATTATTGTTCCAGTGAAATGAAATGTGACCAATAACTTCTCAAATAAAGGACGAACATTCTGGCGGAAAAATAATTGGGTTTGTCGTTATTAGGACGTATTCAATTATTATCATCGGTCAATCACAAAGGAACGATAACCATTTTCAAATTTGCCAGATCCCATAAAACGCCATTAAAGTAAACATTGAGAAGGAGTCGTGTGAATATTAACCCAGCGGAATTAAGGCCCTATCATTCTGTTGGTGTTTCTCTAGTCATAATATGATTAATTATGACAGTACTGTTTTATAGTTGATAGGATCCATACATTTAATTAAAGGTAATAGAAAGTTTCCATGTGACAAATCCTATTGGAATAATTATGCATGTATGGGCCTATATATCGTGTTTTGTTGTATTGCGTGATTGCTGATGATTGCAAGGATCGGGGGTTTCCCTGTGACGTTATGGCGCTAAGCTCGGGTGATGCGAAGGATATTGCTCGTCACAAAGGTGGAACCAATCGCGGTTTCATCTTTCAGCTGATGCCATTGCGCATTCCTTGACAAGTTGAAATGCCAAATCCCTGGATAACTACCTTGACACAGATTAAATATGTGTGCAGACACGGTTTAATAATTATTAATTGTTGATTTATACATTTTGGTCGACAGAGGGCGCTCGCCCAATCGTTATTGCCAAAAGCTATCCTAGCTTTTGGCAATCCATGCGGCGGAGGGATACCCCAATACGAACGATCAAGACCCATTGAAACTTCACCCACAGCTATAGCGTTTGAATACGTATGCAAAACCGTACTTTGATCCAGCTTACACGCATGTATTGGAAATTTAATAGCTTCGAGCGAGGCTTTATTTTTTGCCAAATAAAAATTTCTTTTGAGGACGGCAGTTACGCACGGTTTTTGAACTCAGTCCACGGTACATAATGGATGAAATTGTCCATCTAAATGTGGGCGGTTGTACAATGTACACCACGAAGCGGTCGACTCTGATTCGCTACAAGAATTCCTTGCTGTTCAAAAAGTTCCAGTTGCTAAGATTTAATAATGACAAAGTAAACGGAGCTTACTTCATCGACGGAGATGGGTCCATCTTCCGCCATGTCCTCAACTTCCTCCGACGGGGCAGGCTGACTCTACCGGAGGACTTCAAGGAGTGGGACCTGCTGGCCTCGGAGGCCGATTTCTACAAAAATTGAGGATTTAGTGAAGGCGGTGAAGGCGGAAAAGTTTCAGAGGGACACCTGCACTTCCTAAGCTATACACAAAAGCAGCAGTATGCTACCCTAGAGAAAATTCCATCGCTTGTTGATTTTTTTCAAGCCGTACCAATCCACTCCACCTAAATTTATCCCAGTCGGGCAGATTACCCTCACAGTTCAAGCACCTGTAGGAACCCGTGGAATGAACACAATCTGGTGGCGATCATCCAGGAGAAACAGTCCTGCACGATGAACGATTCCGGGGTACAGGAGGAACTCAGCTGGACCTTTTCCCGTCGCATCGGTGGATAAAAATGCACTGTTCCTACTCGAATGTGTATCGCAGTAAAACTCTCTCGCTCCTCGAGCTTTTTCCGTCTCTTGAAAAAAAAAGTGGACACCGAAATTATGGATACTGCTTGATTGTTTGAGAAAAAAATGCACTTTTAACAAAGTTCACTCGATCAGCTTAGCAAATGTGGACAAACTATATAAAATTCCGTCAAATTTCAAAGAACAAGATGCCTCAAGGGCGATTTAGCCTGCAATCCGGCCTCTTCATTAACTCTTGGCAGCATCTCGAAGGGCTACAGGTAATGAGGAATTTTATATCCTCCAACTGCAAAGCAAATATCGGTATTTGCTACATAGTGAACCGCTGTCTTGCATCGATTTTTTTTCAACAATGCGTCTTATTGATAATGAAAGGTCGTGTATGCTGTATTATTCTTTTCTTATGGCCATTTAGTTGGTTTAGTGTTCATTTGCTTAGCTTAATGCTTCCATATTCTATTTGAATTATACACGCAAAACGTCATACACTTAGAAATAGTTTGAAAGCTTGTCACATAACGAACCAGTTAAGTGTAATGTTATAAGCAAGGCACGGGTGTACAATGTGTACAGTGTACAACATAAAGAACTTGGTAGATCCACCACAACGCAAACCAATTTTCTGTATTTTCTGCGATGAGGATCAGGAGTGATAAAATTAAGGCGATAGGAATACGATCACAACAAATTGTTTTATTTTTGCCGTCCTTGCAGTGGCGCTCTCATAAGATGGTGTTTTATATCCACAGTTTGTTTGGCTGCGTACGTTGTTAAAACATGTCGCTAATTTTTTAGAGGTGGCATTTAGATACATTTAGATACGTTTTAGATAAACGGCCATTTAGATACACGTACATGTAGTTACGACTCTTAGTTTTACCACCGCGCAATGTTTTCATGTCGTCATGGTGTCGGTAACAAGCAAAAGTTAACTCTTGTAACAGAAATAGTTTCAGTTTTAGTTTTAGAGCTTGTCCTATAACGAACAAGTTACACTTAAGTGTAATAGTTGATATATTAGTAAAGCACAATTGGTATCCTCTTTGTAAGCTCGTATTTAACCATCGATGTTTGTAGCCAGAACTTGTGGAAAGTATTTAGAGTTTGTCCTTTCTTTAACAAAGCGTATGGCGGTCCATCAGTCACTTTTACCAGTTTCAATATCGTAGTCTTAATGATAAACATTTTTATTTCTAATATAGATCCCATAAAAAGTCAAACATTGAGAAAGTCATGGGGAAAAAAAATGGGAGGCCTTATGACTTTGATGGTGTTTTCTGGTCTAAATGTGAATTATAAATTGAAGAAGTCCAGCATTTCAGGAAATGTACTAAAAAAAATTCTTAAACGCTAGCAGTAGTACCATGGTTGAACAATTCATCATAACAAGGCTATCGTAGCTTTTATATCGCACTGATTTTTTCAAGAAATTTATAATCCCAATAAAACCGCCTTGTGGTGTCAACATTTATAGCCAATTCCGATAAAAAAAAATCAGATAAGGTAAGTTGTAAATCGCACTTCTGAAGTTGTATATCGTTGGGATAATATCACGTTCTTTAAAACCCACCTCTTTGAACAATGTACTTTGATATCGTTAAATTTGAAATCGAGTTGTTGATGAGTACCTTGCGCAATAAACAGGCATCACATTAAAGTAATAGTCTGTATATCCCAGAAATACATTGAACTTTAAAACTATTTCACACGTTTTAATTGATGTTTTTAATGATTTGAGTTTGAAAACAGAAGACAGTGTTAAACTTGATGTTGGGGGCTGCTTGTACACTACCACGCGGTCGACTATGATTGGCACCAGGACCCCATGCTGGGCAAAATCACCAAGTCGTCCGGGTACCCATGCAATGGCTGACGCACATACCCGTGATGACGACACAGCTTATATTATGTCACCTTCGTCCACTTTGGCCAGAAAGACCAGTCCTGTAGTAGATGGTCTTTCGGTGACAGCAAGTGATGCTTTTTTGGCAAAGTAAATATCACATCAATCAGGACAAACATTCACATTAAAGTAATTTTGTAAGGCTGAAATCTGTTGGTTTGTCAATATTTTAACAAAATCTAATTTAGGTCAAAATAAATATGGAATTTTTTTTTTATCTTATGATGCGTTCACTGTTGTCAATGAATGGTGCGATATATTGCCCAATGCTTCTCGTTAAAAATGTGATTGATCATTTTTCAGAACGGAATAACTTCGACTGCAAACGTGATTTTGTAAAAAGGGAAACCAAATAAAGAAGAAATACCTTTCCCTGTAAAGATATGCTGTCGATCCGTGCGCTTCGATATTGCCTCCAACCTAAGGTGTGTAGAAAGCATCATACGTACAGGGCAGACCTAGAGCAGTATCCGACTTGAGCCAAGTCTAAATATTGTAAACCGCTCGAGTTTAATCAACGTCATTGTTAAATAAATGAGTAAATTGAAGAAAAAAAATAAAAAGAAAGGTCGTCACGACCGACATTATCCAACCAGATCATTCGGCTCATCATATAATTTACACTTTGAACCATATCGAGTAAAAAAAACCACCCAGTTGTTCGAGGGCGTGCGAGGGCGCTCTGCAACCATAATAACTAAATTCGCTATCAATCACTGACGTCTTGGTCCAAGACTATGGCCCTGTCTGCACAACACCAACCTCGTACCCAGGGTGTCAAGCAGTACGCGCCCATCACTACCTGCTCTCTCACCCTGGTATTGGATTATTTGCATGTGCAAGATTTTTGAACACGTATGCAAATGAGGAATAGTCTGGTGCCTTCATGTGCGTTACATTAGCGTTTGTTTTTGTATGCGGTGTCTGGGGTAAAAACAGAGTCAATTCGTAGCAGCGCGAGCATGGCGTGAGTTACGAAAACATAATTTTTTTCAATTAAACTGTTACGATCTTAACAAAACAATATGCAGTATCACATTTCATATTAATATTAACAAACTGGAAAGGAAATTAATATTTTCGAGAAGGCGTGGACGAATGATCGCGAAAACACGCACTGCATGTTGTGAATAACAACACCAAGTACACGATAAAAATGCATTACTAGCCAATTGCGGTATCCAATCAGGATACAGGAAGAAAGTTTCCTATCCAGGGTTTACTATTGGAAACCGTGTTGGAAATAAAGTAAGCACTGGGGACGAGGTTGGCACAACACTCACATGACCTAACGATAAGCTCGCGATCGCGACATAATTTTGTGGTAATAGGAAAAATACTCGCCGACCGTCTGATCTGACATAAACATGCACTGCACTGTTCCTCTGCTTGAACGGAACTACTTCGGTGTACAACAGTGTGAGGACCACTCGATTTGGTTGGAACCCTGAGAGTTGAAATTTTCCTTGTTCAACGAATCGTGTCTGAGCCGTGAATTCTCTGCAGGAAAATGGATGACATTGTTAGGCTGAATGTAGGCGGCTGCCTGTACAGAACGTGGCGGTCGACACTGACTCGCTACCCGGACTCCAAGCTGGCTGCCATGTTCAGTGGTGAACCTGACCCGTCTGTACTTCGTGACGCCGGCGGGGCCTTTTTTATGGACAGGGACGGACCCATCTTCCGCCATGTCCTCGGCTTCCTCCACAGGGGCAGGCTGATTCTACCTAAGGGCTTTACGGAGTGGGACCTACTGGCTGCAGAGGCCAAGTATTACAAAATCCGTGCTTTGAATACGGCAATACACTATGAAACTTCTTATGAAGACGAGTATGAATTCATATGGCTAACTGCATGTGCAAACGTGAGCTACTCGTACCGTGGCATCCTTGCCCTCTATCGTTTAGAGCCACTTCATGAGTTCTTCTCCGCATATTGCAATCAACAAGCTGGTTGGGAAATCGTCTATGAATATACACTCAACCTTCCACCCGGTATCGAAACCAATGTTCACGAGGATTTTGAAAGACGTAAGGTGGAGATATTCAAGGATATTCTTAGACATGGATACAGATTGAGAGAACGGTCCTACACGTTGAATCCTGCCGGGGTTAAGGAATTTAAATGGAAATTTGCAGAGCCCATTAGTCGCCGTTAGAAATGTATCAAATATCTGATATAATGAGAATTGCGAACAGAGAACTGAGAACAGCAAAGTTCGGTGCTGCACTAGTCTTGTGATAGCAGAGGACTGTAAACTTTCTGTCTACATGACGTCGTATTTTTCTAATGAATATGCAAATAAGCATCAACACAACACCTGAAGTCTCTGGGACCAATTACAAAAATAAACAAAGATTAAATTAAATGGAACAAAAACTACAATGTTACGGTTTTACAATAAATGCAGGAGTTCGTTCTTTTATACGAAAAGCTGTTTCTAACGAAACGAATATTCATTCACATTACTGTTCAAGGGGATAAGGACTTTGATCAACATTGTATTTTATTCTTCCAACTAAAGAAATGGCAATCGATTTTTTTTGTTTTAGTTTAGATCATTCAATTTATGACTGATTTGCGATGAAATGTTGACTCAACCATGATCACATCTATAAACATTTACTTCAAAATAACAAATTTAGTTTATTAATAAATATCGAAATGAATTTGCTAAAGTGAAGGAGCAGTTTGATTGTTTGAAGCAAGTTAAACAGTCGTGCACCAATCTGTGTAAAGTAAGTACATATTAATATTACATGCCTGTATTTCTACTAAAACAAATCGCAACGTGCATGTATGCCCGTGGGTTTTACTCCAGGGCCTGAAAATTGACATGACTTTTTGTACAAAAGAAGATCAGCATACACAAAACGATTGAAATTGCACTTTATATTCTTATCAGTATAAATTGTATTATGTCAAATAACGAACCAACTACCCACTCATTCGTGTAAATATTAAGCAAGGCTCAGTTAGGCTACATGTATCGTTTCACAGTCTAAAAAAGCCTGGGTCAGATTGACTTAGTATTATGAAATCCAAATTATTTGCTCAATCCTTTTCGCGGGTCAAATAATGATACCTTTCTGTGTCGAAATGTGACAGCCGTGGAACAAAAATCATGTTTGATCCGGAAGAGTGTAATGTTTTACTTGGAAAAGGATTGAGCAAATTTAGATTCCAATTCTGGGTCAATGTTACTCTGCATGATGTTTTAGAGTGTATGTTCTTTGTAACGTCGATGTTTAATTAGTGCTTGTGTGCTTTATTAAGCTTTTATATGCCATAATTATTTTAAAGCATGGAAAACAAAACATACAACTATCAAAAATCCAGCAGATGAGAGGACTTAATGTTACGATCTATAAGCAGAGCTAGTCTCGATTTTGCCGCGGACGCTGAGGATCGAAATGCTACGGCCTCTGATTAAAATTAAGAGGATTTATTGTTGCATTTTTTAACAACATATGATACGTGAATTTTGCATCTGTGTTTAGACTAACATAATGAACATCATTTTTTCTTTAAGATCTAAATTTATATATTTTGATTTCATTGATCCAATCAAATGAAATATGACAATTAAGTTCTCAATTAAAGGATGATCATTCTTGAGGAAAGAAAAAGAATCGTTTTTCTTGCTTTGATTTTGAGCAGGCCTTACGTCAATAATCAGTCATTCACAAATGTGTAAATAAACGATAAACCTTTTCGTTTTGAAATAAATTGCATAAAACATTGTAGCTATAGTCAACAAAGCAAACATTGAGAAAGTCTTGCAAAAACCAAAGGGAGGGCTAAATAAAACTTTGGTGACGTTTTTCTGGTTTGAATTATAAAATGAAGAAGTCCAGAAATTCAAGAATTGTACTTAATAATAGTATTTCGAAACAAATAGAAGAATTGGGTGACTCGTTACAACTCGCAAATTCTTTCAACTAAAGGTTGAAACACATCGAGTGAGAGCACCGTCGCGTCGCCGCGGCAGACTCGGATATCCAAGGCCTTTGCATCCGGATGCAAAGGCCTTGTCTGCAGAACACTCATGTTTCCTTGCAGTGTGACCTAACGCGACCTCTCAATCGCGACATAACCGGTAGTCACTTATTCATGGCCCATCCGCGTTGTGTGAGATCAAAACAAATCATGTGGTAAATCGTCTACGAGTACAGAGGTCACGATGGGAAAGGGCGCCTTGCACGGAAGGTATAGACCAAAACTAGATTTCCTCATGCACTCAACGTGAAAACGTAGTTATATGCAAAGCCGCAAAACTGCTTTGGGAGGGGAAATCATGCAGATATATGTTTCATTGAGCTGTTTATTCTTTAAGGATAGCACCACCCCTGTGCCTCATGGCGAAATGCCTTAAAGTGCCTATTGTTGTTGCTGTTTCGGAGTACCATACCCCGAAACGGCTCTTATTTTCGTTAATTTCCCCCGTACGGACGCCGAAACAGCCTCTCGTTTTCCGTTAAACAAATGTCCCCCCCCCCCTTTTTTTCTTTTTCAGATTCCTCTCCATAGGTTTTACACAATTAAGTTGTCTTCAAACCATACACTTTGGCACTTTCGTCCGCCTGATAGACCGGCAGGCCCGGCAGCCACTTAGACCATCAGCCCGCAGATGGTCCTCTATGATTTTCGTAACCATGACGTCACCAGGTGTCAAGTTACGTCACATTAAAAGTGCATTTTTCAAAGCCTTATATTTTCTGACGTACAAGTCCGTTGAATGTTTGTTGATACATAAATAAGGACGGGTTACAGATGTAATTTTGTCCAAAATAGACGAGGTGCCGAGTTACATCACAATGTGCATGCATTTTCTCGCCATAGGATTTGTACACATTTTTCTTCCACTAATACACTTTGCACTTCTGTAAATCCGATCGACTTCAAACTTAGTACATAAACACACATAAACCAACACCCTGAGATTCTTGTCACAATGGCGTCATCGGGTGTCACGTCACATTAAAGTTGCATTTTTCAAAGCTCCATCTGAAGTGTAAGTCCGATTGGGTTTCATCATTATTGTCGGTATGATACAGGGTGATTAAAGAAATGTCGGGACCAATTTTTTTTTAGTGAAGTTCATTATGTAGCACTTTCAAAATTTAGGATATAAAAGCCTAATCAATAAGCTTTGTTTGCATACAATGGTAAAGAATAATTCAAATCATCATACTTTGCTGAAAGAACACTTACCTTTGTTTGTGATCTGTGGACAGAACTTCAAAACGAAGCTTGTCTTTAAAATTCCGTAATTTGAAAAGTACTTGAGCGATTTGAATGATTATTGTACTAAACAAAAGCTTCGAATTTTCATTGACAATTTCCCTTTTTATTTGTTTATTCGTTTATTCATTTATTCATTAGTTTTTTATTTCATTTCTTCTTGTATTCATCTCTTTAACATTTTTCTTTCTTCATGTCTTAATTCGTGTCTGCGCGTTTATCTATACACAAGCTGATTTACCCGATCATAGATCGGGTAGGGCGTAGTGTTGGGGATAAAAATGTGGGGAGTTAAATGGGGGATATAGTTGAGGAGACATGCAGTTATAGAAAAGCAATTTCTGTGGTGTGATCTGAGGCAATTTCTGACCTGTCGTAAGCGGCGCCCTTCCATATGGCACAGGTCACCGTCACCGTACATGTAGACCTACACACCCAGTGTCCTATCTTCCCCTCTATAGTATCTTTGTCACGAGCTGCTTCGGCGTACCTTTCCTCCATGGCCATGGGTGTACTATATAGTACTAAACTAGGACCATTCGACTTGGTTGGAACCCTGAGAGATGAATTTTCCTTGTTCAACAAATCGTGTTTGAACCGTTCAGGTACATTACAATGTACCTGAATTCTCTGCAGGGGATCAGGAAAATGGATGACCTTGTTAATCTATGTGTGGGTGCCGGTGACGATGACAATAATTGCAGGTACACCACTCGGCGGTCGACTCTGACTCGCTACCCGGACTCCATGCTGGCTGCCATGTTCACCAGTGAACTCGACCCGTCTGTGATTGACGACAACGGGGCCTATGTCATGGACAGGGACGGGCCCATCTTCCGTCACGTACTGAACTTCCTCAGACAGGGCAAGCTGATTCTCCCGGAGGACTTCAAGAAGTGGGAGCTGCTTGCCTCAGAGGCCGATTACTATCAAATCGAGGCTTTGGTGGAGGCAGTGAAGGCGGAAAAGTATCGGAGAGTCCTACCAGAGGAGGAAGTGAAAAAGTTTGAATTTATCGAGCTAACTGCGTGTGTGAACGTGAAATACACATACACTGGAACCATTCCCCTCAAGGATCTTTTTCCTCTGAAGTATTTTTTCGAAGCACATTCCTGTGGTTGGTTTAATAACGGTGTGTGCACCTACACACTAAACCTTCCATGTCCACGCCATGATTTCGAGTGCAATGTTCACCAAGATTTTGAAAGTTGCAAGGTAGACATTCTTGGGCGTGGATACAGGCTAAAAGCACGATCCTACACGTTAAATCATGCCGGGGTCCAGAAATTGAAATGGACTTTTGATCGGCCCGTCATCGATATGTCTGAGTTGTTGTCTGTTCTCGAAAATTTGTAATCACCAGTTCGGTTAAGTAAAATATTTTTGTTATTTATCCTTATAATAACAAATCTAGACTAGAGAAATTTGTGAGTTTGAAATCACGTATTTTGTTTTTGTTAATGATCTGGCATTTTGTCATGCACAGCGCGATTGCAGATTTTAAGGCTTCTAGTTTATACAGAACTTTTCCCATTCTACTCATAAAGTGTAATTATACCGTATTAGCAAGGCACAATTAGATGTAATCTTTCGTAAGCTCATATAATGCAACTATATATCGATGTTTAGTACTTACTACTTAGCTTTACTGGGCAAAGGTATTTTAATGCATGTCTGAGTTTCATTTTAATGTTTTAATTGTAGAGTTTGTCATCTCTTTATCTACGTTTCGTGTTAACTACATATATACTTTTAGTTTATTCAAAAAAATGTAAATTATTGTGTTTTTATTACTTAACTTAGTAAAGTCTCTGCATGCTTTAATTTTTACCAGTCATATTTCCATCGTGTTAAGTTGCATTGTAAACGAATTCGGATGCAAAAGCACACTTTTAAGACCTTTAGTGGCGGTTCGTCCATTTTAACTGATGTTGTTTCCAAACTCATTGAATGTTTTTTTTTTATCTCAATTTGCGTCTGGACTCTTATGTCAAGAGGTCTTTCGTGTGAGAAATATGTGTTGCACGTTATTGATGCGAGAGATCTTTCAAAATTTGGGCCTAACTATTTTCATCTTGAGCAGCCGGCAAAAGAACATGCAGGCTTATAGCTCTAAAATTCAAATGCTTGCACGGAATTTAATTGGTTGACGATTGTAGTTGCTGATTCGCTTGAGGCTTCAGAATTTCACAGTAGCATGCAAATTCTATATATAGCAAACATTTTCAGGTAGCTTAGTAATATGCCTTAGGCCAAAAAAAGATGTCGGTCTCTGGTCAGACCGAAGTTCCGGAATTGATGCGGCGACGCGGGGTTTTTTTTCGGTGGCTTTTTTTTTCAAACTTGAATTGTACAGACAAAGTGGGTACTATTTTGCTTTTTTGTGTCCTCATTATACATTGGTGTCCTCCATAATTTGCCTTGGTGCCCTTTATCATTTGCCTTGGTGCAATTTCCCCATTCCTTGGTGCTCCTTGGTACAAACATTTTAGGAGGTGCGGCAATAGAGGGCGCTGTTGTATCTTCCGTGTTATTTAAAAAAAAAAAAAGGTTGACGCGCATGATTAAAATCGACGCGCGCGCTGACCAGAGACCGAGTATTTTTTTGGCCTTATTGTACGGCTGATTGTTATGATGTTGCGTGCTTGCCGCTGATATGTTTTTGCCATGATGTCTTCGAGTCAAGCTCTTTGAGACACGCCCACTTTTGCTTAATGTACGTATCTCTCAGTGGTTGTGGCCAATTTGACAGAGCTAGTATATTAGGCCAAAAAAGTCTCCGGTTTCTGGTATGGAGCTTGCCCAAAAAGTGGTGCGGCGACGCGGCTTTTTTTTTTTTTTAACTTGATTTTTCTTTGCGTTAAATGTCGGCTGATGACTGCAAAAGGTTGCCCGACTAAACTTAGTGAAAATATAATGGAGTCCAGAGAGGCCACATAAAGCTTATTCTCGATCATAACCCCATCTAAAATCACGTTAAAATTGTGCAGCAGCAGGATTTTAGTCAAACCAGTGAGTTTGGCGGTTTTGAGACATCATCTTTCATTGAAAAAAAAAACGTTTTCATTTTGCCGACGCGCATGGCTACGGCGACGCGCGCGTATACCAGAAACCGGAGACTTTTTTTTGGCCTTACAAAGAGAACAGTAGAACGACCCTCTGGGACCAGGAAGTATGGATGCTAAAATGTATTTGATTTCTGGGTGTATCCTGTGTTGGACATTTTTTTTCCTTTTATGGGCCTGTGACTTTTGTGCATAAATTCAAGGGAACAGAATTTGAGCCTTCTCTGACATTTTGTTTATTTCAGTGCAAAGAGAGATACCAACCATTACATGTATTTGAGTGAACCATGCAACTATCATTAGTATCAATTTAATACATGCTGAATGTGTATGTGGCACGCATAAAGTGTGAGTTAAAAAAAACACTGAAAACCCAAATAGTGCCCCAGTTTTCTCACACCTCATCTGATGTGAGTCAGTTTTTGTGTTCAAGTATCGTCCATAATGTGCAAGCACAAAGTTGAATAGTGATTCGAAAATAAACAATCATAATGTGCGCGCAGAAGTCAAGGGCTTTTGAAGGGTAGTCTGGTTCCCAGACCTGACAATTATTCCCGACGCTCACGTCTATAAATTGTAGGTCAGGCAGCCTCCGTGGCTAAAAATAAACATGACGACATTGATGGCCCTTTTTCAGAGCTCGGCTTCTTTTCCGATTTCTACGGAAGTGTATTTAGGACATGACTAAAAAAAAAATGCTGGCCCTCTATTTCGCCCGGGCGGATTACTAATTTGACCGGGCGGATTACTAATTCGCCCTGGCAAATTACTATTTCGCCCGGCGGATTACTTATTCGCCCAGGCGGATTACTAATTCGCCCGGGCGAATTACTATTTCGCCCGGGCGGATTACTAATTTTATTGTTGCATTTTTTAACAACATATGATACGTGAATTTTGCACCTGTGTTTAGACTAACATAATGAGCATCATCTTTTCTTTAAGATCTAAATTTATATATTTTGATTTCATTGATCCAATCAAATGAAATATGACAATTAAGTTCTCAATTAAAGGATGATCATTCTTGAAGAAAGAAAAAGAATCGTTTTTCTTGCTTTGATTTTGAGCAGGCCTTACGTCAATAATCAGTCTTTCACAAATGTGTAAATAAACGATAAACATTTTCATTTTGAAATAGTTTGCATAAAAGTTGTATATAGCTATAGTCAACAAAGCAAACATTGCGAAAGTCTTGCAAAAACCAAAGGGAGGGGCTAAATAAAACTTTGGTGACGTTTTTCTGGTTTGAATTATAAAATGAAGAAGTCCAGAAATTCAAGAATTGTACTTAAAAATAGTATTTCGAAACAAATAGAAGAATTGGGTGACTCGTTACAACTCGCAAATTCTTTCAACTAAAGGTTGAAACACATCGAGTGAGAGCACCGTCGCGTCGCCGCGGCAGACTCGGATATCCAAGGCCTTTGCATCCGGATGCAAAGGCCTTGTCTGCAGAACACTCATGTTTCCTTGCAGTGTGACCTAACGCGACCTCTCAATCGCGACATAACCGGTAGTCACTTATTCATGGCCCATCCGCGTTGTGTGAGATCAAAACAAATCATGTGGTAAATCGTCTACGAGTACAGAGGTCACGATGGGAAAGGGCGCCTTGCACGGAAGGTATAGACCAAAACTAGATTTCCTCATGCACTCAACGTGAAAACGTAGTTACATGCAAAGCCGCAAAACTGCTTTGGGAGGTGAAATCATGCAGATATATGTTACATTGAAAAGCTGTTTATTATTTAAGGATAGCACCACCCCTGTGCCTCATGGTGAAATGCCTTAAAGTGCCTATTTTTGTTGCTGTTTCGGAGTACCATACCCCGAAACAGCTCTTATTTTCGTTAATTTCCCCCCGTACATACGCCGAAACAGGTCTCGTTTTCCGTTAAACAAATGTCCCCCCCCCTTTTTTTTCTTTTTCAGATTCCTCTCCATAGGTTTTACACAATTAAGTTGTCTTCAAACCATACACTTTGGCACTTTCGTCCGCCTGATAGACCGGCAGGCCCGGCAGCCACTAAGACCATCAGCCCGCAGATGGTCCTCTATGATTTTCGTAACCATGACGTCACCAGGTGTCAAGTTACGTCACATTAAAAGTGCATTTTTCAAAGCCTTATATTTTCTGACGTACAAGTCCGTTGAATGTTTGTTGATACATAAATAAGGACGGGTTACAGATGTAATTTTGTCCAAAATAGACGAGGTGCCGAGTTACGTCACAATGTGCATGCATTTTCTCGCCATAGGATTTGTACACGTTTTTCTTCCACTAATACACTTTGCACTTCTGTAAATCCGATCGACTTCAAACTTAGTACATAAACACACATAAACCAACACCCTGAGATTCTTGTCACAATGGCGTCATCGGGTGTCACGTCACATTAAAGTTGCATTTTTCAAAGCTCCATCTGAAGTGTAAGTCCGATTGGGTTTCATCATTATTGTCGGTATGATACAGGGTGATTAAAGAAATGTCGGGACCAATTTTTTTTTAGTGAAGTTCATTATGTAGCACTTTCAAAATCTAGGATATAAAAGCCTAATCAATAAGCTTTGTTTGCATACAATGGTAAAGAATAATTCAAATCATCATACTTTGCTGAAAGAACACTTACCTTTGTTTGTGATATGTGGACAGAACTTCAAAACGAAGCTTGTCTTTAAAATTCCGTAATTTGAAAAGTACTTGAGCGATTTGAATGATTATTGTACTAAACAAAAGCTTCGAATTTTCATTGACAATTTCCCTTTTTATTTGTTTATTCGTTTATTCATTTATTCATTAGTTTTTTATTTCATTTCTTCTTGTATTCATCTCTTTAACATTTTTCTTTCTTCATGTCTTAATTCGTGTCTGCGCGTTTATCTATACACAAGCTGATTTACCCGATCATAGATCGGGTAGGGCGTAGTGTTGGGGATAAAAATGTGGGGAGTAAAATGTAAATGGGGGATATAGTTGAGGAGACATGCAGTTATAGAAAAGCAATTTCTGTGGTGTGATCTGAGGCAATTTCTGACCTGTCGTAAGCGGCGCCCTTCCGTATGGCACAGGTCACCGTCACCGTACATGTAGACCTACACACCCAGTGTCCTATCTTCCCCTCTATAGTATCTTTGTCACGAGCTGCTTCGGCGTACCATTCCTCCATGGCCATGGGTGTACTATATAGTACTAAACTAGGACCATTCGACTTGGTTGGAACCCTGAGAGATGAATTTTCCTTGTTCAACAAATCGGGCTGATGCTACACCTACCTCTGCTTAACAGCAAGAACGGTACTTCTTTGGTATGTACAAAAGTGTGAGGAACACTAACGTAGTTGGAACCCTGAAAGTTAAATTTTCTTTGTTCGACAAATCGCGTTCTAGCCAAAAAAAAAGATACTTGAATTCTCTCAGCAGGGGATTCCATACAGGAAAATGGATGACATTTTTGATCTGAATGTTGGCGGCTGCCTGTACACCACGACGCGGTCGACTCTGACTCGCTACCCGGACTCCATGCTGGGTGCCATGTTCAGCGGTGAACTCAACCCGTCTGTTTGTGACGCCACCGGGGCCTATGTTATGGACAGGGACGGGCCCATCTTCCGTCACGTACTGAATTTTCTCAGACAGGGCAAGCTGATCCTACCGGAGAACTTCAAGGAGTGGGAGCAGCTGGCCTCGGAGGCCGATTTCTATCAAGTCGGGGCTTTGGTGGAGGCGGTGAAGGCGGAGAAGTATCGGAGAACAACACAAGAGGAACTGGAGTACTTCGAAGAATACTTCCAGCTAACGGTATGCGCGAACGTGCACTACACGTGCTCTGGAAATACAAGTGAAGAGGTCTTATGGAATTTTAAGCCACTTCGTGAGTTTTTCCAAGCACATTCCCATAAGATTTTTGACGGTGTACTAAAAATCCCACCCGATATCGAGACAAACGTTCACGAGGATTTTGAGAGACGTAAAAGTGTGATTTTCGAGGATATTTTTAATAAAGGATTCAGATTGTTAGAACGATCCTACACGTTTAATGCTGCCGGGGTCAAGGAATTCATATGGAAATTCGCTCGGCCCGTTCGCATATAAAAATTACAACTGTGAAACAGGGGACTGATCGAGAACTACAACGTTCTGTACTACACTGACAGATATGTGAAACTGAAGCTTCAAATGTCGTCATATTTTACTCATGAGTATGCAAATTAGCATCAGCACAACAGTCGTAGTCTCTGAAAGTAATTACGAAAATAAACGAAGTTTGAATTAAATTGGACATAAGGTACAATGTGACTGTTCAACAATAGTACACGGTTCCTTTTGTATGAAAAGCTAATTTTCGACGATATGAGTTTCGATGCACATTATTAAATTACGTTCAATGGGATACATTCGCGTGAGGGACGTAGGCCTTTTTTATAGCTTAGATGATTCCATCACGGACTGATTTGCGGTGAAATGTTGAAACAGAACCACTACTGCACCTGTACTTCAAATAATTGAATAACTGAGATATTATTTTAATCTAAAGAGTAGAGTAAGGCAATTAAGTTTTAGCATGGAGCTGGGGTTTTAGCGGCATTTCCTTGGATTTGTCTCCAAAGTAACCGCCAGTTTGGTTAGGTACAACAAAAATAGATGCGTTATTTGCAATGATTATATAGTCACTTTTATATCCTTATAAAAACATTCAGTATATATGTAACGTATATGCATCGGAGTTGGTTGTTAGGTTAATGGCAGTGAAATGTGTACATTACGTGTATTTTAACCAGTTATAATTATAATGCCCCGTTTAGTTTGAAATCACGTCTATCTTTCGTTTGTCTTCATGATTTTGAACTGCAAATAACTACTGATAAAAGTGTCTTAATATTAATGAAATATCCAAATAAGGTATACCCTCTTTAAGAACATCACTGTTTAAACATTTTATGCTAAAGATGTATGACCCTTTCTATTCAAATATGGATGTTTCTCCTCAACGAATTTCAAAGTGGTATGTTATGTTATGGGTTGCAGGGGGAATGACCATGTCGCACACCAGCATCATAAGCCAAATTCACGTTCCAAATTCAATCGTCAAATCTTAATCGATACATCATTTTACGACGACTGCATGGTTGTGACTTCATCAAGGCATAATTTTTCCTAACCTTCGTGCAGGTTGGGTGGGTGGGGCTAGCGGCTATTACCGGGGATTATATGAAACATCCTGGTGGATAATTTGGACCAACGCTAAAATAGCAATAACACTACACATAAATCGTGTTACCGTCTTCTAATATCTATTTTTTTTCCAGTGACTTATTTTCATGATTTTTACTTTTTTAAATGCACTATTATCTTTTCCTAAGCTGCTTAATCATAATGTGTCGTAAATTGAGTCCGGAAAATAAAATACGTGATTTGAATTTTGATGTCATATCATTCCTCACTGACGTAAATGTCTTTAAATTTTGGTGCTGATCAATTTTATTTTGAGGATTTTTTTGAGGATAGTGATCATTTTAACTTACATGGGACATTTCGGTAAGGGCGAATTTCGGGGGTCACAATTATGTCCCGAAAAATCGGGCTGTTCAGTGCTATGTGAATCCGTACAGTGTAAGAAATAACATTTGTGTATTGGTCCTGTGTGTTATTTAATGGGATTTCAGCCTCGTAATGCCCCTTTCATGGCCTCGTGGTCTGTAAATATGATTGTGCACAATATAGTGGCACATCATCTCATTATGCATACTGCACGTGATAGGCTTTTGTTATGTTACATGGTGCTGATGTCGGCATCATTTTCTGTAGTTCCCCAGATGAAATAACTAATATAATAGGCCTACGCAAAGTTGTACATGAATACCATGACGACGGGCAGACATAATTTCAAAACAGAACTGCTTCAGTGTAGTGTGAGGACCACTCGACGTGGAAGCTATCATAGGATCCCAAGTAGTTAAAGTTTCTTTGTTCAGCAAATCGTGTTGGAGCCCTAAAAATATTGAACTCTCTGCAGTTAAGGGATTCGTAAAGGGAGAAATGGATAACGTTTTCAATCTGAATGTTGCTGGCGGCTGCGAGTACACCACGACGCGACGTGTTCGAGCCCTAAAGATACTTGAACTCTCTGCAGCTAAGGGATTCGTAAAGGGGGAAATGGATAACGTTTTCAATCTGAATGTTGGCGGCTGCGTGTACACCACGACGCGGTCGACTATGACTCGCTACCCGGACTCCATGCTGGCTGCCATGTTCAGCAGTGAACTCGAACCGTCTGTTCGTGACGCCAACGGGGCCTATGTCATGGACAGGGACGGGCCCATATTCCGTCACGTACTGAATTTCCTCAGACAGGGCAAGCTGATTCTTCCAGAGGACTTCAAGGAGTGGGAGCTGCTGGCTTCAGAGGCCGATTACTATCAAATGGAAGCTTTGGTAGAGGCGGTGAAGGAGGAAAAAAGTCGGAGGGACGCACCAGAAGACGGCAAGGAGAATTTGGAATTCATAGACATCCATGCCAGTTTGGGCGTGAGATACTCGTATACTGGAAGCAGGAATACCCTATTGAGTATTAGGCCGCTCATAGAGTTTTTCCGTGCTTACAATTACACAACAAATTTTACAAAAGTTGAGCCTGACGTAAAAATGACCTGCACACTTGCTCCGCCACCAGCTATTCAAAATATCACGACGACAAATGATCTAGGAGATGCCTCTCATGTGCGGATCGATGTACACGTACCTGGTACTGCCAGCGTGACTGATTTACACGAGGGATTTAGTAATCGAAAGCAGGCAATTTTGCATTCTTTAAAGATTCTGGGATTTCAAATGAAAACAGAGTTATACACTTTTTTTCCAGACAACTCAGATTTTAAGGAACTAAGATGGACTTTTTCCCGGCGAGTTGAGCCCGGACCTAAGGCCAACATCCGTTGAAAACAAAGGAATCGTGGATTAATGTACTTCTGTGTTGGTAAGCAGAATGACACACTGAGAAAGTGAAACCCTTCTTTTTCCTAAGTTTTTTTTTCTACTTTATCCTGAGATTAAAAGAAATGTGACTTGGGTGACACCATATAGGCAAAATTCGTGATGCGACTTTGATGTGGGTTTTCTTAATTTGTCGTTCATGTTAGACCTCTCTTTACCATTTATGGAAATAGTTACTACAAACAACAATTATTAGTCTGCCCAGAGACATTTGCTGGATTTCAGTTTTCAGGGGGATGTTGAGTTAAATTTGGATTTGGATTCGACTCAGCTTTAAATGGCATCCACTGCGTTTCATCTAGATGGGAATGACCTGCGGGCAGATGCCTACACTGCAAAAACTGCAGTGCTAAATTAACACCATTGGTATCTATATAGGACCATCTGGTGTTAAATTTTACTGGTGTTGTCCTATATAGATACCGAATTGTGTTAAATTAACACCACAGTTTTTGCTGTGTAAAAGATCCCTACAGCCCGTCAAGACCAAACATGGACTTGTCACGAAAACACTCCCTTTGTGAACTCTTGTTTACTGAAACAGATGGACTATCTAATGACAGAATAACAATTCATCGAATTAAAGAGAATAGCCTTTACACCATAATCACATAAAGGAGTACATCATAATGTTAAAATTACTTTTTTAAAGTCCAATTTGATTATTTGGGCAACAGGTGCAGTGTTAAAAGATTGGAGCTTGTTATTTTGTCGCACTAAAATGTAAAGAATTACAGCAATTAACATTTGGCTTGAGACGCTTATGAACAATGTATATACTGCACAACAGTAAGCATTTGGTAGATTCGTCACAACGCAACCATTGTTCTGTACTTTTTATAACGGCTTTTAGTTTTGAGAGGTTTTTCTTTTAATGAGACATTTTAATACTGTTTAATGATTCATTGTGTGGCCAGTAGTAAGCAACAACACTTAGTTTTAGCACCGCGCAATGTTTTTATGTCGTCTCGGTGTCGGTAACAAGCGTAGCAAAAGTTGTGAAAGAAATAGTTTTAGGTTTTAAGAGCTTGTCCCATAACGAATATAGCAAATCACAATTAAACGTGTTTTTTTTTAAACTATGTGATATAACTATCGTTGTTTAGTACCAATTCTGTGTTTGTGTACTTTTATTATACATGTACTTTCATTAGCTACAATTGTATGGCGTACTTTTCAATTTTCGTATGACCTTCACTATATTTTTAATTTCAATATCAGATGTGGTCTTAAAGACGTTTATTCATGATGTATTTCTATTACTAAAAATCCACGCTTACCAGTTGTATTTGATATCCTTTCAAGTTATATTACTTGAGAAAAGTCGAGATGCGAATGGCAGATCTCAGCCGCTTTTCTATGATAACTCAGAAAATTCCATTTCCAAAAAACGATCAGTAATTTGTTTTGACAATTTCATGTTACTTTCAGTTAAAAATTTTCAGTAAAAGATCAATATTTTTGCAAAGATCAAATTACGGTATGCCCATTTTTGAAGCTTATGTGATTTTTAAACGTATTGAATTTTTTAAAAATTCTCATTTGCATCTGGACTCTGGTGTAAAGAGGCTTTCTTTAAGGACTATGTGTTACATGTTATTAAAGAAATATTTTAAAGTCAGCTTTAATAGTTCGGGCAGGGCTTCGCTATTTTCATCTTAAGCAGCCAAAACTTAAAGAATGCACATAGTCCCAAAGTCGTATCCTACAAAATAATGCTTGAGCATCTGAACGACACTATTTATATTTAATAAGTTGACGATTGTAGTTTTATCGCTGGTAGATTTTGTTAGCTTGAGGCTTCAGAATTTCATAGCAACAATGCATAAACCAAACATTTCTAACTAGCCTAAAATAGGATTTGTATGTTATCGTGGTGTTGCGTGCTTGCTGATTGCAAGGACTGGGGATTTTTTTCCCCAATGACGTCAAGGAGTCAAGCTGGACAAGCCCGCCCACTATATTGCTTTGTGTACATTTTGATGTGGCGTACGTGACATCTGATAGCAATGATCGGGGTTTTCCCCTTGACGTCCATCGAGCCAATCTCGGTGATGCCAAGAATATTGCTCGTTACAAAGATGGAACCAATCGTAGTGTCCTCTTTATCAAAAACTGATGTCATTGCGCTTTCTGGGCTGCTGCTGTGGGCCTTAAAAGGGACGAGGCCAGGGTAGGGTTAGGGGAATAGCCACAAGTGCTTTTGCTGCATGCTAAACAACTATACCGCATAGCATGAATATAAAGCAAACACAAGATCTAGGCGGGCTGGGTGGATGTTGATACGGCATTGCACAATGCTGCATGGGTGAGCCTTCATCAATGCATTATTTGTCCAGACCTTTTTTTGGGGGGGGGGGTTGGGGGTGGAGCTAGTGACATACAGGGGGAGGGGGTGGCAACATCCTACCGACGATAAAGTTACAATAACATTACCAATAAATCATGATGATTGAATTTGATATTGAATTTTTGTTCGGTGATTAGTTTCTCGTAGTTTGACAATATTTCACGACTATGGTCTCTTAAAAATGCACGATATCCCTCCCTTTGCTGTAGTTATCCCAATGTGGCATTGAGTCTGGAAACAAAAATAATACATCTATTACTCCGTGATGTAAATGTCAGTTAAAAATAAAGAAAAATCTATACAATATAGTGATTTGGGGTCACATTTGCCACGGTATTTTTCCTATTTTGACATCTGGTTTGTTCAGCTAAAGAAACCACCACACAAACATGAAAATCAATGCTTTCCAGTTGAAATAATCGAGTGACACAACTACCGCAATCGGGCCTTGTGGTCTCAGCGGGATCTACCCGATGTTCCCCAGTACCAATGTTCCCAAGACCCATTGATGAACCTAGATATGCACCCGTCTCAGTTGTACATGTGTCGAAAATAGATATTAGGGAGGTTTCGCAAGCGAACGGATACGCTTACACTTACGTTTAGCTATCCGTATCCGTTTTTTACTTACGTGTAGCGAGCGAGATATGCGTGTCGTCTGTACGTATGACGTCATACGCCACTTACTATCCGCTAAACGTGCAGACGACACGCATATCTCGCTCGCTACACGTAGGTAAAAAAACGGATACGGATAGCTAAGCGTAAGTGTAAGCGTATCCGTTCGCTTGCGAAACCTCCCTAATGTCACGCCCACGACAGTTTGGAACATAATGCCACATCATCTCATTATGCATAGATGCACTGGATCTGGCACGGTACGTGAACTGCATGCAGTGCCGGGCGATATAACGACGGGCGGACACACATTTGATGAGCAGGAACAATTTCAAAACGGAACTGCTGCGGCGTACGAATGTGTGAAGACCACTCGCCATAGTTGGAACACTAATAGACCTATATAGGCCTAGAAGTTGAATTGTCTTTGTTCAGTAATAGTGTTCGAGTAGTTCGAGCCCTACATACGCTGGAATTCTCTGCAGGGCTTCGAAACAGGAAATGGATGACATGCATATGGTCGATCTGAATGTTGGCGGCTGCCTGTACACCACGTCGCGGTCGAATCTGACTCGCTACCCGGACTCCATGCTGGCTGCCATGTTCAGCAGTGAACTCGACCCGTCTGTTCGTAACGCCAACGGGGCCTATGTCATCGACGGAGACGGGCCCATCTTCCGTCATGTCCTCAACTTCCTCCGACGGGGAAAGCTCAACCTTCCGGAGGACTTCAAGGAATGGGACCTGCTGACCTCAGAGGCCGACTTCTACCAGGTTGGAGATTTGACAGATGCGGTGATGGCGGAAAAGATGCGGCGGGTCACACCAGAGGACTCCTCGAAAAGTCCAAAATTCGAATTCGTAGAGATAAATTTAAAAAAAACGACGATGGGCATTGTGTACATAGGAAGCATGGAAACCCTGGCAAACCTGCCCGTTATTGTGGCGTTTTTCAAAACCGACCCATATTCCAATGGAGATGTTCTGGATGTCGTCAAGCAACAGGGCATGATCCAGCACTTCAGCAGTTCGTATCTATATTCTGAAGAGCCTATTGGAGATAAACGCATGATTGTTTTTCGGGAGATAGCGGAGCACGGCTTTGAACTGAAGGCGGTACTCTATGATTCTTATGGGAATAAAGAATGGACTTTTGCTCGGAAGGTCTAGATTAACGTGATGGATATCAACGGCTCAAGCTGTCGTCCCCCAAAACGACGATAACAATTAATGTTCTTCCACAAACCCCTGACTTGCACTCCTTCGCAGAACCATACGGACAAACCTTATATAATCCTTACACAGCTGGAGGTGACACAAAAGTAACCAACAGTAACATGTAAATCTTTCATGTAATGGAATATTGAATGGCAAAAAAAACATGCAAGATTTTGTTTTTTAGTGAAAAATGTTAAGAGTGATTTAAAATATTTGTTATTGGACATGGGTCAATTTTTGACAAAACAGTACATTTGTATTTCACGTAATAATAGCCATCGTCGTGTTTTAAGTCTATAACCGATCATCCACACAACTGACATTTACTTGACATTTTGGCAATTTCAGTGCAAAGAAAGATACAAATCCACCGTTAATGCGAGTGAACCAAATTTACTAGCAATAATTTTAACGCATGCTGTGAATCGTATCTGTGGCACACACATCGCTTCAGTTGTATTATTATTAGAATTCGTCAATTAAAGTCAAATGATAACTGCGAAATCAACACAAACATCTTTATATCGAAATATGTCGTGATTTATTTTCCTGTGTTGCTGAACCGTTGATTGCAAGGATCGGGGGTTCCCCATGACGTCATTGAGCCAAGCTCGGGTGATGCAAAAAATATTGCTCGTAATAAATGTCAACCTTCTCCGTAGGCCTAGTATGCTGTCCTTGATCTTTGATTTTGTTTCCTTATTTGTGTTAACCTTTAATGTGATGCCGTCCGTCGCCGCATGATAGTGGAATAAAATACACACAGTCTATAAATAAACTGTTAAAGATGTTGATGTAGAACGGATGGTGAGGGTGCATGTTATATAAAGCGGGGGGGGGGGGGGGGGGGGGGGGGGGGGGGGGGGGGGGGGGGGGGGGGGGGGGGTGCCCCCCGGAAAAGCAAAAACCAAAAACAAAGGGGGGGAGAGGTGCAAAGTCATATTACCGTTAATTTAATGGATGGCGGGGAGGGGCAAATGTCCCGCTGTCCACCCTAAAAAAATGTTTATTGAGAATATGCCGGAAATGTACATGGATTTTTTTTTGGGGGGGGGGATGTGCTTTGCCCACTCTTGAAAAAATCCTAGCGACGCCCATTGTCTGCTTAGTATGATCATGCATGATCATACTGAGCAGACCTAGCGCCGCACCCGACATGAGCCAAGTCTAAGTATTCTGATATTATTTAGTAACCTTTGAGTTCAATCACCGCCATTGTTGGAGATCATTCGATGCATCGTACACAAACAACCATAGCAAACGTGTCGTGCCAATGCGAGCAGTATTAATCTGCCCAACAACAAAGATGTTGTTCAAATGCTGTGTGTGGACCATTGGAACCCTGATCGTTATTGAGTTGTTCAGCAACTCGTTTTTTGAGGCCAAAGGATGCTCATCAGGGATTCCAAACGAGAAAACGGATGGCATTGTCAATCTGAATGTTGGCGGCTGCCTGTGCACCACGACGCGGTCGACTCTGACTCGCTTCCCGGACTCCATGCTGGCTGCCATGTTCAGCGGTGAACTTGACTCGTCTGTTCGTGACGCCAACGGGGCTTATGTCATGGACAGGGACGGGCCCATTTTCCGTCACGTGCTGAATTTCCTCAGACAGGGCAAGCTGATTCTACCGGAGGACTTCAAGGAGTGGGAGCTGCTGGCTTCAGAGGCCGACTTCTATCAAGTCGAGGCTTTGGTGGAGGCGGTGAAGGCGGAGAAGTATCGAAGAGATGCCACGAGATCAGTGAATGTTGGTGGTTACAAGTACACCATGAATCTGTCGGCTCTGACTCGCTACCCGGACTCCAAGCTGGCTGCCATGTTCAGCAGTGAGTTTGATCCCCCTGTTCTTGACGAGAGCGGGGCTTATATCATCGACGGAGACGGGCCCATCTTCCGCCATGTCCTCAACTTCCTCCGACGGGGCAGGTTGATTCTACCGGAGGACTTCAAGGAGTGGGATCTGCTGGCTACGGAGGCCGATTTCTATCAAGTCGAGGCTTTGGTGGAGGCGGTGAAGGAAGAAAAGTACCGGAGAGTCATACCAGAAGACGAAACGAAGAACATGGAATTCATAAAGTTAAATGCATGTGTTAACGTGAGATACACGTGCACTGGATCAAGGCCGAGAACCATATCTGATATAAGTACACTTAAAGAGTTTTTCTATGCGAATTCCCGTTACGGAAATTTAGAGGGACGCTTCGATAACTATCATAAAACAGTAAACCTCACTCTTCTACCCGATACTGAGACCAATATTCACGAGGATTTTGAAAGACGCAGGGTGGAGATATTCGACAATATTGTTTACTATAAAGGATTCAGATTGAAAGAACGGTCCTACACGTTGAATTCTGCCGGGGTCAAGGAATTCAAATGGACTTTTGCTCGGCACGCAAGCCAATGAAAACAAGAATGTAATATCTTAGAAATGGGCCCAAATGGATAACAAAGGACTGAGAACTGCTACGCTCGGTGCTGCACTAACGTGAAATTACTTCATAATGTGAAACTAAAGCTTTCGCCTACAATAACGTCATATTGTGCTTATGAATATGGAAATTATCGCAGCATTGTAAGTTTTTTAAACTAATTGCAAATTTTAAACGAAGAGTGAAATATGTAGGACAAAAACTTCAATGTGACGGTACAAATTTGCTGTTCCTTTACGAAAAGCTAATTTTCGACAATGTGAGTATTCATACATGCTATTCAAAGAGATACACAATTTGGTCATAGGTCTGTATTCATTTTATTCACTAAATAAAACAATGGAAATCGAAGTGACTGATTTGCGATGAAACATTGAAATGGAACCATGACCTCATATGCTGTATAATCTTTCACATCAAATAATTTGCATAAACTTACATGTTGTAATTATATGTCAAAGTTAAGGAGCATTTTCAGACAAAAAAGCTGCTCGTCCTTTGATGTTTCTCCCAAGGTATATCCGCCAAGTTGGTTAAGTGAATATCGTAAGAGGTACCTTTGAAGTATATAGATGCCTGTATATTTGCACTGAAATTAGTAGATGAAGTATACTTTGTCCAAGTATAATTTTCATAAAAACAAAATACAAACATTCCTGAGTCTGGAATCATGCCTCTCCTTTTTTCGACCGTTGCTGGCGCAAGTCAGATTGAATTGGCCTTCAGGATTCCCCAAGTGACGTCAGAGTACTGCTTTGTAATTTTTATCTTTTTTTAATACAAAAATAGCAACCCCGTCTTTATGGTGTCGAGGAAGATGCTATAGCTCCCCCTTCCCCTCACTCTATCCCTCTCTGGAAAGAGCAGCCAGTGAAATCATACTGCTCGACCCATGGGGCCGGGGGCGAAGTCGTGTCACCCCTTGTTGAGTAACTCGCCCGAGTATTTGCATCGTGTTTCGAAGGATACACGTTTATTTCTCACACCTTACATGGTATCTTAATTAAGTGTATCCTAAAAGTGTATCCTAAGTGTCTTGATGGGACACTGGCTCGGATATCTAATCTGAGAGTCGAATTAGAGACGTATATTCGAGACTGAAATCACAAGTCTAAATGGTATTCTCTTGAAAGATCGGTCAGTGAGCGCAGAAATAGAGCCAGGCGATTTTTATTTCGCACCAGTTTTAATTTTTAAGGGGGGGGGATTAAGCTATTAAAATCCATTTGGCGCTTGACAAAAATAAAGCGTGCCCTCAACAATAACTAAAATCATTATCGATCACTGACGTCTCGATTGAAGACTACTTAGTGAGAGACGGTAAAAAAAAAACAGTTGTGCGAGGGCGTACGAGGGCGCTCTACAACACTAACTTAAATCACTATCGATCACTGACGTATTGAGCAAAGACTACTTCCTGACCTCCGCCGCTCCAACATGACCCTGCTGGACGACTTCCTGGAGATCGACCTTCCGGCCGCTGAGGGCGGACTTCTATCAGATCCAGGAGCTGATCAAGGCCATCTTTGATGCATTTTGATTGTTTAGTTCTGCAATGAAATGGCAATTCCACCACGAATTGTACAACCCCACGCAGGTTAATGGGAAATTGTATGTGTATTGAATTCAGTAATAGACTGATGTCATTATGACAAACAAAAATGTACTCCTTTTTTCAATTATGCGTACGGCCGTGAATTTGTTTTAATAACTGATATTATGCACACTAGGTTGAATATCACAAGCCTTGAAATGATTATAGAAATGTAATGGACGGGCCAGATAATTATAATTATCTTACAGTCGTTTTATCCATGGCAACATGAAGAATATTATCAAGACAATTGTGTGGCCGCATAGTAGAAAACCCTGAAAAATGCAACACCGACAAAATAAATAGATAGCTTCTCCATCTGCTCGACCCCATTATTTAAACTCTTGCTGGAGCGAGCACCTTCATGCCTCCACAACATGTAATTTGAGCCACCGGACCCTCACAACCAGCCCATTCACCCCTGATTAACCTCTGGCATGTCTGGAGTATCTCCCCGGCCCCAAACAGCCGTTAAAACCACAGACATAACCACATTTGACATATTCCATTTTGGTCACAGGGGTGATCGAAATAATCCCAACGTTTAAAGTGCATTTGTACACAAGCCTATGTAAATGTGCACAAGCACACAGGGTTTTCCCGCCAATTTTCAACCCCTCCAGTAGATCACAAGACTGACACCCCCTCTGAAGGACGTACTATGGTCCATACTAGGATCTAGCGATAGATGGCCCCGGGTGGGTATACCACATGGCCAGGACAATATAAAACATAAAAATGTGTAGAGTCAATATTCCATCCTGATTAAGGGGAGGGCGACAAACTGTTAAAATTTGTTATGCATTATTCAATTAATATAAAGTGCACCACCTATAGACACTGTCATGCCCATTCTATGGATCATTACCGTGACGCTAATGCAAAATCAATGAATGTACATTGCACTTTGAACTAGCACAAGAATATGTTCAAGTGTTGAAAATTAAAAAAGCAAGGCTATTTGTTTACCCAATTAATATTTCTATTGACGACGGTGTCACATGAAAATCCGACTCCTATGGAAATCGGACCGCTATTTCCCTATTATTGGTTGATCCCTCACACGTGATAGGTCACTCTCCCGAAACGATCCTAAAAATAGCACGGTATCGCACTCACGCGTGCGCAGTACTACCAATGAGTCCACATTTCACGGAGTCGGATATTCACGCTACACCGGCATACGGAGTTTTGGATACCACGGTTTGTCATGGCGGAACTTATCGAGCTTAATGTAGGCGGCTGCCTGTACACCACGACGAAGTGGACACTGACTCGCGACCCGAACTCCTGGCTGGGCAGAATGTTCAGTGTGCCAGACAATATTCCCGTCCGAGTAAACGGAGCTTACTTCATCAACGGAGACGGGCCCATCTTCCGCCACGTCCTCAACTTCCTCCGACGGGGCAGGCTGATTCTACCGGAGGACTTCAAGGAGTGGGACCTGCTGGCTACGGAGGCCAACCACTACCAAGTCGGGGCTTTGGTGGAGGCAGTAAAGAAGGAAAAGTATCAGAGGGTCATAGAGATATCTGCAATTCCAAACGTGAGCTACACATACACTGGCAGCAGTAGTATCCTAGAGAAAATACCATCGCTTGTTGATTTTTTCAAACCGTACCAGTCCGCTCCACCTCAAGTTATCACAGGCGGGCAGGTCACCCTCACAGTAAAACCAGCTGGTGGGAAGCCTCACTCTACGGCCGAGACTCTCCATCGTAGATTTGAACACAATCTGGTGGCGATCATCCAGGAGATAGAACGGCTTGGGTTCCAAGCGGAGAAAGAGACCTGCACAATGAACAATTCCAGGCAACAGGAGGAACTCCGCTTGACCTTTTTCCGGCGCATTGGTGGTTAAAAAAGACCATTCTTACTCGTACGTTGGTCGCAGTACGTGCTTCCCGAGTTTGTTCTCCGCCTTTGACCCGAAATTACGATGGATATAAAGGCTGGCACTGCTCAGACTTTCGTTGAAAAAAACAAAGTACACTCTATCAGCTTAGCTAATATGGACAAACTTTATAAAAATCCTTCAAATTTTCACAGAACAAGATGCTTCAAGGGAATGGCGATCTAGCCTGCAAACCGGCCTCGTACTTTGTCGCTATTTTATTTAGAGGTTTTCTTTTAAAGGGACACTGGGTCCTAGGACAGCTTTTTGGGCTACAAAACGTGCTTTGAACGAAATGATGTTAATCGGAAAGAACATTTATTGCTTCCATGTATACGGCCATTAAGATATACATGTAGTTACAATGTACTTAGTTTTTAGCGTTCATTGTGACTTTTATCATCCAAAATTATTTTTAAGTATTTAGAGTGTCTTTTCTGTAACAAAAAGTACGGCGTTCCATCAATCGCTTTTCGTGTTTCAATATCATATGTTTTATCATTGTATTTCTATTGGTTCACTTTAGTAACCTAATTATGTTCTGACCGGTTATAAGCTTTGGTCGTTTAGATAGTTTACATGATAACGAATTAGTTTCATTTGTTCAGCGTAATGCCTTTATGTTACAAGCAAACCGTCATCAATTCAGAAATAGTTTGAAAGCATGTCACATAACAATCCAGTTACCCACTAAAGTGTTATGATTATATTAGCATCGTCAAACTAAAATTAATGTAGCCGTGTTGTAAATTCATAATTAACAATCGATAGTTAGTACTTGTGTCTACTTATAGTCAAGAATTATTTCTATGAACAAAATAAAAAAATATACAGATATCACAAATTAACAAAACTAGACGATTTGACGACGTGTTCAATTATTATCATTGGTCAATAACAAAAAATTAAATGAACGATAACCATTTTCAGATTTGAAAGATCCCATAAAAGGTGTTGTCAATAAAGTAAACATTGCGTCACCGAGACCACGAAGTAACACCAAAGTCCAATTCAGTGTTACTTCGTGAAAACCGCTTAATGACAAATCGTCACCGACACCACGAAGTAACACCCATCTATATACCAGTAAAAACTAACAATCGGAGAAAACGGCAACTAAAGTTGAACGCCTTCTAAAACAACACTTTGTGTCAAAACGACAGAGTATTTTCAGTTGGGTTTCTCGTTGTGGACACCTGATGAATTGAATTTATTAAATCTGCTGTTTTTCACCCGTTTGTGTATTAAATAAACAAGAAATAAGAGAAAAAAAGATGAGTGTTAGTTCGTGAAACCGAAAAGGCTGCGAAACTGTAAATTTTCGTTTTCACGAAGTAACACCCTTCAATGTATTCGACACGAGGAAAGTGCAACTACAGGTCAGCGCGCGCGCTCACACAACTTGTTACAAGAAGAGTGTTACTTCGTGATAAAGTTCTTGTCAGCAGAGTGCGCACCATGCATTGCAATGGTAAATGGAACTTGAGTGTTACTTCGTGAAAACGAAAATTGTCACTTTTGAGCAAAAGTTGCCATGGATACTTAGCGTAATTATTAAAGTAAAGCTCTTGAAGCTTTGAAACTTCGTGCAATGGTAGGCCTTGATGAATAATTTTTAAAAATAAAAAAACTGAAAATCGAGGGGAAAAAATGGTTTAACACGGTAGAGTGTTACTTCGTGGTGTCGGTGACGAAATGTTGGTTGGTTTCACGAAGTAACACTCAAGTGTGCGCGCGCACATCGGACACTGGCGCGAACGATTTTCGTTTCACAACCTTACGGAAATACTATTTGGATAAAAACGTTTTAAAACGTTTGGCAGGAATGTAATTAAGCCGTTTTCTTGTGTGATTACAGAACATTTTTAATAAAAAGCCTTTAAACTGGTGAAATAAAGATGAGTGTTACTTCGCTAAAACGAAAATGATCGATTCAGCGCACAGTGTACATGAGTGTTTACTTCGTAAAAACAAAAATCACTCGGTTCTGTAAAATGCGCGCGCGTAGCGCGACTGAAGTCCACTTGGGTGTTACTTCGTGGTGTCGCTGACGGTTGAGAGGGAGTCGTGTGAATAAAAACCCAGGAGAATGAAGACCCTACCATTCTGGTGGTGTTTCTCTTGTATAAATATGAATAATTATGACAGTTGTATAATTGATAGGATCCATCAATTTAATTAATTAAAGGTAAAGAACTTCCAGCCGAAAATCCTTTTGATTTAGACAACTAAGCTCCGCTAACAAGGGCAGCTTTGGAGCACTTTTGCACCTTCTTGTGAACTTCTCTTGCGGGCGCAGCGAAGCAGTTCACGGTAAGATGCACTCGCCTCGGGAAGTGATGTCCAAACTTGTAGATTTAAACTGACCGCACACGGGAGCCTTCTGCTCACGTCATCGGCAACGAATGACTTTTGGCGAAGCAGATAGCTCTCGTGTGCGCCAGGCTTAAGAGAAGGCATATCAGGATCTCTGATGAGCGTCTTACCCAAACAAAATCCACCTTCTTAGATAGCTCATCCGCCTTCATAGGTGCATGGAAGAAACATGCATTCGTGCCTTATCTACATGTATATTATAGATTTGTTATATAGAATACATATTCATGAACCCTCCGTGAAAAAGGTACTTTACGCCCACGACAGTTCACCCATAATGACGCATATGATCTCATTTAATCAGTGTACTTCCGCTCTACGTTCCATGTTTTCAATGTAGTGCATGCAGCTTGCAGCTTTGGTACGGCGGGTTATATGTGACGGGCAGACACACCTCTGCCCCACGCACTCAACCACAAAAGAGCGAGGACCACAGACTCGACTTGGTTGGAACCCTCAGAGTTTGACTTTTCTTTATTCAGCAAATCGTGTTCAAGCCCTAAAGAAACATGAATTTTTGGCAGGGGATTCCATACAGGAAAATGGATGACATTGTTAAGCTTGATGTTGGTGGTTGTCTGTACACCACGACGCGGTCGACTCTGACTCGCTACCCGGACTCCATGCTGGCTGCCATGTTCAGCAGTGAACTTGACCCGTCTGTTCGTGACGCCAACGGGGCCTACGTCATCGACGGAGACGGGCCCATCTTCCGCCATGTCCTCAACTTCCTCCGACGGGGAAAGCTCAACCTTCCGGAGAACTTCAGGGAGTGGGAGCTGCTGGCTTCAGAGGCCGAGTTTTACCAAGTTGGAGGTTTAATTCATGCAGTGCAGGCGGAAAAGTGTAAAAGGGTCACTTCAGCCGACGCCAAGAAACGTCGAAAATTCGAATTCATAGAGATAGACAAGGATGATAGCGCTTATAGCCTGGATGTAAAGTACATTGGAAGCAGTGAAACACTGGCAAACTTACCTGCTTTGTTGGAGATGTTCGAATCCTCTAAATATGGAAGTCAGGTCCTGGATGTTGTCAAGCGAGAGGGCAAGATCATGCACGAAATCACAAGATCTTCCAATAAAAGTTATCAAAATAAACGCATGTTGATTTTCCGGGACATACTGAATCACGGATTTAGACTGGAGGAGACTAATTATCCGGAGGATGGGCAGGCAACATTTACTTTCATTCGGGAGATCTAGATTGACGAGATGGATATCAAGTCATGTTCAGTTCAGACTGTCATTCTACAAAAATGACGATAACAATTTTATGCACTTTCCTCAAACCCCTGTGTACTCGATTGCTGAACCACACACGGACGAACTATGGAATCCTTACCAAAGTGGTAACTTAATAACAAGTAATGCCTTCATGAAAATAATGGAATACTTAACATATACTCAAAACTTAAAGACATGTGTTTACGTTTTCAGTAAAAATAGAAGTAATGTTAGAAAATCTACACTGAAAACAACATGACACGGGTCAAATTTTGACGCGGTTATAGTATTTTCGTTGTTTTTATGTCTTCAAGATTTAAATAATAGTCATAGCCATCATTGTGTTTTAAATCTATAATCTCTCATTCACACATTTGGCATTTGCTTTGACATTTTTAATTTATTGCAAAGAAAGATACAAGTCCACCATTATTTCGAGTGAACCAAATTTACCAGCAATAATTATAACTCATTTTGAACCCTGTGGCACGCACATCGCTTTATTTTTTTTCAATTGTTAGAATCCCTCAATAAAACTCAAACGCAAACTTACAGATCAAAAAATTATATTTTGTAATCTTATAATGTCGTTTTGTGTGTGTGGTTTGCTTGACTGGGGGTTTCACCCGTGACGTCGTGGAGCCAAGCTCGGGTGATGCAAAGAATATAGCTCGTAATTTCGACCTTATTATTATGCTGTCCGTGATATTTGATTTTGTCTCTTCAGCTTTGTGAAACTTAAAATATGATTCCGTCAGTCGACAGTTTCAGATATTCAAATAAAATACACACAGAAACTCTTCAAGATGTTGGTATAGAATGGTTTGTGAGAGCGTACGTTATATAAAGCGTTGCATGGTATTAGATGTTTAGAAAGCATCATACTCATGGGCGTCGCGCCCCCTTCCCCCCCCCCCCCCCATAAAAAAAAGGGGACAAAAGAAAGAAAAAGAGGTGCAAAGTCATACTGCTTTTAATTAAATGGGTGACGGGGAGGGGCAAATGTCCCCCTGTCTACCCTCGAAAAAATGATAAATTGAGAATATGCTGGAAAAGTCATGCATGGATTTGGGGTGAAATGTGCTTTGCCCCCTCTTGCAAAAGTCCTTGGACGCTCATGATCATACTGAGCAGACCTAGCGCAGCACCCGACTTGAGCCAAGTCTAAGTATTCTGATATTATTTAGTAACCTTTTAGTTCAATCGAAGCCATTGTTGGAGATCATTCGATGCATCGCACACTAACAACCACAGCAAACGTGTCGTGCCAATTCCAGCAATTTTAATCTACCAAACAGCAAAGATGTTGTTCAAATGCTGTGTGTGGACCATTGGAACCCTGATCGTTATTGAGTTGTTCAGCAACTCGTTTTTTGAGGCCGAAGGATGCTCCTCTGCAGGGATTCCAAACGAGAAAACGGATGGCATTGTCAATCTGAATGTTGGCGGCTGCCTGTGCACCACGACGCGGTCGACACTGACTCGCTACCCGGACTCCATGATGGCTGCCATGTTCAGCGGTGAACTCGAACCGTCTGCTCGTGACGCCAACGGGGCCTATGTCATGGACAGGGACGGGCCCATCTTCCGTCACGTACTGAATTTCCTCAGACAGGGCAAGCTGATTCTACCGGAGGACTTCAAGGAGTGGGACCTGCTGGCTTCAGAGGCCGACTTCTATCAAGTCGATACTTTGGTGGAGGCGGTGAAGGCGGAAAAGTATCGAAGAGATGCCACGAGATCAGTGAATGTTGGTGGTTACAAGTACACCATGAATCTGTCGGCTCTGACTCGCTACCCGGGCTCCAAGCTGGCTGCTATGTTTAGCGGTGAGTTTGATCCCCCCGTTCTTGACGAGAGCGGGGCTTATATCATCGACGGAGACGGGCCCATCTTCCGCCATGTCCTCAACTTCCTCCGACGGGGCAGGTTAATTCTACCGGAGGACTTCAAGGAGTTGGATCTGCTGGCTACGGAGGCCGATTTCTATCAAGTCGGGGATTTGGTGGAGGCGGTGAAGGAAGAAAAGTATCGGAGAGTCATACCAGAAGACGAAACGAAAAACTTTGAATACATTAAGTTAAATGCATGTGTTAACGTGAGCTACACGTACACGTTCACTGGCAGCAGGAATATCCCATGGTGTCAGCCACTTAGAGAGTTTTTCCGGGAACATTCCCATTCGGCAGTTTATCAAGACCGCGGTAACTATACACTGAACCTTCCACTCGATATCAAGACCAATGTTCATGCGGATTTTGAAAGACGCAAGGGGGCGATGTTCAAGGGCATTCTTGGGTCTGGTTATGGATTCATATTGAAAGAACGATCCTACACGTTGAATCCTGCCGGGGTCAAGGAATTCAAATGGACTTTTGCTCGGCTTGGTTAATCTTGAGTCGATGAAAACAAGAATGTAAGATCCTCTCAGAAATGGGAATGGATAACAGAGGACTGAGAACTGCAACGTTCGGTGCTGCACTGACAGCACAACGTGAAGAATTGTCGTCACCATATTATCTTCAAACATCACCAGCGATAAAACATCAGTTTAAAAGTTAAAAATGTTTAAAGTCCTTTTGAAAGCCCGTCTTTAAAAACAAAGGTTGATTGCATAGATCCTTTTCCTAAGCACGGTGTAATAAAGATATTGTGTACCCAATTGTCAATTGGGTAGGGTGGCAACATACGAAGAATATGAGGGTGCAGCGTATATAGTCGGGAATTGATAACACAATGATTCAAATTTATTATGGCACCCTTAACGATTGGCAGAAGGCCAACCATCAGGAACTACTTGTCAATGGTAGTCTTTTTCGTGCACATTATAAGGCACAAACAGGCCTTTGAAAACATGTTTTTAAAAAGACACAATGAATACTGAAATACCTTTCTTTATGAAAGGGGGAGTGGAGAATAAGGTTTAACTTTGAACCAGGAGGTTTGTGTTTCGTTAAAACGCGGGGTCGTCTCCAATGGTGATGCTTACAAACAATATCGCGTCCGCCAATTTTTTTTTACCGTACGATTTGATGACGAGCGAATTAAGAGCATTGTTTTTCTAGTTGAAATTGTTCAGACATTAAGAATTACTAAGACTGGGAAAGGGGACAGTGCTTCGCAGCTGACTGTAGTTATAATTAAGAACGTGAAGAATACCGTTATTTTTCTTTGCTGACATAAACATTGATGAAATGAAATGTTGCTATGTTAGGCTATGTTTGGATATCACCATGGGCAACACGTGAGCTAGTTAGCATCACCACATATTAACACCATTGCGCGGCGTGGTTGCTCATTGCATGCATAGGATCAGAGCCGGAAAGTTTCGTGCCAGTTCCTTTTTCAGGGGCTCGTAATTTGAGGCTGATCATTTAGTGTGCTGTCTGTTTATACGTTGAACATCTCACCACTCAACAGTTCCTCCAAAGGACGTCGTCTGAAGGCCCACTGACAAACGGTTAAAAAAACGACATGGCGAGCCCCGCAAAAGTTGACAAGCGTGATAAAAAGGACGATACCTTCTATCTGAATGTCGGCGGCAGTCTGTACACCACGAAGATGTCGACTCTGACTCGCTACCCGGACTCCAAGCTGGCTGCCATGTTCAGCGGTGGACACGACCCGTCTGTTCGTGGCGCCAGTGAGACCTATGTCATCGACAGAGACGGGCCTATCTTCCGTCATGTCCTCAACTTCCTCAGACAGGGCAAGCTGATTCTACCGGAGGACTTCAAGGAGCGGGACCTGCTGGCCTCAGAGGCCGATTTCTTCCAAATCCCAGACCTGGTAGCGGCAGCATCTTTGCGTAAGGTGGTGTTGACGAGTCCACCCGTGGCAGACGACCCGAAAAAGGAATTTGTGGAATTCACAGAACAAGATAACAAGAGTTGCAGATACCGGGGCAGTTGGGAAACTTTTGAGCAACTACCACGTGAGTTCCTTGCTGTATTTGAAGCGGCCCCTAGCTTTCCTACTTTCTCGTATGGAAAACAGTTGCGATCCCTCGAAGAAATGCGTTCCGGTGTGGAAATGTTTGGGGAGATCTCGGGATACTGGGGTGCTTTCTCCTTTGGGCAGCCTGGGGCGACACCACCACATGTATTTGGAGAAGTAGTCTCCAACAACCGATCCGAACTAGACCCACCAAAATGGATGGCGGTATTTCAACGAGCCTCTGAACTTGGTTTTCAGTTATTGAGCACGTCGGACCCGGGCGTGCCCGGAGAGAAATCATGGTTGTTTGGCAGAAAGGTCCCGCCCAAGATTGTGGCCAGAGACCCTCCATAGAACATCGAACGGGCTACAACGACAAAGAAGTCATGTTGTCCCCCCGAAAGTGTTGCAAAAACAAAGACGAAAAGTGGACCAACTATTGAAAAAGATGTAATGCAGATTATTAAAAAAAAAATTAAAACATGGAAAGGCTGGATTCAAATCACAAGATTGTTGGTATTGTACCAAAATGACTGTTACAGATACACTATACCGGTAATTGCCTGCTGTGTGTTTTAAAAAAGGTCAACTTTGAAGATAAAGTCATGTTGAAAAGAAAAGCGGAATACAAAATATGAAGGCTGCAAATCGAACACTCTTTATAATTATATGCCAAAAAAACCTTATCTGATTTTAGTGGAAATAGTCAAACGTGCAGCCAGCTACAAAATTAAGCAATTTCAGTAAATTTTTGGAGAATGCATATTGTGTCTGGATAAACTTTATGTCATGCACATGTTCATTTTTCGTTATTTTATTATCGAATTAAGATGCAATACACAGCTGTATCAACATGGGCATGTTCCATGGGAAAATGTGAATATCGTAAATGTAACAACCCCACCCTTATTTTGTTTTTACTTCTTCAGCAGATTTGCGCAGGGATCGGTCTTGTACAGTAGAAGTATGAAATGAAGTAACACTTGTATCAGATGCATGTACATTAGCAGCACTTGAATTAGTATTATTTGGAATAATTTTCATTATTTTAACAATAATTATAATTATAGCAACCTCATCCTCATGGCGTCGTGCAGGACGCTACCATTGCAGCTTCTCTCTGGAAGACTGGAACAGCAGCTAATGGTATCGTACTGCTCGACCCCACGGGGGACAAGGTCGTGCCATCCCTTGTCGAGTAACTCGTCCGAGTATTCGCATCATGTTTCGGTGGATACTCGTTTATTCCTCTCATCTTACATGGTATCACGAATGCCTTGATGTGGATATTGGCTCAGATATCTCATCTTGGTTTCGAATTATTAGAGGCGTCATCAAGACTAGACTCGAATCAATCGTCAATCGACTGCATATCGAATATCGGCATTTGTTATATTTTGTAACGGTGTTTAGTATCAAGTCTATGCCTATTTAAAAAGAAATGTATGTAATGCTATACTTTCCTCATGGCCATTGAGATGGTTAAGATAATGATTAATGTTAGTTTCATTTGCATAACGTCAATAATGGTTACATGTTATCAGTTTGAATTACAAGCAAAACTCATAAAATTAGAAATAGTTTGAACTCTTGTCATAATTATAACGTTACCTAAAGTGTTATGATATTATTAGCAAGGCACAATAACATGTAACATTTTTGCAAGCTCATAATATAACCATCGATGTTTAGAATACTTCAACATTTATTGTGACTTTTATTAGCCAGAATTATGTTAAAGTATTTAGAGTTTGTCTTTTCTTTAGCAAAAAAAAATTTGGCGTACCATCGAAAACGGTCAGAGCATACTGACCGGAACGTCGAGTTTATACCTCTGGTTCTTTTCAGAACCATTCTCTTAGTTGAGAAATTATTTGCACATGGTGTTTCTGCAAACCTTTCATTATTTAGTATCTCCACCATGCAAAGCCTCAAAATCTTACTTACTATAGATAACTTTTAGTGTGAATTTAACTAGTTTTAGTTTCCAATATCATACGAGATGTATGTTATTGTATTTCTATTAGTTCACTTCAGTAAAATGTTCTTACCAGTTTTATAAGTTTCCTGAAGTTACATTATCGAAGAGTCGATAAAAATTCCACCTTCAAAAAATATTAGCTCTGTTTTAACGAATGATGAATAGGTCAAGGTATTTGTCCTTTTTAAAGCTGATTTTGTTTCAAAACTATTTGAATGCTTTCTATCTCAATTTGCATCTGGACTAGACTGTAAAGAGGACTTCTTTAAAAATATGTGTTACACATTATTGATGTTAGTAAAGGCGTATTTTAAAGTCAGCTTTAAAGATTCGGGATACTGTTTTCATCTTAAGCAGCCAAAAGAATGCATACAGGCCCAAAATCCCATTCAAATTCATGAGCATCTGTAATTTTTTTTATGTTATTAAGTTAACGATTGTAGTGTTAGCGCTTGTAGTTTTGTCGTGCCTGAAGCTTCAGAATTCCATAGTAATATGCAAATTCTATAAAAATGCTAGAGAAAAATATGCTTTATATTGAATTGTTTGGTTTATTGTTATCGCGGTGTTGCATGCTTGCCGATTGCACGGACTGGAGATTTTTTGCCCATGACGTCATGGAGTTAGCTTTTTAAGCCACGCCCACCTTTGCTGTGAGTACATTGCAAGCTCTCAGTGCTAGTGACCGAGTTTGACAGCTATATATCTTGGCCAAATGTGACAGTCAGGTCAGTTGGGGTCAGTCAGGTCAGTCGGGGTCAGTCGGGGCCAGTCAGTCTGTCAGGTCAGTCAGTCTGTCAGGTCAGTCGGGGTCAATTAGGTCAGTCGGGGTCAATCAGGTCAGTCAGTAGGTCAGGTTAGTTGGGGTCAGTCGGGGTCAGTCAGGTCAGTCAGTCTGTCAGGTCAGTCGGGTCAGTCGGGTCAGCCAGGTCAGTGATATTACAAAGAGAACACTAGACTGGCCCTCTGGGACCAGCAAGTATGAATGCTAACATGTATTGGATTTCTGGGTGTGTAGAACATTTTTTTTTAAAGGTGGGCTTGTGTGTTTCAGTGCAAAGAAAGATACAAGTTTATACCATTATGCTGCGTGAACCATAAATGCATCTATCAATTTAACACATTCTGAGCACGTGTCTGTGACACGCACATCGCTTCAGACTTTTTTTTATTAATTAATAGAATCCATCCATTTAAACTAGCTTCCAGAGATAAGTTTATCCTTTCTTAAGAATCGTTATGTCGTTTTTTGGTTTGGTGTTGCGTGACATTCTGAATGCCAAAAATGGGGGGGGGGGGGGGGGGGTATTCCCCGTGACGTCATCAAGCCAAGGTGATGCGAGGATGCAAGGAGTACACAATTCGACCTTGCTCCATAAAGATAACTATGCTGTACGTGCTCTTCAATTTGTCTCCTTTTTTAGCCTTGTGTGCGACTTCTTCAGTAGCTGAACCGGTATTAAAATAAATGGCAGGCCTAAAGAAACTGTTCAACATGTTAGCCTAGAACGGACTGTGAGGGCGCAAGTTATATAAAGTGCTGGTAAGGTGGTATAGGATACATCATTACTGCAGGTTCATCATACTGAGCAGACCTAGCGCAGCACCCGACTTGAGCCAAGTCTAATTATTCTGTGATATGAGCAACCGCTCAAGTTCAATCAACAGCCACTGTTAAATAAATTGATGAATACAAAACCACAAAGAAATCGCCACAACCATGACAGCCTCCAAACTTACCGATCACTTGGCACATCATCTCATTTGCACTTTGAACCACAGTCGAGTGTGTGTTCAGTGCCAACGCCCAAATGTGATCTGCAAAATAGCAATTTTGTGACACGAAACTGAATTCTAGTGTGAGGACCATTCGAAGTTGTTTCTCAAGCAAAACTGTGTTCGAGCCCTAACAATAATTCCCTGCAGGGATTTGAAAGAGGAAAATGGATGACATGGTTAAGCTTGATGTTGGCGGCTGCCTGTACATCACATCACGGTCGACTCTGACTCGCTACACGGACTCCATGCTGGCGGCCATGTTCAGCAGTGAACTCGACCCGTCTGTTCGTGACGCCAACGGGGCCTATGTCATCGACGGAGACGGGCCCATCTTCCGGCATGTCCTCAACTTCCTCCGACGGGGAAAGCTCAACCTTCCAGAGGACTTCAAGGAATGGGACCTGCTGGCTTCAGAGGCCGACTTCTACCAAATCGAAGCTTTGGTGGAGGCCGTGAAGGCGGAAAAGTGTCGGAGGGACACACCAGGAGACGCCAAGGAGACTTTGGAATACATAGAGATCCATGCCAGCGCTGACGTAGGATACACGTACACAGGAAGCAGGAGTACTCTACGGAGTATTCCTAAGCTCCTGCGTTTTTTCCGTGATTACATTAAGCCTGCTATCCTTAGAGAAGTTGATGGGCCTGACAGACAGATTACATGTACACTTGCCCTGCGACCTGTTCAAGATAGCAGGAGCGATTCACAAGCACGTAGTGTCAGCACGTTCGAAGTACGCGGCACTACCAACCAGACCAAATTAAAAGAGGACTTTGATTATCAAAAGGGGTCAATTTTGCGGGAGATAGAGGACCTTGGATTTGAAATGAAAACAGAGTTATACAGTTTTTTCCCTGATGATGATATAGCTAAGGATATCAGATGGACTTTCGCCCGGCGCGTTGGGCCCGGACTCAAGACCAACCTCCCCTTCCTTAAAACTTTGTTTAGCACTTGAACACAATCTTGCTATCACTTTGAAAACATGTTTAGATGCTAAACATTATGTGTCCAATTCCTAAACATCAATGTTCAATAGCTAAACACTATCCATCCTTACCCTAAACATGTTTAGTATTTAAACATGTTTACAAACTGATAGCAAGAAAGTGTTTAATTGCTAAACACAGTTTTTGCAGTGCACTGAAAAAAACTGTCATGTAAATGCACGTTGTTGGTATAGCATGACGCATTAGAACAGTGAAACCCTTCTTCTTTTAGAATTTTTATGTGACTTGGATGATGACACCAGGCGAGACTGCAAAGTTGTCGTGCGAACCCGGCACAGTTGAACTTGCCAGTCATTGGGAATTTTTCCCCAGAGACGAACGCTGAAATTTCGTTTTCAGGGAGATCTCTTATGGATTTCTTCAAGCTGGGAATTCGGAATTGAGATAGACCGGGCTGATGCCTAAAAGATTTCTACAGCCCGTCAAGACAAAACATGGACTTCTCACGAACACCCGATGGACAGAAACACTCCCTTTAAGAACTCTTGTTTTATACTGAAACAGATCGACTATCTAATACATGTGCCAGAATTCTTCGAATGAAAAAAAATATAGCTTGTATATTGTATATCATAATAAAGGAATACCATAGCATATGTTGAAATTACTTTTTAAAAATCATTTTCATTTTTTGGGCGATAGGTGCAGTGTTTCAAGGTTGAAGCTTGTGATTTTGTCGCACCAAAATGTAAATAATTGCACCAATTAAACATTTAGCTTAAACCACTTATAAACAATGTATATACCTCACAAGAGTAAGAATTTGGTAAATTCGTGACAACGCAAACCAATTTTCTGTATTTTCTGCGCTCAGAAGGGTTCAAATTAAGGTATATAGTTGTGGGTTGTTTGCGTACTTTAAATAAATCAAGATTTTACTTATCGGCCATTTAGATAGTTACGATACTTAGTTTTACCACAGCGCAATGTTTTCATCTCGTCGCAGTTTCGGTAACAAGCTTTGCAAAAGGTGTAAAAGAAATACTTTTAGTTTTAAGAGTTTGCCCTGTAACGAACCAGTTACCCACTAAAGTGTAGTATAACCACTAAAGTGTATATATGTTTATATCTGGGGTTTTTTTTTGAAGCTCATACATGACCATCGAGTACCGATTCTGTACCCGTATACTTGTACTATGCTTTTATTAACCAGAATCGTACGGCGTATACAATCACTTTCGTATGACCTTATTACTATTTTTAAGATCAGATATAGTCTTAGAGGTGTTTGCTATCGTATTTCCATTAGTTAACGTAAGTTAAAAATCTGTGCTTACCAGTTATATTTTTATCCTCTTAAGTTACATTATAAAAGAGCTGAGATGCAAAAGAGGATAGTCTAACAAGCTTTTTCTGAGAGCTTGCAAAAAGTCCGTCTTCAAAAATGATTAGTTCTAGTTTAAAGATTTTGATTTTATTTTCAAATCTTATTTTCGGAGGTTTTTAAAATACCGGCGGGTGATGGAAAGGTAACATTTTTGCCTGGTTAAAGTGGCGGTATGTCATTTTCTCAAGCTGATTTTTAAAAGTTATTGCATGGTTTTATCTTAATTGCAAATGGACTCTAAGAGGTTTACTTTAAGGAGTATGTGCTATACGTTATTGGTATTAAACAGAGTTATTTTAAAGTCATGTATACAAATTCGAGCCTCGCCATTTTCAACTCAGGCAGACAAAAGAGTGCATAAACAGGCCTAAAGTCCTATAACATTCTGCGTGAACATCTGTACACATTCATTATATATTAATAAGGTGACGACTGTAGTTTTAACACTTCTAGATTTGTTGTGCTTGAAGCGTGCGAGTTCTATATAACATACGATTTGTATGGAATTTCATGGTTTATTGTTATCGTGGTGTTGCGTGCTTGTCGATTGCAAGGACTGGGTTGGTTTTTTTGTTACCCATGACGTCATGGAGTCTAGCTCTATAAGCCACACCCACTCTTGCTATTTGTGTATACATACCTCGGGTACAGAGCTTGTGACCGAGTTTGGCACAGGTATCATGGTCGCATGTGGCAGTCGTGGATGAGCCGGGGGGTCAGTCGGGGGGGGGGGGATTCGGGGAGTCAGTCAGTCACTGAGATACCACAACACTAGGCTGGCCCTCTGGGACCAGCAAGTATGGGATGCTAAAATGCATTTAGAGATTTCTGGGTGTGTAAGACAATTAAAAGGGAATTGTGTCCTTGTGCATAAGTCGAAGGAACACACCTGGACGTTTCTCCGACATTTTCTATTTTCAGTGCAAAGAAAGATACACATCTACCACTATTTAGATGGAACAAAAAACTAGCAATAATTATTACGCATGCTAAATCGTACATTGCTTCATTTTTTTCAAATCTAATACCTCCCAAAAACTTTATTTTTTTTATCGGCGGAATATGGTGTTTTGCTAGTCTGGTTCCCAGACCAAAAGATTCTGACTATTCCTGTTGAATCTTAGGCCAGGTAGCCTCCGGTAAAACATTGTATTACAATTTACGTCACGTGACTAAAACGGGAGGAATTCCTCCTTTTTCCGAAAATGTCCGAAGTTTGCCTAGTTCATTTTGTCGACAATCGGATTGCGGCCGAGTATTTCCGAGTATAATATAGGTTCAATTAACTGCTAATTGCTTATTAAAAACTTTTTAAAATTAGTTGATAATTAATATTCATTGCTTTCATTAAGAAAACTTGAAATTCAACGACGGTTTTGTGCATCAAGTATACTCGGATCGTATGGGCGAACTTTTTGCAGCGTCATGAACTATTTTGAATTTGACGACCGTTACCGAGATTTATCAAAACTCGGTCTTAATTCGGCTCCGCCTGCTGGGAATTCGGAATTGAGATGGACCGGGCTGATGCCAAAAACTGAGATTTCTACAGCCCGTCAAGACAAAACATGGACTTCTCACGAACACCCGATGGACAGAAACACTCCCTTTGAGAACTCTTATTTTATACTGAAACAGATCGACTATCTTATACATGTACCAGAATTTTTCGAATGAAAGAAAATATAGCTTGTATATTGTATATCATAAAAAAAGGAATACCATAGCATATGTTGAAATTACTTTTTAAAAATCATTTTCATTTTTGGGGCGATAGGTGCAGTGTTTCAAGGTGCCAAGTTTTGAAGATTCCAGATCAACATATGTCAATGTTATCTTAGACAAATATCAAATTATATTATCATAACTGTATGATATTACGAAGCAAGTGATTTCTTTACAAATTTGATCAGAACATTGAAAGCTATAAGTGATCAACCGAAATCGGAAACGAAGCCGAGTTTGAAAAAGGGCCGTCAATGTCGTCATGTTTATTTTTAGCCACGGAGGCTGCCTGACCTACAATTTAGACGTGAGCGTCGGGAATAAATGTCAGGTCTGGAACCCAGACTAGTGTTTTGCGTGACTGTCGATTGCAAGGATCGGGGGTTTCCCCATGACGTCATAGAGCCAAGCTCAGGTGATGCGAGGAATGTTGCTCGTAACAAATTTCGACTTTTCTCCATAATGATATGCTGTACGTGCTCTTCGATTTGCCTCTTTTTAACTTTGCATGTGATTTCTTCAGTAGCCGCACTGATATTAAAATAGATCGCAGGCCAACAGAAACAGTACTGTTCAACATGTTGGCCTGGTTTGATGCTCATTCAGCTAATTTCGGCACGTCATCTCATTTGCACTTTGAATCATAGTCGAGTGTATGTGTGCACAGCCAACGCACGATGTTATCTTCAAAATATAGGAACTATTTTGCAATTCATGGGACTGCATGCATGTTTAAAAGTGTGAGGACCACTCGACGTTGTTGATCAAGCAAAATTGTTTTCGAGCCCTGTCCCCAAGAATACTGCTCTGCAGAGCTTCGGAACAGGAGAATGGATGACATTGTCAAGCTTGATGTTGGCGGGTGCTTGTACACGACATCACGGTCGACTCTGACTCGCTACCCGGACTCCATGCTGGCTGCCATGTTCAGCGGTGAACTCGACCCGTCTGTTCGTGACGCCAACGGGGCTTATGTCATGGACAGGGACGGGCCCATCTTCCGTCACGTACTGAATTTCCTCAGACAGGGCAAGCTGATTCTACCGGAGGACTTCAAGGAGTGGGACCTGCTGGCCTCAGAGGCCGATTTCTTCCAAATCCCACACCTGGTAGCGGCAGTGTCTTCGCGTAAGGAGGTGGAGGACAACCCAAAAATGGAATATGTGGAATTCACAGAACAAGATAACAAGAGTTGCAAATACCGGGGCAGTTGGGAAACTTTAGAGCAACTACCACGTGAGTTTCTTGCTGTATTTGAAGCGGACTATAGCTTTTGCAGGTTTGCACAACGGTTACGATCCCTCGAAGATATGCGTTCTTATGTGCAAAGGTTTGGGGTGATCTTGGGATACTGGGGTGCCTGCTCAATTCAGTCGTCGGATTTTGTTAGAAATAGCAGACGACCCGAGTTTGACCCACCAAATTGGATGGAGGTATTTCAACGACTCTCCGAACTTGGTTTTCAGTTGTTGAGCCCAACGTCCGCGCCCGGAAAGGACAAGTGGCTGTTTGGTAGAAAGACCTAAATCTTTAATGACAAAAAATTGCCGCTTTCCCTGAGAACTAGATAAAAACAAAAGTGAGCTGATAAAAAACAAAAGCTTTGCAGATTATTTTTAAATATTGGATGAAAAAAAAATCGCGACTCAAGCATCAAGATATAACTTTTGAAAATTTTATAAATAGAAATTGAAGTATGCTTTTCTTGTACAACGCTCGCATTTGGCGTTAATTAAGTAGGCCTACATCGCCATTAAAATACCAAAAACAAAGTCCTAAAGCTATATCAAGCAGATTACAATGTAACAATTACAATGTTTTTGTTTTAACAGGTTTTAATGTTCAATGTTGAACTTGCAGTCAGCTATGCATCAACTTAAGTACGCTTTGTGTTGGCAAATCAGACCGCTAAGATTGAGGAGTGTAGATGTCTATTAACTTGATTTTTTTTTTCACTTCTTGTTATTTCAATTTGGATAAAGGTCACATTTAAATATTAAATACACTTCCTTTATCGTTATAGGGATGTTCCATGGGGAAAATGTCAATATTATCGTAAATGACGTTTAAAGAACCAAACGATATCTTGTTTATTTGTTAATTCTTCAGAACAAGCCTTTGCTTTTCAGGTTTGTAAAGTATAGTATAGGGTGAATAAAAAAAAAAGCGGAACCGAAACCCAAAGAAATATATATCATATTTAAATATTTTTAGGTAGCACCAAAAATGATTGACTGGTAGGCCAATGAACTACTTGTAAATGAAAAAAAATACTTCAATTGCTCAATCCATTCAAATTATACCACCATTTCAACAAAATGACCCTAAAATCTATTTCGTCCAAAATGTGATTTCAAGAAGTGTCGTATACTATACAATCTCCTTCAAACATCACCAGCGATAAAGCGTCACTTTTAAAAGTTAAAACAAATATTCCACAAAGTCCCTGTGAAAGCCGTCTTTAAAAAGCTGGATTTTATAAATCCTATTGTTAGCCAAAGCAGGGTTGTCAAAATGATATTGTGTGCTACAGTTGTTGAAACAAGTATTCTGTGTCATTTTCTTTGTTGTACATATTTGATTAGATTAGATTAGATTTCTTTGTATTTGGGTTCCGCTTTTTTTGACTCGCTCTTATGAGTAAATATCCTGTAAGATGCATTTACATTAGCGCTTGAATTATTAGTATCAATGTCCACCCTATTTGTTTTCTCCAATTATAACAGCCTCGTCCCCACGATCTCCTGTAGGTGTACAATTATTTTTCATTTGTTTTTCAATAAATGTATGTATTAATTCATGTTAAAGGGGATTCCTACTCAACAAGCTCCGCTTTTTGGGGATCCCCTTCCATTATCTCTAATTTGAATATAATGAGCTCAAAGTGTAAAACCAGTATCAATTCCTAAATATCTAAAGCTGCATTTATGTATTTATGCCTTGTCAGGTAATGAAATGAGATGTGGTAAAAATAATAAAGAATGAAAGAATGACAGAATGAATTGGTTCCATATTTCAATAGGGGGCGCTGTTCAAATTCGACGATTATTAGCACTATATTAGTACAGAATGGTGTACCGTATTTTGAACAGGCTGACATTATACCAGTATAAATTTATTTTGGATGTCACAGCAAAGGGGGGTCTTCGACTTATTTTTTAGGGAATTTGTATGGAAAACTTTTTTTTTTGACAGAGCGGGGGGGGGGGTCCCCCGTAACCCCCCCCCCCCCCGGATCCGCGTCTGGGTTGAACTTTGAACCAGGACGTCTGTGTTGCGTTGATACTGAACTGCCAATGCAAGGTGCGGTACATGCACTGGGTGGATCACTGGGTGGGTGCACTTTCTCACGCCTTTAAGCAGCTTATTCCTGTGAGTTCTTCTGACTAGAATCAGAGACATGGATGACGTTATCCAGCTCAATGTTGGCGGCTGCCTGTACACCACGACGCGATCGACTATGAATCGCTACCCGGAGTCCATGCTGTGTCTCATGTCCAAAGGAGAGCTCGCAACGCCTGTTCCTGTTGTCAACGGGGCCTATGTCTTGGACAGGGACGGGCCTATCTTCCGTCACGTATTGAATTTCTACAGACATGGCAAGCTGATCCTACCGAAGGACTTCAAGGAGTGGGAGCTGCTGGCCTCAGAGGTCAGTTACTACGGAGTTCCGTATTTGGTGGCTGCATTGAATGCTGCAAAGCCTTAGATGGTCGGATCAGAAGAATTCATACCAGTTATCTGTAGTTCCTGAGCTGAGATTCCTAAGCTTTTACCCCAGACGTGCATGTTACCTACACAGTTAATACCCCAAGTGGCACCGACAAGTTTCTTCGTAAGTTTGAAGAAGAAGTCATAATCCAAGAGATTAAAAAGCTTGGATTCCAAGCAGAGAAACAGTCCCGTACGAAAAACGCCAAAACCATGCACGTCGAGGAACGGGGCTGGACATATTTCCGGCGCATCAGTGGATAAATATGGATTGTTACTCGAACGTTGGTCGCAGTAAAACTCTCCTGCTTCTCCAGTTTTCCCCCTGCCTAACTGCCTTGCATCTTGAAAAAGAAGTGAACAAACATAATCATGTTCGTTTGGAAATCTAGAGATACTCGCGGGAGGGATATTATGGCCGGCACTGCTCAAACTTTTGTTGGAAAAATTGAAGATAAAATGGACTAAGTCTTCCGATGAAGTACTCTCGATCAGGCCAAGAAAAATATTTCTGCTTTCGATTAAATGGCATTTGAAAATGGGCATGTAGGTAGGGATTTTTTGGCATTTTTTTTGTGTTGATCATAATTTAGGTGTCTATATGTAGTTAAAGGTAAAAGATAGTAATTGATGTTTTTATGCCTGTTTTTCCCTTTCATTCCCCTCCCCCGAAAAAAAAAACAATTTAGGGTAGGGGCTGTCAAAATATGTTAGGTAGGGTAACCGGAAGCAGACCTGTTTTTTTTTTTGCCTCACCTAAGCAAATAATATTGACAAACTTTAAAAATCCTTCAAATTTCCAAGAACAGGATGCTTCAAGGGAAAGGCGATCTAGCCTGCAAACCAGCCTCTTCATTGACTCTTAGCAGCAACTGATATAAATGTAACCCTGAACTTGAACATATCTATCGAAATAGACAATTTACTGCAAATCGAATGTCAGCATTTTCTACGTTTTTGAATCTCTGTTTTCAGTGTTTTGTATCGAGGTTGCTTTTTTTTTTATAAGGCATGTAATGCTATGTATAATGCTTTTTCTTATGGCCATTTAGATAGTTTAGGTGCATGCTCAGTGTATATTGCTACATATTATCGGTTTGAATTACAAGCAAAAGTCATACATTTTTGAAATAGCTTGAAAGATTGTCACATATTAGACCATTTACCCATTAAAGTGTAAAAGTATATATCGAGCAATTCTCATCTACATGTATATTATGTAACCTTTTTGAAGCTCATAACCATCAATGTTTAGTTGCTTTATCTTTATTTTGACTATTATTTGCCAGATTTTTGTTAAAAGTATTTAGAGTTTGTCTTTTCTCTAACAACAATTATAGCGTATTACTTTTCGTGTGACCTTAAACATGTTTAGTTTTAATATCACATAATTAGTCTTTAAGATGTTTATTATTGCATTTCTATAATATTTCACTTGAGTAAAATCATTATATGCTTACCAGTTTTAAAAAAGTTTTCCTGAACTTTCGTCATGGTAGAGTCGAGATCGAGATGCAAAAATCAGATCTGAGCCGCTTTTCCAAGAGCTAAGCAAATTCCATTTTCAAAAATGAACAGTTTTGGTTTAACAATTTCAATTTACTTTCAATCCACTTTTTATAAGTTTTTCAAATACCGTGTGAATGATGAATATAAAGTTCAAATGGCGGTAGTTGTTTTTGAAGTTTGAAAACTCATTGAATGATTCTATCTAATTTTGCATCAGGAGTCTGATATCCGAAGAGGTTTTCTTTTAGGAATGCGTGTTACAAGTTATTGGTGTTATATTAGAAAAGGAGTATTTTAAACTTCGGGCTGTAATGTTAATAAGTTGTAATGTTAATAAGTTGATGATTGCAGTTTTAGGGTGTGTAGATTTGTTATGCTTCAGAATTTCACAATAGCAAAGCAAAATCTATAAAATAAAAGCTTTCAGCAGTCAGCTAGCCGAAAAAATATGCTTTATATTGAATTGTATATAATTTATGGTTGATTGTTATCATGGTGCTGCGTGCTTGCCGATTGCAAGGATTGGAGATTTTTTCCCAATGACGTCACAGAGTCAGCTCTTGAATAAGTCCCGCCCACTCTTGCTTTGTGTGCATATTTTGCCCAGAGCTTCAGTGACCGAATGGACCGATCCAGTAAGCTCCGCCCAGTGCGCACGTGGGCAAATTAACATGTGCTCCTCTCCAATGCCACGCTGCATGTTCCTTCCGCGCGCATCATATGCGCGTGCACCACTGATCTCTATATAAAGACTGGATAGCGGATATGCATACAACATTCACACAGTAGACTTTGCATATTGACCAATTCGCCCCCGGTCTCACGAAGATGGCCGCGCATATTACGAACGTTCTACGCGTAAATACGCGCGCGTTGTATCAACAGTTGACGCGCATTTTGGTCACGTACACATATTATGATGTTCTACAAGGAACACATTTCCGTAGTGATTATTATTTCAAAAACGCCGAAAAAGTGATCTGCGGCATTATAAAAGTAACCACTACGTTAGAAAAATTGTAGTAAACCTTGGTCAGTTGGTCAGTGGTGGTGGCCAAAATATAAGTCAAGTGAGCCGCGACGTTACAAAAGAAATCAAGCTGTCTATAAAGACGGCAACTTGTCCTTTGTAGATCACCAGCCGGTCTCACCAATATGGCGTCAAATTCGTACATTGTGCGGCTCTTTATTAGCTATCCAGTCTTTATATAGAGATCAGTGGCGTGCACGCATGTCGGACTTTAGTACACGCACGTCGGACATAAATCACGGCTGTGATTGGTCAGAACACCATGGGGCGGTGCTAACTGGATCGGTCCATTATTTGACAGAGGTATACAGTCGTCACCTGACTAAGAGTCGTGATCTGATTGGTGATTTTTGGGGAGGGGGAATCAATGAGTGTTATCGTGCTGCTGTGAAAATTACTAGTGCATGTGCAATTTACTAGTGCATGGGCGGTCAACACAAAGAAAAGATTTCTATCACTTTATGTGTCTGAAAAATATTGATAGAATTTTATCCCGACCTGACATTTCCTGAAGGGGGGGGGGGGGGGTTAAAGGATATGGGTGGTAATTAGGATAGAGAATTGTATTATACTTTAGTCCATGAATCCAAACCCGAATATTGTTTTCCAAGCTAAGCGATCTTCTGGGATTTTTAAGACAGTTTTAGCTGGTTCGAAAAAATAATTGCCTACTGCCCAGATAATGAGCCACTGACTGAGTTACCGAGTATAAACCACGAGAACGGTCTAGCAATCGAAATGTCTGGTCCGTCTAGTGCATGATATGCAGTCTTGTGTTTCCATGAGGATCATAAAGGGAGGGACAAATTATTTTGATGTTCGAAAAAAACCAACTATTTCCCACTTTCATCGCTTAAAACGGATTGTATTTTTCTGAGGTGAAGTTTTGCAAAAAGGGAAAACTATTTTGTTTGTGAAAGAGAAGAGATTTTACATGAGCCCGCAAGAGGGCGCTGTTAATTTTCCTTGAACAAGGTTTGACGATGGTTTGGCATTATTGTACACTACTAACGCAGTGATAAACGATTATGATGTCGATGATGACCGTACGTCTCCGCGCAGTGTACTGTCACATATATGGACACACTATGCAGATGATATGACAAACATCAGCGATAATTGGGCAATTTCAGTGTCTTTGCTGTAGTACTATGGACGAAGTGATCAATCTGAACGTGGGAGGGAGCCTGTACACCACATCGCTATCGACGCTGACCCGCTACCCGGACTCCATGCTCGGCGCCATGTTCAGCGGCCGCATCCAGTCCGCCCGCGACGCGCACGGCAACTACGTGATCGACGGCGACGGCCCGCTCTTCCGACACGTCTTCAACTTCCTCCGCCGCTCCACCCTGACCTTACCGGACGACTTCCGGGAGATCGACCTGCTGGCCGCCGAGGCGGACTTCTACCAGATCCAGGAGCTGATCCAGGCCGTGAGGTGCCTACGTGAGGACCGGGAGGCACATGGGGAGGAGGCCAGGCAGCAGGAGGAGCGCATCCCGGAGATGGAGTACGTGGAGGTCGAGTTCGAGTGCGCCTCGGGGCAGTGGATCGTCTTCGGCAGCGCAGAGGTGCTGAAACGCATCCCCGTGATTCAGGAGTCCTTCAAGGACGGACACACCTTTAAGAACCGCCTGACCCGGTCGGAGGAGTACGGCCTGAACCTGCCGCGGGGCCAGCCCGTCAACAGGGTCCGCCTGTTCCGCGAGACCTCCAGGATCGGCTTCGGGTTAATGTGCACGTCTTCGAGCGGCGGGGATGAGCGGTCAACCGACAGATGGGTCTTCGCTAGCTCGAGAGGTCAAAGGATAACCGCAATAAAAATAGAGTTACAAGCTTCCGTAGAATTTGAATCACAAAGTACCATAATCCTGGAATGGAGTCTAGTCTTCAAAATTCTCTTCATCATTCCAAATAGAGGACATGTATTTATTTTTGAAATATCTCAATGATTATCTACGGGTAAAAATTCCATAGAACCCAATTCTCTGCGTATACGTCCGAGCACATGTCGTGCCGTTACAGAACCTTAGTTTGGTCTGTAAATTGTAATCTTCGCATTATAGATGTTACATTATTATTAGTGATGTATATATCAATTCACTTTTCCAACAGCAGAAGTGTGTGACATCTGAATTTACGAAATTGCCCGTATTCGTTCAGTACATCATGATACAAGCCTATAGCCTACAGATGATGAAACACTATATAAATCGGAGTTTGGATTGGTTAATCTTGAATAAAACGATCCTTTTCACAGATTGAAGTATAGTATACCGCACACATACCTGAGGCAATTCCAACCAGATTGTTCTCATTACCTTCTTACAACACCAATATCCGTCATTGATGCATTTCGATTGTTTAGTTACGAAATAAAATGATAATTATAATAATTTCTACCATCACAGTTTGTAGGACCCCCCACGCAGGTGAATTGGTTATTTTATGCATATAGTAAATTCAGTACCAGACTGATGTCATTATGACGAAATAAAATGCACATAGTGAGTATTTTTATAATTTTGCGCATGGTCGTAAATTTATTTTAAATTAACTGATGCATGTTCGGTTCAATGAAATGTACGCTGACATCATCAATAAAATCTGTGTAGCCGCATAATTTAGGAAACCTTGCGAAAATGCAATGCGCGATATCAAAATATACGGCGCGGTTTTACGAGAGAGAAAAATGCATGTACATGTACATGTACATAGCAACTGCACACGATCATCCGGGCATCGAGGCCGTGGCTGTGCACCAGTATTCAAGCCGTTTAATAACACCATTTTGCACACGACCGATGCCTCCGGATTCGCATCCAATATTATCATAATTAAACCAGCTGACGGTACAACCAAATGTTGCAGTGCATACATTAATTTGTCGGTACGTACATGTGGGCCTATAGTGTGAAATGTGGACTATGAAATACGGAATCCATGGTTGGACTACGTATGCCTATAGTAAAATAAAGATAATTCTATAGGACAATGCCAAATGTGAATATACGATAATAGTTAAGAGAGACCAGATGGTATGAAGGTCCATATAATTATTATGACACCGGTACATTTTGTTTTGGAAGATTAGGCCCCCATACTGCGCAAATTTGTTAATTCCCGCTGGATTTTGTTTTGGTAAATCTCAGTGTTTGTTAATAAGGATAATGCGCATGATCTGTGAAGTACGCGCCGTCTTGCTCATTTGATTGTAGAGGGCATGCGATACATTTGTTTTGCTATAATAATGCTATGCATACATTTTTATGAGTGAACCTTTTTGCGGATTCATTGTTACCGAATTAAATAAAAAATAAACATGCAGCCCTTTAAGATGGCCGCTATTCAGAGGGTCTATTTAAAGATGGGGGGAAATCAAAGATGGCGACTAAATGCAAAATAGGATAATTCTATCATTTTAGACCTATGAGGATTTGCTGACATCGACCAATATGAAAAGAGCGCGTATAGCTTCATGAATTATATATGAGTCGTATTTTGAGTGTGAATATCGGGCCATTTCTGTTGAACAGTCAGGAATAATTGTTAATGTCATTGAATTCACAACATGGGCAAGCTATCCCAAATATACTGTCGCAACCACAAAGAATGGATTTAAAAATTACGGCACTTTTTTTCTGATCATTTTTTTGGCGCTGGGACTGTGAAATCATGGAGCTATGCAGTGCATGCAGCGCAGAGCGATATCGTCGGTAGATGACTAGCGCCCTCTTTTGACCTTAAACGGCACTATCGCTACAGACGCTCGTTTGACTTCACGCTAGCGACAGAAAGGTAAGATAAAAATCATAAAATCAGTATTTCATAAGAATCAAATATATCTTTTGCTAACGACAAAGTATCTTCCAATGCCATGGAGTAATATGTGTGTTTTTGTAGTGTAAAAATGTCTTTGTTTTCATGTAACCACTTGTCCAAATCCATGTGGTTTGATGAGGACGTTGTGTCATTCATCATCGTGTGTGCACTGCTGCCTAGCTGCCCTACATGCCCTAGCGCCTCGCATGCATTTGATTGTTCCCGTTGGTTTTGCAATGTACAGTATGCATTGTATTTTTGTAAACATTTCTCAGGGGCGTGGCCGGCGGGGGGAGGGGTTATTTAATCCCCCAATAGGGAAAAATTCCACACTCGATCATCAATTTATCTGCTGCCAAACATATTAATTGTCACCTCACCTTGGTCCTAGTCCTTGTGATTTCACACAAAAGAGGAATCCAGGAAGCTGTGTTAATGCGAAAAAAATTAGGCAAAATGTGTTTTTAGAGCACATTTTGGATGCACACGTCGTGCAGAACTAAGTTGAAGCAGCCGGTCAAAACTGATTGAAGTGTGGCTGACAGACAGCGGTACGCGTGACATCGCATGACATCGACAACCATGTCGTCACTTGAGCCGGCCAATGATAGTGCAATCGTCATTGTGAATATTTATTTTCTCATGAATATTTAGTTTATTTCAATGGCTACTTCAAATACGTCCAAAGATTGATTATTGCAACAGCGATCGTGCGCGGCCTAGCGGTTAAGAGTCTCGTGTTTCAAGCAAGAGTCCGAGGTTCGAATCTCGATGAAGTAAATGACTGATTAATAAATAGAAATAAAGGATTTGAGAGGGTGAGAGTAGAGGAGGGAAAGTGGAGGGAATAACCATTAAGGATACAACTTTTGGCGCTTGAAAATTAATTGAAAAAAAGTTGTGGCCCAGTACGGAAATTTTTCCGACATTTTTTCCCTAGTGCCTTTTTTCTTAACGAATTTCAGAATGTCTTTTTTTGTCCCAAGTTCCCAGCGCTTTTTATCACGAGTTTCAATTTTGTGGATAAGTTAATACTAATGCCTAGGCCTAGTCAGTTGTCTTAATTAATCCAAATTCGAAACCCACCTTGAATAAAAATTAGGCCAGACCAGGTGTTGTCAGAATGACTAATCGTTAAAAACAAAATACTGTTGTTGTTAAACAGTTAAAATACTGTAAAACTTCAATTTTATTAAGTTAAAAACCACAATCACACAGTTATTCGCAGTAAGAATGAAATACGTGAACAAAAAGAAAAATAACATTAACAAAGAATATAAAAACAGGAATAACATGGAAACCAGTGTCGGGAAAGAATGTTGCAACCTGACGCTGCTTTTGTTCTTCATACATGTATACATGTATCATCTCAATGAAGGTCAGTCATTGCAAAAATGATGATAAAACATGAATTTGGGACTGAGAAACATTTCCAGTTTCGGTAGGAAATACTTTGAAACTTCTTTCAAAATACATATAGGGCCTACATGTACGCGCATGTACCCATTCCTGTTTACAGTTTGCACAAATGTCCAGCTTCCTGTAAAGAAAAAAACCCTAACTGTTTGAGAATAACAGATTGCAGGAGATTAACAAAGAAAAGCCTTCAGTGAGTTTGCCTTCCAGGCCGTGCATAATCTTGAGAAGTATCCCACAATGGGCACAACAGTACCCCCATTAAATCGGGCTCCGATTCGTTGGGCTCTCTGTAGGCTATTTTCCCCTGTCATAGAAGCTCGTCGAGGTGTAACGGAAACTGCCATTCATTCACACCCACTCACCTAGGGGAACTTTTTGTACTAAAACAGGGAGAGAGATTTACATGTAGAAAAGAAAAAATACAAAGTATCGCCCGTACAATTGTTGTTCTGTTGATCTGCTAGTGCTAGATTTGTACGCGACACGGACCAGCAATGTCGGATGTTTTCTGTGTTGTATCCACTTGTTTGTCAGTAAAAGCTAGTGTCGTTTCTCTTCCAAGTGCGTTCTCTTGACACTAACATTTTGGAAATGATAGTATCTTAAGTTGGGAAAAACTGCTTTACTAAATGGTCAGCGAAAATGAAATCTGCGGTTAAGAATGTGAAGTTGAGGGAGTGTTACAAAGAGACTCAGCTGTGGTGAGTATCGGTACATGTACCCCGGTATACAGTGGTACGTGTTCTGCACAGATACAAATTATGTGTAAAATGTGTCGACCAACAATTTTTGTTCAGAGTTGAATTAATTACAGACATGTAAGGGTATGTCTGTCATAATTATCATGGGGATGGTCTTAAAAGCCCGGTTTATACCTCACGCAAAAGCAAGTGCGAAGCGAAATTCATGTCGTCAACAATGGTGGACGTGTTTCGAGTGTATTGTTGACGTCACGAATTTCGCTTCGCTTTCGCTTTCGCGTGAAGTATGAACCGGGCTTTAGTACGTATAAAATTTCCACAAATGTGGACGTCATCTATCCATTAGGCCTACCTCAAACTCTTCTCTAACATGTAACGTGTGCTCTCATGTAAGAAATTTGTCAGTCAAATATTGAGCAGCCCTAGTAAGCTGTAGGGTTGTCATCGATTGATTCAGCATGCCACTTTCAATGTGCCATATTGTATTTCTTTTGGGATTTGTTGTTGTTGTTGGTTTTATTTTTTTGAGGGGGGAGGGAATACACGCCTGTCGCTCCCTCTGTTCCCCCTCCCCCCACCATGAAGATTTTGATACTGAAACGCATTGTACATGTACTGTATGCCCAACAGACCTTCCAGTACTTGTACCCTTTCACAGGTTTATGTATGTGTACGTACCGGAATGTGTAAAAAAAAAAGGTCAGCATTTGCCATTTTAGCCAAAACAGTACTGAATCCTCCGATATGATTATTCATTCGGCCTACACCCTGCCAACTTTGAGTAAGAGCTGAGATTGAGAATTTGGCGATGGAGCTTGATCAGAAGTAGTCAATCTAATGCAAGCGCGAAGTTAGTGGGGGTTCAGGGCCCACTTAAGGGCCCTAAAAAAGTTTGCATTCTACACCCTCTGTGGTACAATCTGAAGTAATTTCTGACCACTTTACCAATTCCTTTTTTCAGCAAAAGATCATCATTTAAACATCATTTTTGATTTTTTTTTATTATTTTCTTTATGTCGTGAGAACAACCTGAAATGCTGGAGTCTCAGGCTCAAAGACTAAGAGTTGGCAGCCCTGCCCTGGAGAGATAGGTCAGTGGCCAGTGGCTACTTTCATGCAAATTAAGCATGTAGGCATATAGTACAAGTGAGCTGAATTGATTTCCTTTAATCCCTGGTCCTGGAAAAGGCCCAACGGTAAACAAGGGAACTGGTAGTCTGTTCTTGTTCTTGCATGGCTGTACTGTTGGAAAGTGACCTAGAAGTGGGATTAACAATAGGTATCATAGCAGCTTTAGTTTTTAAATCCTTGGATCAGGGATTACATAGCTTTGCAAGGGGTGTTGTTATTCCCAACGCTTGCACAGTCTCTGAGGTGTACTAAATCACAAATACAACATGGTTTGTGGGGAAATAGTGAAAACTATTGACCCCGAGGTGTTGGATGATTGGGACTATCTCCCGAGGTGAAATCAAATGGGTAAGGGAGACAGTTTTGTGAAAATGCCCAAAAAGATGAAGGTTCTTTTTATTCCATATGTGCATACAGTTTCGGTCCTAACTTTACTTGGGAACTTTCAACATAGTTTTTAACACTGTCATAAAAAAAATTCCAAAGCAGTGAAAAAACTCACTGAGCCATGTCACACGCCTCCACAATACTGAACACAAAAAAAGTCAGTATTTTTTCCACAGAGAAAAGGCCAGAAGGTTAATAAGGCAATTGGATCTGGAGATCGCGATAGGAAAATAATACCCCAAGCCCAGAGGCCCACAGGTGTATTGTGCATGTGGGGTAATTGATCAATTTTGATGAATTTTATGCTGTGAAAAATAACTGTATTGTGGCCTTTGGTAGTGTACTGGCATTTTTGCTGCAAATTGAATTATTGTGTGCACTTACTACAAAGCCTTCAGTGCATGGTCTTCGTAACAATGTACACTGCATGAAGATTGCATATTGAGCAGGGGTTACTTGTCATGCTTAGTGGCGTTCTTTGCCCGAGCCAAAACTCTTTCTTAAAGGGAATATACAACATTTGCAAACATCGAAAAATAAAACTACCAAGTTTTTACGAAATACCTAACTAGGATGTTGGTAAATGACAGTCTCAAGCAACTTGTAAAATTATGGCACCTGGTGTGAAGTCATTTTCAAGAAAATGGTATTTTTGTAAACATTTCCAACGGTGGTCGGCTGACCAGCGTTGGAAAAACCTAACTATTTTTCAACTACTGCTCCAAATTTACCATTTTTTTTCAGTCCAAATTTTGTTTGCTATTGGTTACATGCTCATGAACGGGTGCAGGCCAGCTAGACTGGTTCCCTTGCCTTACAATTTTCCATCATCTATAAATTGATCCATTTTATCTTTTGTGGAGTCAGGGAACCAGACTACTTGAACATTTTTGTTTTTCTTGGTTTTTCCAACCTTTTCGAACACAAAACTTCAAAAAAGTCAGTGTAACAATATTTGATCTATTATACTAACCCCTCAAATAGTTCATTTCTGAAAATTACAGCAAAAGCCAATGATGTACATTCCCTTTAACCTTGCCCTGTTTGTTACTTTGGCATGAGAAATATATGTCAAAATTTCTGAATCCAACTTACACGTGTATCTTCACGTGTATGTGTGCTTCGTCTTTGTTCAAATTTGTTCTTCGGCCCCCCAAAAAGAGGAATTCTGCTTCCGATTACATGGCATTCGAAAATAGGGTCTACAAGGTAGGGAGGGAATATTTTTTGGGGCCAATTTTTGTAGAAATTGATGGTTTTGGGTGTCTTTTCCCCTCATTTTTCCCATAAAAAAATTAGGGTAGGGGCTGTCAGAACAGGGTATCAGTAGGTAGGGAAACCGGAAGCAGAACTTTTTTCAGTGGCCTTACCAAAAATTGGGTTTAAAAAAGTTCTCTGAAAAAAAAAGAGTGTATTATCAAAGTTATGCAAATCACATGTAGTACATTGATTTAAGAAAACATGCAAAAAGACATCTACCCGGTACTGGTAGTAGTTTTTGACATCCCCCCTCCCCCCCTCCCCCCTCCCCCCCTCCCCCCCCCCCCAAACCCCCCCCCAACCCCCCCCCCCCAAAAAAAAACAACTGTACGGACACTTTTAACATACATGCGGTACTCATTGATCATACGGTACACCTACAAACTCAGGAAAGATAGTATTAAACACACATGATGTATTAGGCAACCTTTGCCATCCAACCCAGACACTGTTTATTTTGACAGCACTTCACTGCTTGAAGAAGCATATCAATCGGTAGTCACTGCTCCAAGCCACCCGATGAAAACCCCCTGACCCTAACTAATGACACGCTTACACGCATCCCATGGAAGTAAGAATTCCGGTGCGATGAGATGTCTTCATAAACTGTGCTTCGCTTTCATAGCGCTGCTAAGCGCATGCTTTTCTGCAAAAAGAGCATCTGTCTGTTTCATGGTGACTGTAGCCAGTAAGCACAATAGCTTTATAGTCATGCCATGAAACAGTGCTTAAGGTTTGCACATTTTCTGCTAACTGCTAAGCAGCGCCATGAAATTGGGTCCAGACGTCCATTTCATATGCTAAGCACAGAAATCCGCGCTTACAACCACCGTTCTGTGCCGTTCTATCAAACAAAATTCCGCGCTATCCCTGTAAGCGCAGAATCAAACGTTACGGGATGCGCGCATTGAGCCCAAATTTCTCGCTCGCCCGTGAAATGCACTAACCACAAGCACAGAATTTTCTGCTACAGTATAAAAGTAGGAATTTGTCTTTGAATGGTCACGGTATTAAAGCAAAGCCATGAAATCAGGCCCTGTTTAATGTGAGCCGCAAATTCTGCTAAGAGTTTCTTAGCAAGATAGAATGGGAAACCAGTCTGAAGCAGTTAACATCCCACAGCATTTTGTCTGGTAACCTGTCTCTGCTAAGCAGATTAATGCTTGTATCGGCCCCAGGTGTTTTCAACTGAATGATGAATGCACTCCAGCACCTAGTCTGGTCCATCTGGGAATCTGATCATGATTAAATCATACGGCATGTGGTGGCTGGGGAATCATATGGTGATGAAGTTAGGCCAAATAAAATTAAAATAAGTTTCTCGTTCCGGCTTCTTGAAAAAAAGAAGAAGAAGGAGATTGTTTGTTTTAATGTCTAAGATGGTGGTTTTCCAAAAAGGCGAATGGATTGTTTTATTTTTCGACTCTTACTGTTAAAATTGTGTCCTCAACTTGCTCAAGGTGATGTAGGCCTACCCCTTTTACGTAGTGAGACATAAATAGAGCATACATGTATTGGTTTTGTGAAGAGATTGCCTTTGTTGTTTAGGGTTAACCACCATTACAAGAATTTCCTTGTCATGACAAAATTCATTGAACGTACTTTGACAGCTGTGTGAACAGTAAAGCTGTTTTACTACCCTATCATTTGACCTTGGTCTATTTTGCCTGCAACATCTGTAGCTCAAACCAAAATCAATTGCGATCACATGTACTGTGGTAAAGAATTGTTTAGGCCTACCCTTGCAGTCCTAAAGTTTTTTGTGAACCCCGTGGACATTATAGTAATTGTCATAATCTGGTACATTTGTATACATGTAGTAAAATGATCATCACTTAATAATTGTACTCAAAACTAATTAATCCATGTTGCAAATTGAAAAGAAAATACCTGGAAACATTAATTGCCATGAAAAACGCACTTTATCATGATGGACACATTTCAGTGAGAAAAAAAAAATTGATTAATTTGGTTGTTCCAGTGTGTCTGTGTAAATGTTTATGGTTTATCCAGAGTTGTAGCAGTATCCCATCCGACATTCCGATCACACAAAGCCTGCGGCCAGCAGCTCAGCAGCTCGGCACCCAATAACTTCTGGAATGATTGGATTGCATCACGGGACCAATCTTGGGTCGTCCGCGCTCCTCATTACGTATTAATATCGCTATCAAGACTTGTAGGACATATTTGATGATGCTGCATACATACATGTACATGCTCAGGCCATTGGCAAGACCACAGCTCTTTCGGAGGATGCAGCTGCGATGCGTGCTTGATGGTTTTGTCAGTTTTTCGGAAGTGCGTGATGACGACAGGATTGTTTTGGGTGAATATTCCTGCACTTGTCTCTCTTTGAGGAAAACGGAAGTCGTTTATCTTTGGGAGAAGACAGAATTGCGAACTTTGATGAACATTTTGACTTCAGCTGAGCATTGATTTTGGTGACGAATTTCCTTTGCTTGCCACTCGTGCCGAAGATAGACAGATGTCGTTTGTTGGAGAAGATGCTATTGTGATCTTGGATTTAAAGTTTGATTGCGTCTACATACAAAGAGGGGATTGATTTGGGTGATTAATTTTCTTAGGTCTTTGCTTGTGACAGAGATGAACTGAAGTTGTTACTTTAACTTTTACGAAGATGTTATTGTGATCTTTGATTGATAGTTTGACTGAGGTTTCTACAAGGACAGGACGGATTTGGGTGATGGATATTCTTTGCTTGTCACTCGTGACGAAGATGGACTGAAGTCATTACTTCAAGAAAATGTTATTGTGATCTTGGATTGATACACATAGTTTGACCGTTTCTCTGAAGACGGAATTGAATTGGGTGATGAATTTTCTTCGCTTGCCAGTTGTGGTGAAGATGGACTGAAGTTGTTTCTTTGAGAAGATGTTATTGTGATCTTGGATTGATGCGCAAATTTTGACTGCTTCTTTGAAGACGGGATTGATTTGGGTGATCGACTTTCTTCACGTGTCACTCGTGATAAAGATTTGAGAAGACAGAATTTTGATATATGGTTTGACTTTCTGCAAGGACAGGATATGAACCAGTGATGAAGTTTCCTCCTTTGTCAAGTTTGTGACAGAGATGGTCTGAAGTTGTTTCGTTGAGAAGGCAGTTGCGTGATCAAGAATTTACAGTAATAACGAGTGCGTCCCGACAAGATTGACTTACGTAGATGAATTCTCTCAAAGGATGATCAGATGTTTCTTTCAGAGGAGTTGCAGAAACATTAGTCCTTCATGAATGTGATCTTAGATTGGTACTAACTTTGACCATTTGATCTCAGATGAGTTAAACTTCTGTACTTGCTGCTCATGACAAGGAAATTCACTGAAATCGCTTTGCAGTCAGAGAAAGACGGTGTGATCTTGGATCAACGTCCGTCAAGTTCCATGATGACAGCATAATTGGATGAATAGTTTTCTGCTCGCCTGTGAAGACATCTAGCAGTCATTCCTAAAGAAATGTGATATTGACTTGATTGTTGACTACCGGTACAGTTAGTTTTTATGACTTTAAGATTTACTTGTCTATCGTGATGGATTCTAGAAGGTCACTGGGTATTTCTGCGCCTCGGTTTGTGGGCTCGCCCGGTTATCCTATTTCCATGAGGTGAGTAGTACATTATTATACATGTACTGGGTAGGAGCTTTACTTGAGCCATAAAACTAATTTTGTAAAGAATTAGTTCGCCTTCACAGCGTTTAACTCTCTCTTTTGTTTTACTCTCAAGATGAGATTTGCTTCAAAACGCTACTTGTACCGGTAGTTGTGCTTTTGTTTGTCTGTACATGTAACTGTTTTTGTTTGTTTAAAATACATGTTTTTGGAATACATACATGTATGGTACTGATGAACTGTCTGTGGAAAATGGTTAGAAACAAAAATATTTGTCTTTTAATGTTACAATAAATTCTATTAATGTGGACTCCAGAAATCCTCTAAATTTTTCACATGGTGATGATATAGTATCCTTAGTATTGTTGCCTTTGTTGGTAAAACCATGACTTGAATGCAAGTTCTTCAACATACATGAATACAGCTGGGTTTTTATCAACATGTACATGTACATAAGTATACATGTACGTGTACATGTACCGGTATGTATACAGTATACATATTCACTGGTCCATGCACAATTCATGCAATGTTCACACAGTCATAAATCAGATTGTTACCTTGACCTACATGTACATGTACAATGTATGCATATTGCATAAAACCCAGCTTGACAATACCCATGTGTGTGGCGACGCAAGTTTGTATTACTGTCAAGTACCCTAAATACAGTCTGCCCCAAATAATTGATGACTCAAAAAAAATATCCCAATTTATTATATTGCCTCTTCAGAAAGTTGACAGTACCCACAGCACAGGTGCAGTCACAACACAAACTGACTTTTTGTTATATTCTGACAAAGCTGTCTGGAAAAATGACGTGCGTGACCAGAATACTTTCATAAAGCATTTTCCTCAAAGCAGAACCGCAGTGTGGTTCGGAGTTGTGTATCTGAACAATTCTCTGTGACCTTTGACCCTTGCTGACCCGCTGACCTTTACCATTGTTGGAATACTCCTCTTTTCCAGGATACCAGAGCCAGGCACTTTCAGCAAGCGTTTCCCCAGCACAGTCTCTACGTATGTTGCTGAGGAGGACACAAACACCGACAGCTCCGTCGCCATGGGGATGGGACTAACCGCCACGGGAGTGGTCTGGACCCTCGTCTCCTTCCTCAGCACCTGCCTGTGCTGCGCGGGCTTCGTCTTCCCGTACTGGATCGCGGGCGCCGCGCAAGTGAACGATCCTCACGTGTTCCACTTCGGTCTGTTCCGGCGTTGCAATTATCCAACATCTGAACGCCAGACCGTCATTGGCTGCGGTCGCTACTCCAGCTTTGAGGACATACCCACGTTGTCGTGGCGGCTAGGGACCATTCTGGTAGGCGTGGGCTGCGCGGTGTCCATGTTGGTCGCGTTCACCGGCATCCTCGCGTGCTGCGTGAAAGACTTGGTGACGCAGAAAGTTGGGAGGGTGGCCGGAGTCATCCAGATATTTGCTGGTGAGTGTTGTACTTCAAAGATGTAATGCCTCATTTCGATGTATTTTTTTTTTTAATAACATCTAACCAGTTTCATCTGTTAAAAAATATCTGCAGAACTTGATATTGCACACTTGGGTTGTCTACACCTATCTTTTCATAAAACTTATTTACAAATTTGATGCCTGTTTATCATATCATTAAGTTCGAAAATTTTGACTCCCAAGTTTAATACATGTACCGGTAGGTATGACTTTTGTCTGATATTTTCACTTATGTCTTGAAAATCTTTGATTGTAAAACCAGGGAAAAATTCCTGGTTTTGCCCCCCCCCCAAAAAAAATTCAAGCCCCAAATAAAGGAAACTATCATCTGATAGTCTTGTGACCTCCTTGCATTGCGAATCTCCTTGATCTAAAAATAAAGAGATTAAGCTTGGAATGTCTGTTCTTGAAGAATTTCACTTTCAATTCATAGCCCAAAGAATCCTCGCTTCTGGCATGTATGTCTTCTAAATGGGGTCCTTAAAGATGTTCTATCCAATGCTAATCTAGAGTTTCATCCAGAAACTTCGAATATTTTTTTTAATTTTCTAGAATCATGGAAGTTATTCACATTTTATTAAGACTTCGAAAGAACAAAATCACCCCATTATCTGGAACCGGTTCCTGACATTAGTAGCCTTATTTGGGTACCTGGTTCAAATGTCCAGCCCAAACAGACTACCGTTACATTTTTAAATACATTTCATGCTGAATACCTAGATGTATTCAGTGGGGAAAATGAAAAAGGTTTTTTTTTTCGTACAACTGTAGTTCTGGGTGATTTGCTGGTGGCCTTTTATGACCGAGGTGTTGGCTTTCTTAACCTTTTTCCTGATCAAACTGCCGAGTTCACTGGCATGACTGGCCTTTTTATGGTGACAAAAGCTGAACTTGAGCTCAGAGTGGAAATCTTTGGTAATTTGCTGCAGGGATCTCGGGTAGCATGGCTGGGTTTAAATGCTCGCCCCCGGGCGTATTGAATCAAGGGTACCGGGTGTGCAACGGCAAGTCTGTTTTGGAAGAGAGAGATAGGGCCTTTTTTGGTTAGGAGTTAGGCCTGGCATTCATTCTTACATCGTGTGACCCTCTGGCATAGAACAAAGCACTTGAACCAATTTCTGTTTTAAAAGTTGGCCATTGGGCACACTGGAAAGGACCTTGATTAAACTTCCCAAAGAGTTATAACATGGGAATCAGACAAAATCCTACAAGACATATTTTCGGGTCTTGGAATTTGTTTTTTAAAAATCCGACTGGGTTTGTGTTTGAGGGTCACGTGTATTTGGCAATCCAAAAGCTTTTTATTTGATTATTTTTTGTTTTCCAACAATTTACTCTGCACCATTGCTTTGATGAAACGAGTCGGCATGCTTGTTTTGTGAAAATAGGGCAAAGAGTGCATCCTGCTTTGCCCTTTAAATGATTGGCACTAGGCTCTACCGGAAATGTCATTGAAATCATCAGCAAGGATGTTTGTCTCGTTACAGCGAGGATGTTTTTCTCGTTACAGATCCACAACATAAGATACCATTTTCGCCGCCTGTTGCATTAAGTGGAATCTAAAATATGTCGATCTTGAAATTGAAAGTAGTTTATTAAATTATGAGTTTGATGGACATTTCGTTGACCTAAGCATCCTTCAAAAGACAGTGAGTGAAGCCTTAAGCCGCGTCCGAATTGCTACTTGGCTACGGCTTAGAATTACACACGTGTCTATGGGTAGCGGCTGCAGCTGGCTGAAGCCGCTGAAAGAGAGCCCTCTGTGTTCTTGATAGAGTGCCAATTATGATTTGAAATGCTTTGAAGGGAATTTACAACATTTGCTTCAGCTGTAATTTTCAGAAATGGCAGGATTTGGGGTTAGTATTTTTCATAAACTATTACTGGTTAGTATTTTAAAGCATACACTGACCTGTTTAAAGTTTTGTGTTCATAGATGCTGAAAAAAAAAACCAAAGAAAAATGCTGTTCTTGTAGTCTAGTTCCACGACACTACATTGTGTACTTCAGATGAAACGGAGCAATTAATTAGAAGTCAGGGAAGTTTATAAGGTCCAGGAAGCAGTCTAGCTAGCTTGCACCCATACATGGATGTGTTACAACCGATTGCAAACAAGATGTGGACAAACTAAATTTGATAAATTAGGGGTAGTATTTTTTTTTTTAAACACATTTTTCCAACGATAGTCGGCCGACCATCGTTGGAAATTGAAACAAAAATTATGTTTTTCTTGAACATGACAGCACACCAGGTGCCATGATTTCACAGAATGCTTGAGACTGTTATTGACTTACAGTCAAGTAAGTTGTATTTCATAATAATTTGGTATTTGTTGTATTACCATTAAGCACTCACTGGACCATCACACGTTTTCACCTTGTTCGTGTACAGTACATGTACGCCAGCATGTCGCATACATGTACATGTAGTGCTGCTCAAATTTTATGCTGTGGATAACAAACATAATTATGTATACGTACAATGTATGTAATATGTTCATTGTAATTGTACATTGTACATTATAATTTTGAAGAGAGCACTGCTTGTTTTCAATATTGGAATCTCTGTGTTTTCAATACTACAGGAGCACCTGTTCTGTGCAATCCATTATCCCAGCTTTGTGTACTTATAACATTGTCAATGCACAGCATACAGGTGTGAATTACCCACAGTCAACAATGCCAATCAATAACTCCCTCTTGAGATCAGCTCAACAGGTGGGGTGTTTGCATTAAGGCTTTTCAAACACACACATGCGCCCTGTTTAGCATGTAACTGTTGACAGTTATTCTCAAGTGCAACTTGGGGGTTATGTCAACTCTAAACAGGTTCTCTCTTTCTGGACTTCAATGTGCAATACATTTCAACACACGTATACACACACAAACTGAAATTTGTATCCTTGTGGAGACATTTCTTTGTTCTCGTGTACTAAAGTTTTTGAGTTTGAAAGTACCGGTACAGTTTCATGTCTTTCCTTGGCTGAAATTCGGACTTAATATCCCTTTTCTAAAACTCTACCATTTGCGACAAATTAACATACCTTGGGAATCCCTAGTTTTTAAGTAAAATCAATATGTATTTCGTGAAAACCTTGTGGAGATGTATTCATCTATAGAAAATGCCCTGTGGAGACGTACAATCTTTTGTTCCCTATTGTGTGCATGTCTCCAGAGGGCACGGTGTGTCAGATCATAAGTGTATGCAGTGTGTACTACTTTAGTAAATTCAACAGCATGAAAAGAACTTCAAATAACTATTACTTGTATTTGTGTTGCATACGTGTGCGCGTAGCCTCTGAGTCTGATTAACTAATTCATTCACAACCGATGAAAATGGGACTAGTGACTTGTCCTCGATTCTGGAAGACAAACTGAATCATGTGCAGATACATGTACTTCAAATGGCTTCATGAGTTTATTTCTCCGTCCAGAATCCATAATTTCAAGTGTAAGATGAGGCTTCTTTCCTACATACTGAAATTTAAAAGTGCCACTTCTTTCCAAAGATGGTAAAGACAGTAAATGCCTAGTATCCCCAAATATCTTTTAATGGAGCATCTTCCTATGCATCGTAGAAAAGGTAACCTTTGATTATTGATTTTTTGTCTCTTTCTTTTGAATCTTTCAGCTTGCCTTGTTGGAGCCGGTTGTGCTCTGTACCCTAACGGTTGGGACCATCCCCAGGTCAAGATGGCGTGTGGGGAACGGTCAGGCTCATATCAGCTTGGTGAGTACATGTATGCATTTAACCTTCTGGTATTACTCCCTGTACCGCCCCATAGCACCCTGCCTGTTACTCCCTGTACCGCCCAAACCACCCTGCCTGTTACTCCCTGTACCGCCCCAAAAGCACCCTGCTTGTTCCTCCCTATACTGCCCCGAACCACCCTGCCTGTTACTCCCTGTACCGTCCCAAACCACCTGCCTGTTACTCCCTGTACTGCCCCGAACCACCCTGCCTGTAATTACTCCACCCCCAAACCACCCTGCCTCTTACTCCCTGTACCGTCCCAAACCACCCTGCCTGTTACTCCCTGTACCGCCCAAACCACCCTGCCTGTTACTCCCTGTACTGCCCCAAAGCACCCTGCTTGTTCCTCCCTATACTTCCCCGATTCACCCTGCCTGTTACTCCACCCCCAAACCACCCTGCCTGTTGCTCCCTGTACGACCCCAAACCACCCAGCCTGTTACTCCCTGTACTGCCCCAAAGCACCCTGCCTCTTACTCCCTGTACCATCCCAAACCACCCTGCCTCTTACTCCCTGTACTGCCCCAAAGCACCCTGCCTGTTACTCCCTGTACCGCCCCAAAGCACCCTGCCTGTTACTCCCTGTACCGCCCCAAACCACCCTGCCTGTTACTCCCTGTCCCCCTCCCCACTCCTAACATATAGGCCTGCTATAATTGAAAGTAAAGTAATAGCTTTGACCATTAAAACGGTTTGCTCTGTGCAGTCTCCTTAACTGAACTGAGAATCTAAGGTTCCAATTATGGGCCTTGAAGAGTTACTGACAGTTCCCGAGTTCAATGTTCACGGTTGTTGACACTCCCAATTGACCTCTTCTTCATGTCTCTCTCTCCGTTGCAGGTGAGTGCAGCATTTCCTGGGCCTACTTGGTGACCATCGGCGGGTGTGGCCTGCTCATACTCTCCGCCCTCCTCTCCTGCAGGGCGGGGCGGAGAAAACTGGAAGCCTACCAAGTCTGACCCACCTTGCCTGAACTATAACAGGGAAAAAGAAAATAAATTTGCTGTCGAAATTGGAAGTGATCACTCCGGAAGAAAATCTGAGTGACCCACACTGCTTGACTTAGTCTTTATTTTCTTGTCGGTGTCCTTGTATACGAGCTATCGTGCACACTTGAGGTCTGCTGTTAAATTTCGTAAAGTTCTCAAAACTGGATTTGATTCCTTGTGTTGATAGGGCCCGCATCTTGACCGCTCGTCGGTGACCGGCGGCGTAAGGGGAATAATAACAGTCTTGGAACAAGACTATGCTCATCCAGGAAGCTTTGAAACAATATGATAATGAGGTGCTTATATAGCGCTTCGATACTAAAGTCTCAAAGCGCCTCACAATTATTACCCCTGTTCATCAGGCCATGATATCATTTTTTTTGCAGCAACTTGAGATCAGCGCATTCTGGTCTCTACCCTCACAGGTACCTACATTGTGTATTTATACTTTTGGGTAAAGAGAGGCAACTGTGGTAAAATGTCCTGCCCAAGAACACAAGCACCGTGATCCGCGTTAGGGTTGGAACCCTGTGCCAGGGGACGTGAGTCAAACACCGTAACCATTGGACCGCAGCGCTCCTCAATATGCAAGAGTGCTGTTTATCCAACTTCACATGTACCAGCTCGGACGTAGTCGAGTGTATTCAAGACCGTATTCTGAGGGTGAAAATTATAAGAGGAAAACTTGTGCAGATGTTTTCCGAGTCATATACATGTATGTGGAACTACTGAAACCTGACTTAAAGCCAGTTGATACTCGAATGCGAAACGTGACGTCACGGCAGGTTTTTGCATTGCGAATTCACTAGTATACGTATTTCCATTCCAGACCTGAGAATTTCGCAGATGATGTTGCGTGACGTCACATTTGCTTCGCATTCACATTCGCCTCAAGTATGAAACCCAGCCTTTAACTAGCTATTGGCAGTAGGTCCGCAGCAGTTTCTATGATTATCTGATTAATTGATGCTTCGTGAACTCTTTGTAAAGATGAAGAATTTTTTTTCAGAAGGCGCAAGAACACAAGCTGAAGAACCTGAAGCTAAAACCTCGATAAAATCCACAGATGAAACACAAAAGGGAGCAGTTAATAATCAAGAAGAACAAGACGGGTGGTTTTTTTTTTTATAAAAGCATCTGTTAAAATGTTTTAATCAGGAGACGATATTTTGCCGTGTGTACGATCCCAATATGTATGGGGAACTTTCCCCTACATAACTGTCTGAAATCTTTGTGTTAGTGTGTACAATATCATACTCTGTATATTTAGTAGCTTTTTATTATATCAGCATACAGTGAACACTGTATCTATTTTGTATTTATTGGACTTGTATTGCCTATTTGTATTTCGTATACTCTTGTCAGGAGTGTTTTCTAAACACATACACTGTATATCATGTTTTCACTATTTTTATCACTAAAATAATGTAATGGATGTTTTGTGCTATAGTATTATGATTGTCATAACTATTTTGACTTTTCTACACATATCCTATTTATCCATTAAAATATAAGCATATAAAATTAAAGATACTATACAACATTTGCAAATTGATATAAAAAAGGACAAAATTATTATGAAATACCTTTTTTGACTGTAAGTGAACTGAAGTCTCAAGCATTTTGTGAAATCATGGCACCTGGTGTGCTGTCGTTTTCAAGAAAAAGTGAAATTTTTGTATCAATTTCCAAAGATGGTCCGCTGACCATTGTTGGAAAAAACTGACTTTTTTCAAATACTTCCACCAATTTACCAAATTTTAGTTAGTCCACATTTTGTTCGCAATCGGTTACACATCTGTGAACAAGTGCAAGCCAGCTTGTCTGGTTCCCTGACCTGACAGTTCCCCGACTTCTATAAAATGCTCCGTTGGGTAAGGGGACCAGACTACAAGAACAAATTTTCTTTGTTTTTCCAACATCTATATGAAAACAAAACTAATATTTGCTATAAAATACTAGCCGGTTACCCAGAAATCCATCCATTTCTGAAAATTACAGCACAAGCAAATGTTGTATTTTACTTTTAAAATATGCTAAAACAAGTCCAAAATGTATTCAAAATGACCCAGACAAAAGTCTTTGCATATTATATTGATTAGTAAGTATTCACTTCATATTAATAGCATTCTTTTAATTTGTTGGATTAATAACTTTTACTTCGGGAGTATAATATTTTTCAATAGTTTAATGAAAATTGTCAATTTTGTTTAAAAAGGCTTGTCTATTGGGCTGTCATAAATCTTCTTTCAGGGATCTTCAGTTACTTTTTTGTACAAAAACAAATATTTCTTTTTTCTTCACAAAAAAGTGTTTTTATATACATGTATATCTGCAGGCCGACTGTATTGCATCATTTACATGCACATTTTCTTGTCATTTTATTATCGGGATACCCAGATTTGGTCAGGTTATGTACAAAACAGTTTTACATGAATGTAACCTTGTTACATGTATTTTGTCATACATGTACATTTGTATATGGTAATATTTTGTCAAAATTGTTAGTAAAAAATTAAATATCAACAATCTCTGGACTTCATTTCTCACTGTGTTGGTCGAATCATCGTATGATCGCACCAAAAAAAATGAAAACATTTTTAACATATACCGCGATACCATGTGTTGCATTTATTTAATGCACGATGCGTAGACAAAATATTAAAAATATATTCCGGCCCCCCCCCCCCCCCAAATATGGAAACGCTCCCAAAATCTGAAACCATTGAAAAGGAATGCCGATCACTTTGCTCGAGAATTGAGAAACCTGGACCAGCTGAATTGAGTGGTGGCGCTATATCGCCACCACGCACCGCGTTCACTAGAAATTCGTGTACATGTACATGTGTACTGCCAGAGGTAAAGCCGAAACTAAAACCAAGTCCAGCTTCAGCAAACGCCTTTTGTTAATAGTTCCTGATTAATAATACGGCTTCAAATTATATGTCATCATCTGCTTGTACATGTACGTACACATGGCTTTCATTTTGCAGGCATTTTAATGAATTCGTATGCATAATGATGTGAACGGAAGCCCACAATGGCGAGAACTATTTATTAATTTCCTTGACGCTAATGATGTGCCTGTCTTCGAAACGAACAGCAACATAATGATGCACACTCAGATCAGTTCTATTTATAAGCTCCAGTCCGAATTTATTAAGAACAAAATGAAACCTTCAATTCGTGAAATGCTCATCGCAAGGCAAAGAGAATACAAGGCAACGAATTATGTACACATGAAAAAATAGCATGTCCAAAGCACGTTGATAAATCAGGCCATCGATGTTATACAAGTAGCTTTTGTAAGCATACATGTTTTCTTCAATTTTGTTCTGAAAGTCATCGGTAAAAAACTCCCTACTTTTTCCTATTTCGTAGGAGGGAAAATTTCGTCACAGGTTTTGATGTTTTGAATTTCTCTGGCATCTTTTGCCACGTGTGTATGTAAATTGTAAAATAATTATAAATGCAAGAAAAATACACTTGGAACGCCAACGACATACTACAGTAGTTAGGCCTAGTTGATTAAAATATGTTAAAAATATACCTTAATTATACGTTAAGGCATAGTCACTATATTATACCTATAAGGGCAATGATATTGTATCTGGGCATTATTGAGCCCTTTTCTGCATTCGTCCAATGTCACTTAATTAAAACAACACAGCTTACCCTCTGAGCATGAGATACTGGCAATGCATAAGGTATGGACGATTTACAAATGTGGATGTTGTGGTCATGCGATGCTAAGCTAACTTACGGCAAACTCTTCTCTTCTGGACTGCATACATGAATGATTTAAAGGTGTTGACATGATAAACTGTTTAATGTGGGCCTATAACATGCAAGATATGCTTAAATATTTTGGTTGCCAGTCGACATGACGTCACAGGGCACATGATCTATACGCATGTGCTGTTCACAAATGACATCGATACATTCCCAGTCGGATTGATACTTGGACTACCTCATGACCAGGACGGATCCAAGTTATGGATCAAGAGAAAGGTGTAATCTAAGAGTGGGGTTCGCCAGGCATTTGCTTGGTTTTTCTGAATGATTTTGCTGGGTTTTTTTTAGCGGCCCAAGAGAGCGGTTTAGACTTTAACCCCTCCACCATGGGCGTCGCCAGGATTGTTCTAGGGGGGGGGGGGGGGGCAAAGCACATTTCCCCCTCGAAAACCCTGTACTTTTCCAGCATATTCTCGATGAATGATTTTTCGAGAGTGGGCAGGTACATTTGGCGCCCAACCCATTTAATTGAGAGCAATATGACTTCGCGCCTCATTTTCTTTCTCCCTGGGCCCCTTTTTCCCCTCTTTTTTTTTGGGGGGGGGGTGCTTCTCGGGGGGGGGGGGGGCACGCAATGTCCATGCCCTCCACAGATCCGCCACTGTAAATTATTAATGATATTACATGTAATCACCTTAACTTGATCTTTATTGTTGAAATTCTGTCTTAAAAACACACTAAACCTTTGATATGATTATTTACCGAATATAATATGCAATCCTGAAAATTGACTCATATTAATTATTAATATTTACTGAGGAAAAAACTCTTTGAAAAAAATTGTATTCTACACAGTGTACATTGCAGTTTCACACAATATACCATAACATTTTCTTGTCATATTTTGAAACAATCCTGGGATTTATATGCACGCTAATTAATTCGCTGCGTCGAGAGAGAATAAGTATATTGACCAGATAAAACGACTATCCCACTCTTATGTATTTTTCTTTAAGAAATAATACTTCACATCGCCGCACTTCGTTTCAAAAGAACATACCCAAAGTCAATAAAAAGAAAAGCAAAATCACGATTGTTTTCCGACAATCTTAACTGTTCCGGGTCAATTTTGACCCGTAATCTGCGTCAGATTTGACCTGAAACTCCCTTGGGTCAATAATGACAATTTTTGGTGTCCAAATGACAGTCTGTTTGGGTCAAAAGGCCTGGAAAAGCAAGGGCGGAACCAGAACACAATTTTTTGGGGGGCCAAAAAAATTTTGGTCCCCCCAAAAAGTTGGTAAAAAAAATTACGGCGTGGGGTTCGGGGCCCGCTTAAGGGCCCCGAAAAATTTTGGGATTCTAGATGCTCTGTGGTGCGATCTGAGGCAATTTCTGACCACTTTAACCAATTTTTTCTTTGAGGAAAAGATGGTGGTGTACTCATTTCCTGCCTTTATTGCGATGTCAAAAAGTGGGTCAAAAAAATTACGGCGTGGGGTTCGGGGCCCGCTTAAGGGCCCCGAAAAATTTTTGGATTCTAGATGCTCTGTGGTGCGATCTGAGGCAATTTCTGACCACTTTAACCAATGGGTTTTTTTTGAGGAAAAGATGGTGGTGTACTCATTGCCTGCCGTTATTGCGATGTCACATAAAAAAAAAAATTGATTTCGTTTTGGGGGGGGCCATGGCCCCCTTTGGCCCCCCCCCTGGATCCGCCCTTGTGGAAAAGTGACTCATCAAAGTGTCATTTTGACTCGAAAAGTGTCCGAAAATCTGGATCGAAGTTGACCCAGATCCGGGTCGAACCTGACTCGGGACTTCTAAGAGGGCACCACACGAAAATGTGAAGACGTCGGTGAATAGGTGAACCTCAAATAAGCAGTGTGGTATAACTGAATACCTGAATTTGGGTCAACACTGTATGCCTCAAGCTATTCATATTTTAAGGTTATCATCCACGTCTACTCAAAATGCCCAGTCTGGTAAATATCAAGGGAGTCGCCTCGAATATAAGCCAAAACTTCGAGAATCGATCCCAAAATTATGTTCATTAAAATACTTTGAAATGTTCAACCATTTCAGTCATTTTAAAGGGTACACAGCCGGCCGGAACTAAAAAACTGCCTTAAAAAAATTCCTTATTTACATGTTGTTACTAATGATCACTTTTATTGTGTGATAATCTACAGCACGTTCACACAATGATCTGTGGTTACTATTCCCAGACTCGAATCAAACTTTGGCTAAATCAAACTGGGAACATTAATTTTTAGTTTGACTCCCGTCGTTCAATGTATATATACAAACATGTAGGTTCAGAACTGTCGCATAACTCATGTTGTGGATCAGACTTCCTCCTTGAATGCGAATACGATTTGTGATGAGTCCCGAGTGGATTCACAGGATGCTTGGTGCCAACCTATAAACTGGTCGATATGTTGAGATATCCTCAACCAGATTTCTTGACGGACAAAAACGTCTTCGTATGGACATTCGTAGGATGATGAAGATGGTCTCCAACGGTGCCAGAAAGAGAAGCGTGTGCGCATGTCATGAGATGTTATCTGCAAATTTCCCGAGTTAATTCCAGGTTCCAGGACGTATGGAAGCGATAAGGCAGTCGTCAGGCACGATTGAAAGGAACATGGAACAGCTGTTGACGAATCCGTCACAAGTCCATAGATCGTAAGGAAAGTCATAAGGTATAGGGATGATGTCATCGTTCGAATATCTTATGACTTGACATTAGGCTGTGTGATTGTCTGTGACTGACTTGCGGTTGAGTTGTAAGTACTTGATTTCACTTCTGAAACACTGATGTTAAAATGTGTCTCCATCTTCGTCTTCCTCTTCTTCTTCGTCAGCTTCAATCGTCTCCGCGACTCCAACCAGCTTGCCCTTCTCCAAGATGATCCCGAGAGCAGGGACGCTGCCCCGCTTGGCCACCGGCGGCATGAAAGTGGACCGGTGGTTCTGCAGCTTCTGAAGGCCGGCCACGTCCAGCGTGCCCTCGCTGGATCGGCGTATGGAAATCTTGTCCCTGACCTTCATCTCTTGCTTGAAGTCGGCGAAGGCCGACCGGAGCCGCTCGTTGAGCAGGTCGGCGATCATGCGGGCCTTATCGGAGCGGTTGCAGATCACGGCGTGGGCCCGCATCTCCACCTGCATGCGCTGAAGCTCGTTGCGGTGGATCCAGGTCACCACGCGCGGGTACTTGGGGTGCAGGCCGCAGTGCGAGATGCGGTTCAGGTGGAAGAACTGGACGGAGGTTGGTAGATCCTTGATGTCCATCCGCTCCAGATTCACGCCGTCCGCCGCGATGGTCAGCTGAGCCTTTGCCGAGCGGGTGCCCTTGTTTGACTTGACCCATATCTCCTGGAGAGGTTCGTCCAGGCAGTCACTCCCTTTTCCCTTGAAGGTGCGTAGGCTGCCCAGGTACTGGATGGTAAACGTCTTCTCCTTGGGTGAAGCAGCCGCTGCCGCAGCCACCGAACTTTTGGGCTTTCGTTTGAACATTGACAACGCCATGGCGATCGATAGCTGAAGCCAGATGTATATCGACAAGTTCCTTCCAGTTAAAACAACCAGGTCGCAAAAGAGAACAAGCAAACGGGTGAGTCAACCCGTACCAAAGGCTGATGGATGAAGGAGTTACCAAAACGCGAAGGTAAACTTCGTTCATAGGGCGGCGAGGAATTGAGAATGTGCAGTCTGTAACTGCAGAGTCTAGTAGATGTGACTATGTTGTCCGCTCGGCCCAGTTAAATATATATTCACTAATTCGGCGCCAAAAACTGCACAAAATTTGCAATCACAGTCACAACAGCGCACAGAACAGACGACAATGATACATTAACCATTGCCCCGTAAGGGCAAAGTACCAGAACTGTTATCAGAGCCAAGCATCGCACGTACACTGTATCGTCAATATCGCCGGCTATATTTAAACGTACCGTGCATGTGAGCGTTGCAACTCCGTACAGGCAAGCGCTGAATGCAAGTTGTTTACCAGAAAAGAAAAGAACGATACCCTATATACACTTGTCCCTAATGAACCCCAAAACTTGCCAATCAGACGAGATACCGCGTTGGAAATATGTAAGCCATCACGGTGCTCTTTGTTCGCCGGCTTTTGACCCTCTTTGCTCGATGTCGGTACAGGCTAGTGCGATACGGTACAGCGATGTATGAGCTGGTAACTCTGGCGTGTAGTTAGCAAACTTCATCGGTGAACGAAATGACTTGATGAAGCAAATGCGCTGCCGACGATGATGAAGATCCGCGTTGTGTGCGGGGAAGCCGGATTTTCTGCGCTCGATCGTTCGTCGTGTCATTATCGGGCCCGGGCGTTGACGTCATGTCCCTGTATATATATATATACGGCCGGCGCGAGGCGTGACAAAAATAAAACAATAACAGCGCATCATCATCGTGCTTGATTGAAATTATTGGAAAGCGATCGTTTGCATGCAGCAGAAGGGTCCCAAAGTCCAATATGGGGCAAATATGAAATTCATGGTTGTGTACGGCTTTCGTTTTTGCTGAAATCGTTACAGCGGATGCTCATCATGCAAAAATATTGATCATAGGGTAATTGCGGGTAGCTGGTTGAGCAGACTCAAAAATGCATACCAGTTGATTATAGGCTTGGTAGTTGAAATGCTTGCAACGTTTATTCGGAGGTCGTGGGTTCGAGTCCCAGCCGGTTCAGTCCCAGTAGAAAAAGATGATAACAAATACATGTCCACATAACAACGAATGACACATTAGGGAGACTACTTTCTATTAAATTATTTTACATTATGGAGACATTGGTCATTAAGGGAGATATTTTAGTGTTCCCTTAATGCTTTAATACCATTATTTAGAAAGAATTTTACGGTCGCAAGCAACTTCAAACGATTACTTTGCTCGAGGATAGTATAATTACAAAGTTTAGGGAGAGGGGAGTTTTGATATATGGGTTATGGATAATGCTTTTTGTCGGTGTACAAGACATTCTAAGGCAATCTCTCCCCAAGGCAACAGTTTCGGTGCTATATTAATAATATTAATATGATTATCGTTCCACTGCCGGGCAGTATTAATGTATAAGTATTCTGAGTGATCTCGCAAGGCCATTCACATTAGGTACTGTGGGAGGACGAATACTTCGGATGGCATCCGAAGGATCCCTTGGGTTCTTAAGAAGACATACACTCTACTGAAGATGATTTTATCGGCTAATGGATGCCCGGTCCGCGTATACATTTGGGGAATCTCCGCGGCTCGATGTCGCCTGCGGGTATATCGGGACTGATGTGCACTTTATGAAACCTTGGCGGAGGAAACTCCATGAGTGTTGTGAGTTCTGGCTTCTGATTTGATGGTGCGCGTTATTTTGTCAGCGCTTTTGTTCAAGTTCATTGTGGAAATTCTTTGCTACTTTCTGAAAATGCCGCCGCGGCGGCTATTCTTGACGCTGTGTCTAACTTCGCTGATTTGGCGACGCGGTGGTCACATTAGTATACGGCAGATAGGTGATGGGATTGCACCGTGCCTTTGATGATACATGCATGGCATTGGTACACAGTCCGATTATGTCAAGAGATTTGATTCGCAGATTTGTCCCTTGAAAACAAATTTAGGTAGAACGACAATCAATGGCAGCCATTTTGAAGATTGCTTGTCATTTTACCTATTTTCTTTTTCAAAGGACAAATCTGCGATGGCCCTATAGCCAAATATATCTTCCTGAAGGCATACTCTGCCTGTGTGCCAAATGTCATGCTTGTATCATCAAAGGCACAATCCCCCCAAATGTTTTGCCCTATCAAATTAAACTTTTTCCCCTCTGGAGGCAAAGATTGCTCAACTTACGGAAAATATCCGAAGAAAAACTCAGACGATGTTACGTAGTAATGAAATGAAGCAAAATAATAAGCCCAATTCCACTTTCTCATTAAAAAGAACATTCACTCTTGTATAACTGTCTGGTGAAAAAAACAACCCAATTATTTTCACGGCACGGCCGGCCGCAGACACATCTTGCAAAGGCCCGCGATGTTTACCGTCTTCCCGTCTCACCTATTGCCGCGTGGGGGAACTACTTGAATTTGGAAACAGTCCGCGGCGATGAACGAAGCAGCGGGGTGACGGCACGCAGCATACGGTGCCAGGGAGCCGATTCCCGGGTGGCACCGGTGCCACTATGCGCCCCGGCGGACCCCTAGCCGTATAAAGGGTGACTGAGCGACGAGTGTGTGAAATAATAAAGTCACCAAGGTGCGCGTGTTGATGGCGTAGGCCTAAAATAATGTTATTTTTTTTTCTGGTTATAGAATTTGCATGAAGAGTTCATGGCGGGCAATGCACCATGTGCAGCTCAGTTGGGAAGAGAAAGACGATAAAAGACGAAGTGCGCGAAAGGCAACTTGAAGAAAGAAATGTCACGGACATTATTGCATTTCTTTATGTTTCGGTGGGTTCTATTTGGGGGTAGGGCGGGGGGATTTAAAACAAAATCTTCAATTGTTTCTGAAACGAAGGCCCAAATCCTTTACAATAAAAGTTATATTTATTTTATTTATTTATTTATTTACTTATTTCATACAACATCCATCAGCGCACGCGCCAGAGACGGATGGAGATATTGATTAATTTACAATAAAAATGTAAAAATTTGCATGAAAATCATGACATCTAAGCATTAAATGAAAACATTAAATGCACAATAAAATTTCCCAGCTATTTAAAATGTTTATCATTAGAGTTCTCCGTTTCTAATCTTCAAATTCGTCCATCAACATCGATTTATCATTTGGCCTTCAAACTGCATTTTGAATCGCAGTATCATTTTGTTTCCTGGTTTGATGTGAATTCTTCGTGTACTGTACAAACAAGGACATCTTTAGACTGTGCTTTCGAAAGGTTTTGAAATGCTTGAATAATTGCCCGAATTCTTTTTTTAAACTATTGTCGACCATAAATTTGTCGCTTCCTTTACCGGCATACATGTATTTCAAGGTTGAAAGAGTAAAATCACGAGGCTATAGAACATGTATCATGTGACGTCATGCCGACATGCGACCGCCGGGCAACGCTAATATTAATGTTAGCATATTTTCATATTATTTGGCCTACATTCAATAGAATTATGTCAACACTTTTTAAACCATTCATTTTTTCAAAAGATATACATGTATACATATAATACAGAAGAGAAGTATTTGCTGAAAGTTTGCATCACGTGACCATAACATCTAATTTTGTAAAAAAAAAGGACACATCGTCTATAGGGTTGCAGACCAGTAAATCGGTCCGAAATTGCCTACGCCGGCCAAATCACGATTTGCATGCCCTCAAAATCTTCAGTATTTGAGAGTATTGTGGGCCATGAACTTGAGGGTTTGTAAAATATATGGGTGGAAGCCGTGCACAGGACTGTGAGCTTGTAGTTCTGTTCAATTTGGATGAAATTGGGGCCTTAAAAGCGCTCTATTTTGCAATGGAGTGTAGGCATCGTTTTTCAAAATGGCGATGGGCTTCAGGACTATTTTCAGGGGTGATCATCTTCGGATGGAAATTTCTCCTAAAAGTCATCAGTTGACCCCCCGTAAATTGAAAAGAAAATGAAAGATGATGAAATAAGCTTTAATTTGATGTGTGTCTCGAACACCTTGGAGAGTTGTGAGTATTTTCCCCGAATTTCTGAAGTGGGAGCATTTATCATTGGGGTCATCAATGGAAGTTTATTTACTGGTCTGGAACTATAGGCCTACACCTTGGGTGCCTATAAGTAATTAATATAAGTGCCTCTTCGTGAACGTGTTTTTAAGCCCGTTTCTGTCCTCTTTTTGAGTCGGGCCTACAGGTCAGTATTGGTCTAGCTATACATAACAGACTGAAACGCGTTTATGAATGATGAGGTAGCCATTTTTGTCGTGTTCCCCAAATGTATTTCATAAATTGTTAACTGTTATATGGGGTGGCACCAGACTATTTATGCAGCCTTATCTTCATTTTTTGAAATCTGGCTTAAAGCATTCGGGAATGTTTAATTACAAATTCTACATTATTCATTGATGCAGATTTGAATTATTTAGTAATGTTCTTGTTTTCATTTCTCTTCGCAAGTAAAAAAAAATGAAGATTTTACCTCACTTTCAATTCAACATGACCGACTCATGAATAAGGCCCATGAAATGACAAAACAGTGTATACTTTCAAAACGTTTGGTAATAAAATGGTACTTTATACGTGTATAAGTGCATGCATATCTTCCACATCTGGTGATTGCAAATATAATATTTGCAGTACAAACAACGTGGTTTCGTACGCTGAAAGGCCGACTGACGTGTGCATATCTTGTAATTTAATATTAAACAGAACGCAAACAATGCGCAGTTGTCAAAGTCAGTTAAAGAATTGACTATCAGGAAACGAGATTAGAAACTGACTAACTCGAAATGCAGTATTGCCCAACATTCCACTAATGTCACATGTGTTTGGCTCGGCAACAATTCATGGGCAACACTTAGAAACCACTTGAAGTTGACTCCACAAAAGCATATGCCTACTATTCTATATTAAACTCTGCCTGTCTGATGTTGGTCTTTCTGTCTGTCTGTCTGATGTCTGTGTGTCACGTTTTTTTTTGTAAAAGGCCCAGAGTGTGCGCAGCACAAAATGCAATGGTTAATAAGACTAAGGCTTGGTTATTGTGTGCAGGTCCTAACTATATGCTTCGATTTCACTGTCCTCTGAAGTCATCGTTGTCACGGTTTTTTTTCAGACTTTGAATAGTTAAATATTACAACATTGTCTTTATGAAAACACTCCAAAAGGTATCGCTATTACGCAAAACATAACGTTGATGATAAAAAAATGTGGCAAAAATTGCTTCACTAAGGCTTACCACGCCCACTTGGGGTCAACATGCAAATTGAGGTCGAAGCAAACATTAGTATCAACTCCACCCAGCAGGCATCCCGCGAGTATATACTATAATTAATACCGTTATTCACTATATTTTGTTCGAGCGCTTTTAGGCCTTCAAGCCAGAAGAAGCTTGTCCTTCTGTTTTCTGTCTGTACAATAATGTCTTCGCTCTGACGATATATGGCGTGTTAAGGTTTCCCTTACCAAACTCCAAATTTAGAAAACCATTCTATTTTGGATGCATTTTGACGAGACAGATCTTTAGATTGTGTTGTTCCTTTTCTCTTGATTTTATAAGATGAGCTCTTTTTTAGGTAAAAAAGGAATTTAGGGGCAAATCAGAATATAACCAGTGTATAAAAAATTGCAAAACTGAATTCGATTTTCAATTATTTTTCTTTGACCAACCCTTCAACAATTTCAATGAAAAAAAATCGGAATTTTCAAACAAGTGTTCTGAATGGCCCCTTCATAATAAAAACGAAGGAAGAATTAAAAAGGGGCCAATTTGGCTAGGAACATTGCAATCCTAAGGATAAGAATATTAAGCATTTTGTATTTGCAGATTGTTTTGTTGGATCCAGTGCAACCTTACAACGACAGCCTCATTAATAAAAGCATCATTACCATCGTTTGTACAGTATAGAAATGAATACCACTAAGTCATGTGAACTCTAGGTAGGTTTAATTGTTTAAGACAAAAATGCTGGAAAAGAAATCCCAATTTCTGAGCTACTTGCCCTTCGTGTTCATCTCGCTGTTTCTTACATTTCGTAAAATGACAAAGTAAAAACATTCTGTTGGTAAAAATTTACAAATACTTGTACTTGGCCACTGCATGCCGTAATTTTCCGTTGGCAGACATATGGTCCGGAAAAGCAGAACGTCGCATGAACCCGTCACCTCAAAATAATCGTAATTTAATGAGATCAAGGTTAACAACGAAACAAAGGAAACCTTCCCGATTGGACTATCAACAAAATATATTGTCACAGTGACAAGAAAATATAGGCCTAACAACCAAAGGTCATGATCACGCGTATGTGCGTCATCGATATCAAAGCAACCTTTGACCCCACCCAGCGAACTCATTGACTGCTCGATGGTTCAAGCTGTACATATGCAAAGTTGAGACTTTTTTGCACTCATTTCTGCCTTTTGTTTTGGTTTGTATCAAATAAATTATTACATTCTTGAAAGATGATACCAGATGAAAAATAACGCCGAGAAAAAGTCTCGAACTTAAAGCTATGGGTCATATTTCGCTGGTTCTTAAGTATTTTCAAGGGTGCTGGTCACCTCTAATTACTTCGATCTTTCGTTTACCAATTTTGTTTTTAATATCGTCAGTGATGAAGTTGAATATCCGTGTACATATTGTTTATGGCAAGTGACCTACCCACAATGCTTTGCGACGCATGTGTTCCCTTTACAAGTTTGGACGTGATTACGTACGAGTAAATATTGTCACTTGAGGGCGCTTTATGATCTACCTGTACCGAATGCATGCTTCTGTTGGTGCTTCAAGGGGGGAAATCACTGAATCGTAATTATGGCAAGAAACTAGAGAGGGCGCACTTTCAGTTAACGCTCCATCGCAACTTATAAAAAGTAGAACAACAAGAAAACAACTACATGTATACTACAAAAAGTAGCACAGTGTGCCTCCACAGGGCCAAGGGGATCTCGATTAAATGTAAAACTTATTCAGGATAAAGAGGAATTTGGATAACAAAAAGTACTTTGTTAATCAATGACAAAACCGTATACACAAGGAACATTGTCGCTTTGTTTTTACACCAAGACATTTCTCTTAAAGGCATCCAAAACGGTTGCACAGCGTCTATGATAAGCGAGCACATTCGGCGATTATGCAAAACAAGACTACGTCATGACATCTAGATAGGCTGCCAATTCAGCTGGCACCTTGTATCGGGTCTTTGGTAACCCGTTGTCGTATGACAAACACGTCAGCCAAATTGACCAATCAAAAGCTTAGTCCACATTTCTGATCGAATTGACTTCACAATTTCTAAAATTGACTCTGATTAAGTGACACGCGGGGTCGCATGAAATGTACGTGTTCTACATTACCCCCTTTGGACCAACACAGAAAGGGAGAACAACAGATCCTTTCAATCCTCGAGTGTTGGGTCTTTTGTTCAAAACAGTACTCTGTAGTAGGTTCATGTTGCTTAGTATGGGAGAGTGTTATTTTACGGGGACAAAGGGAAACACAATGCATTGTCCTCGGGAGTGAAGTAAAACAATAGGGTATGTGCATGTTAGGATGTTAGGATTACAATTTAATCGGACGTGCGTCGTGTGGCTCTGTACATCAATGTCTGATACCTAGACTATCAAAACTGTTTTTTTTCCCGTGTCTCCTTTCCTTAATAAAAAGATTTGTTCTGCTTTCACATCTGATAATAACTTGAAGGTCCAGTTTGGTCATCTAATAGTAACTCACAGCTTTATACAAAGTAACCGCACGTATCTCACTCAATCAATCCACACTGCAAAACTGTAGTGTTAATTTAACACCATTCGGTATCTAAATAGGACAACACCAGTAAAATTTAACACCAGACGGTCCTATACAGATACCAATGGTATAAATTGAACACTGCAGTTTTTGCAGTGCATATATACAACATATTGACCAACTTGAATGAGAACCACATAAGATGATTGTCATTCTTCACAAAGCACTTCTTGAATTCATACACACTGTCCTCATATATTGATTTCAGAATAATAACTACTAATGTTCGTTTGTCATTAGTCCGTGAAATGAAATGATCTCAATTTTACGCGCCATTTGTACACAGTCGCTCTTGAATTAATTGTTTTCGTCATTTTAAAAACTCTTTATCCATTTTTTTTTTAAATCTCCACAATGACTCCAATTAAACACTGCTGCTAGCATTAAAAACATTATCTGTTTGTTAAAAAGTGCACATACTTCTCGATTATCTTATACCGCAGTTTTAATTTTTTTTGTCATGGTATGCGTTGTTATTTACAGTTTATTAGCCTATTTTCCTCGTCTTCCACCGCTGTGACCCGGGTTCGAATCCCGCCTGGGTCAACATGAGGATTGGGTTTTCAGTCCCTACCTGATTCCGTGGGTTTTCCTCAGAATATTCTTCTGGTGTTTTCCTTCCACCTCTAAAACTGTAATTTCTTCTCATTGTCTCCGATCTATACAGGTTTTTTCAGGCTTGCGAGCTACAGTGCCTAGGGCGCTTATGAGGAATCCTTGGTTTCATTACCAGAAATAAATATATAAAGAATAATAATAAAATCAATAATAATAATAATAATAATAACAAATTGACAATAGGCGGGCGCTATTTGGTTTGGGTAAATACAAAAGACTTTACCCAACTCAAACAGCGCCATATAAGTGTCTGCCATATCTCATCTTCGTGTCCACATGGTTTACGTGCCGTCCTTAAGTAAGCCACTTTACCATAATATTTATGTCTCTAATAGTCGAAGAGATGGTTGTTAATGTGTTGGCTGCACAGATATTTTCCATGCACCCTGCATACCATGTTTGATCCAGGCGTTTTGCGTAGTTGATAATTGATCATACATGATCTTCTTAACATTCACAGGAACAGAGATAATGGGTTTTTAACAAGGTGCATCATGCCATGGCATTCGGTACACCTGTTTATGTATATATACGGTACCATCAGTAAAGTACACAGGGACCTTGCGTGTTTTTGAAGACGATGTTGTATACAGTTCAGCTCGGTAGGTAGCGTTCTTCTTGCCCGTCCGGGCTTGGCCCGTTGGCCAGGAGCTCGGTCTCCTTCTGAAGCACTGCCGCCTGGGACTGCATCCGGATCAAGTCCAGGTCCAGCTTGGAGTCCTCCCGGTTGATTCGCCAGACCAGCCGGCGGTAGTAGCAGGCGGCACCTCCCAGTGAGACGTTGAGGAGCACGAGGATCGTACCGACAACCGCTGCAATCACCGTGAGATGGTTGCGGTGCTGCTCCTTGTAATCCCCGCGCGACGAGTTGTTATCAACACCATCGTCTTTATCATGAGGGCAGCTGGCAGAGGTGCCGTGACCGCCAGGACCGGACTCGGGACCGGGGGCGATTCGGAGTTCGAGCACGGCGGCGTCGGACAGAATCCCCGTTTCCAAGTCGGCGCAGAAGTACCGGCCGGCGTCCCTCGGACACACAGCCGGCAGCCACAGTCGGCAGGCGGTGCCGTTCTCCAAGATGAATACCTCTGGAGCTGGTAACTCGGAGTCCATCTCTTGTGTGACGTTTGTCTGATTTTGGCCACCAAAGATCAAACTACGTTGGGTGCTGCAGTCCACGAACACCCACCGACAGGAGGTGATGTGTTGGTGGGAGCCGACCGGCTGGAGACGGCATGTGAACGTGACATTGGTCCCTGCCTTGGTGTGTACACTTGCGGGAGGTTCGATGACAAGGTCCTGCGTTACAACTCCCCTTACAGTCGCTAGAAAGCTCAAAGTCAGAAGAAAGCCCATTATTGCGCCGGAGCTATAGTCACGTAAATGCTAAAACAATTTCAGATAAGGAGCAAGATAACACAGAAGCCGGAAGCGACGAGAACACTAGCTGTGAATCAGTGCAGAATGAAGAAAAAGAAAAGAATAAATCATTTTAATTTCCTGATTCAACACCATTGTGCAATCATTCTTTCGCATTCGATCGCATTCAAGTTTATAAAAACAGTTGCCAGAGTATACCTGTATAAGGAAATGCTCGAATATCGTTTTCACTTTCAGTTTTTGAATGATTGGCAGTTTCTCTTATTGAAAAAAACAACAACCCAAAATAAACAGATTGGATTTATTCTTGAATTAAGTCACGCATCGCCGAGATTAGTTCATTTGGTGATTTGCAGATTTTTCATGTTGATTTGATTTTGCCCATGAATTTCATTTTTTGGGAGTGGGGGTGGGGGCGGGGGCGGGGGCGGGCGAGAGCCAAGTTTTGAGAAACTCTCAAGGAATGCCGTTTAACCCCAAACATTTTGACAAAAGCATAGTTAATGTCTCACAGTTCATGCGAACACCTGCGACACTGAACACCACTCGAGACTGAATGACATGTGGGTTGACATTGTGTTTGCCTCGAGATTGTCCAGTGAAGATGTGACTGTTACAGCAGATTTCTTGCAGCCCCAATCTTTGACTGTTCTGATACCCAATTTTGGTCGAGTCGGTCAAAGGCCATCTCAAGTACGATCGAAAGAAAACCACGGGTCCTTTCACTAGCAAAGTAAACAAGAAACAAGATAGCTTTTGACCCTGACAGTTCATTTGAATAGCTTGTGACTTGAATTGAAACTGGAGGACTTTTGTAAGACTTTTCGGACTTGTGCATGAGGACTTGTGAGGACTTGCTGTGATGGACTTGCGAGGACTGGTGGGGAAGTCTGAGGACCTATATCAACTTGTGGGGACTTGTGAGAACTTGGGATGGACTCAACTACAACAACAAAAAAACGTACCATTGTAGACAGTTGACTTGGTGGATCACGACTTGTGGCTGCGCTTAACGAACGGCTTGACAGAAATCTTCCGGTCCAGGGTCGTCCTCAGTTCCCCCTTGATATCCGCGTAGGAGGTCTTCTCCAAACTGTGCTGCGGGATGGTCTCATAGCCGCGAGGTCCTAGCAGTAGGTCCGCGTACTGCAGCGGCGGGGGCTCGTACTGCTCGTCGGGGAGATCGGCGCTGGCGTACCCGCGGAGCACCGGCAGCGAACTCGCTGGCCGGAGCTGCTGTTGCCGGAGACTCGGGCCCTTTAGGTTTCGGTCCAGTGTGCCGTGCCAGACGGCCATGGGGTTCGGTGGGTTGTAGGCACCATCGTCCGGGTCCTCCTCGGGTCCCGGCGGTTCGTGGCAGGCCTCGGGGTTCAAGTTCAGCTGGTTACCGAGGGTGTAGCTACTTGAGCTCTTACACCCCCTCGCGCAGTACAGGCATCCTACTGTCGTCATGACACCCAGCCCGATGGTTCCCGATAAGAGGAGGCAGATCGGTAGGCCTATCCATGACAAGACGAGCCTGGAGCCCTGAGTTGCCATGGTAACATTGCTGCTCACCGTGGAGTTAACTCCATATTCCCGTAGCTGGTTCCCATCCGTGACAACTCCAAATGCTGGGATAGCGGAGATACCAGCGAAAAGAAGAATGCTCTGAACACTAAGCATCATGCACCGCCTTGGTTAAAGGTTTATACGAACTCAAATCAGAAAACAAAGAATACAATAATTTCCAACATCAAAGTTCTTTGCAGAAAGAAAATAATGACAGCTCCAGCTTAGAGAAGAATCTATATACCACACCTCGGATAAACACCGAGACTACATTGTCATCTTCCTAAACACACGTTCAAAAAAATAAACTGAGATGATGAGGAAATGTTATGCGATCCATGCTATGGTGCACTCGAAAAACGAAACGATAGAAAATGAACCTTTACACAGAATCAGAAATTATTATGACAAGTTTATACGAGGAAATGAAAAAATAATAAATCAATCACTTTCATATTAGTGAGTGTAACTGAACACATGTCTTCAACCGAAACTTGGATTCCTGACAGTATATGGAAATAGAATGTTATGTAAATTAGATTATTGTTTTCAAAAGGAATGCAGGTTCGGTGCCGTGTATAAATCCTTAAACACATCTAAATCTAACGATAGCAACTGTGCTTAAAACTCGAGATTTTTAGATTAAAAACACGGACGGCAAAACATTGACCCGTGATTTGTGATTGTCGAAATTGGGGTGGGTCGTTCGAGAGGATATTTGGAACAATTTTCTTGAACAGCGCCATCAAGAGCTAATTGATTCTCATCACATCATCACATGGTGAATATAATCCTTCCACTGTCAGTTTATGATGGAACTGTTTTAGTTTAGTTTCGAGTCTCGTGGGAAAAAGAAGAAGCATTCATTTCCAGATATGCATAAAATAAAATGGTCGCGCAAGATAGGGACTCGTATATTATCACTGTGTGTCTTTCCTTTTCTGCTGCGAACATGACGCTGTCTTTTGTGCGAGTCTTTAAAAATGTTTTTGAAAGTTTCGTGGTTCCTTCACGAGTATATACGACGGCCCCCAGGAGACACAGGGTCGAATTATTTTGCTTATATCAACATGTTAACCGCATCTCATATCTTTTATATTGACATCGCACAATGTTCACAGCGACATTTCTAACGACGTAATGTACAAACAAAATAATGTGTTGTGCTGAAATAAAATCAGGCCTGACACTCCATTTCATTTAAGGGCCACAGTAGCTCCTCGAGACTCCATGAGGAATCTTGTACAACCTTTCCTTCCGCTAGAAAGACAAAAACTCTTTATTCAGGAAACATCTCTACCATTCCATACCAATCGGTCTTGTTTTATTAAATGGTGCACAAGTCTTTCAAAATGTACATGAGTGTTGCATGAAGACTATCCCATGCTCGGGAAAGTTCCGAATATAGAGGCACGAACTATGCAGTCCACCGATAGCTTTTTTCCCCTTTATTGCATCAAACGTCCGCCATTTTGTTTAACGTTTTAAAACCTTTTCAAGAGGAGATCGGACGACTCTTTGTTGAATAACAGACGAATATTTACTAAACGCTGAATTGATACATAATTATAACGGTCACCGAGTTGTGGTAAAAATACGCGTCGCACTGACGTGTTTTGTGAAATGGATTGCAGGACGCGTCGAAGCTGGGACGCATCCTAGGGATACGACGCGTCGCAGCGCTGCGATGCATTGTAAGTTACTATAACGGTGCGTCTTAAGACGCACCGTAGGAAATTTAAATTAGTAGTTCGTTTTGTTATTCGGCGAAGCGCGCGCAAGCATTGGCACGACGCGCGCGCGGTTGCTATAATTCGTCCAATAGACCGCTTGCAGACGCGATCGATAATTGACGCGCGAAGGTGCGCGACGCCATGTTGTGGGACAAAATGTGCATGGATAGATATACGCTTGTCCCACAACATGGCGTCGCGCGCCTTCGCGCGTCAGTTATCGAATGCATCTGCAAGCGGTCTATTCGTCGGATCAGTGCGCGACATCGCGTATAGTTGCAATTCAAAACAATTCAAAACATGATTCAGCAACTTTTGATTTGAAATTGAGATCCTAGAATGCTGTTTTTCTCGGAATATACAGCTGAAGCTGAGCTGAAACTTCATCAGGTTAGTTGTTCAGTATCCTTCATTAGATTTTGAACACTTTTGTTGCTTCAAACGAACAAAATGCACAAATTACAAATGATGGACTATATATCTTAAATACGGTAATACTAACGTGTCCAAACAAAATTAGCGTCCTTTTGAATTATAAACTCTCAGAGAAGAATTGACAGTCATCATCAATGTATTTGTTCATAAGAATAGAGCATTTTGCCGACAGGTCGTCCCAATTGCGAGAAATTTGGAGAGCAAGACAGTTGGGCCCAGACAGTTCTCAGTTGGGTTACATAAAGAAAGGGCCTCCGGGACACGGGCAGATAATGATGCCGACCTGAAGTTGAGTATTAAAATATGGATGCTCACTCATCGTTCGTAATTGGGTAAAAGACAATTTCTTAGTTAGGTTGCGGCGAGAGAGGGGTGCTGACCAGTGTCTTGAGCTCTCCCAAGATGATAGCGTAGTCAGTCTTCTCGGCCATCAGTGGCTGGGCGGACATCCTCCGGGCTCCCCCGCCAAGCTCCAGCTCGGCGTAGTGCAAGTGCGGCCCGTCACAAACTCGCCCCGTGGCTTCCCCCTCCCGCTTGGGGCAGCCCAGGGTCGGCGGTGGTGGCGACGATGGTGGGGGTGGATGATACAGAACACTTGGGTGGCTTCTCCTGGCGGTCCTGTGGATGGAGGAGATCCTCTGTGCCGTGGCTCCTGGGCCCGTGTCTGCCTCGGTGTTGCCACTGTCAGCCATGAGGCCAGGAGAGCGAGTTAAGAGCGAGGATGCTTCCGAAGGAGCTTGTGGTACAGTCAAGTCACCGACTTCGTCTTGTCCAGTCTCAGCCCTTCTGGGTCCGGACTCCCCCAATGGTGACGCCATCAGGGAGGTCTGCCTTCCAGCCTGAGCTGGGGCTTGCCTGTCCAGCTGCAGGGCACCACTCTGTCCGGCCGTCAGGACCTTCCACCGGACTAGGAGGACCGCCAACACGGCTCCCACCGCCAGCAACCCCACTGCGGCCGCTACCACGAACCAGCCTGCCGGTGACGCGTAGCTGACACCTTCAAGCTCGCCAGTTCCGTTTAACCTCACCGTGGACGTGAAGTCAACTCCGCCAACGGTTGTCGATTCCTCACTCCATCGTTTGATGATTCTCATTGGGAACTTCCCCTCTGAATCCGAGCTGAACCCAAGACTTCTATCAGTGGGAAGATGGCCCACACGTGCCCCCATACAGCACGTGCATGGCATCGACAACGATTGTGTAAAATCTCAACTCAAAATAGGGCCCACACCAAGCGTGCAAAATAAAACCAACTACACGACCACAAGGAAATAATCTCTATACGCGGAAACAAAGCTCCGGCCCAGCACACTCCCAGCAGAGAGCTATAGCGGGGATTTCATTACTATAACAAGCGTACAAATTGAAAGCAATAATAAACGAACTGAAATGACAAGAAAGTGTTTACTCTGAAATTATTTTCTGTTGAGATCAATGTCGATGTTTACAATGAAACCAAGAGGAGGAGGAGGTTTCAGATTAGCATGTGCATATAGATAAGACAGGAAACAAAAGTACAGAAATACTATAAAAATATGATACACATGTACTATGTGTATTTTATGATGTTAAAAGAAACCAAAACATTGCTTACATTTATAAACAGGAGAATGTTAAAGTTAGGTTCAAGTCAATTAGCCTGACCCTTTGCAGTTGTTCATTTTAGCTCAATACACTGGACGTATTTGAATTTAAAACTAGTATTTTAACAAATGATATTGTTGCAGAAAATACTTTTAAAAAGAGTTTAAAAAAGGGTTTAAAGAAACTCTGCCTTGGCTTGCCTTAATAATTCCCTCCTTTTTAAATTATGTTGAAGATACAATATGTAAAGTTGTGCAAGCAGATATCCTTTAATTTCTCAAAAACTACCTAACATGAAAATGAGTATTTCATATTGATGGAGCATATTGATTAAATTCATGTCTATAATCAGTGAAAATACCATGGAAAACCGTCCATGCAAATCAGAGATATAACACATTGTAAAAGGCTATGGGTTTTTCACCCATTGCAATGAGATGGGATTTACACATAGTCCGGGTGTCAAACCCCAAATTGGAGGTGGACCGTGCATAGGGGTCCGCACAAAATGTTTTTGCATGTTCTTGTCATTTGGACATTGTAGACCAATATTCCGACGGGTGCCACCTTGGCACCCTTGAGCATTTTTTAAAGCAATTAAATATGCAAATTAGCTACCGCCATTATGGTAAAATATAAGTTTTCTATATCTCTGCAAGATTTCGATAAAATTGCCCTACCCTCTGCATTCAGAAAAGGGGAGTCGCCTGTATTTCTAATGATAAAATTGTCCTACCCCCTTAATTTAGAAACGGGGAGAGGCCATATATTTCCTATGATAAAATTGCCCTACCCCCAACATTCATAATAGGGGGTCGCGTGTATTTCTTATAATCAAATTGTCAGACCACCTAAATTCAGAAAAGGGGGCCGTGTGTAATTTTAAGGATGATTTTGTATGTCCCCCTAAATTCTGAAAAGTGCACGGGGTCGCGTATATTTGTAATGATACTGTCCGCCCCTAAAATATTGAAAAGGGGGTTGCGTGTATTTCATGTCATAATTCCCCGACCCCCTCAATCCTGAAAAGGGGGTCCCGTACTTTTAACCGACCGCCGTAATTCTGAAAAGCGGCGTCGTGCGCATTTCTAATGATACCTTTTTAAGTCGCAACTGCCTTTCTTTAGTTTTGAGAAAACAAAACACCGGGGTCAGGTGTTGTCTAGTGATGATTTTTCCCGACCTCCTGAACTCTGCAAAGGGGAATATTCGTACTATGTAATTAAATTCTAATGATGATATTTTTCCCGACCCCTTAATCTGAAAATGTCGGAAAAGTCTGATAGACGTTATAAAACGGTTGCTTAATGTGTTTTTTCTAGCCCAAGTTTAACGTGATATTGAAACTTCCCAACCTCTTACTTTTTCTAGAAATCAGACAGCTGTTGGGATTTTGAGCCCAAAATGAACGTGGCAGATTTAATACATATAGAAGTTTCATTGCTAAACATGACAGTCGTATACTTCTTGCCCATGTTTACGTGACTGTTGTGTGTGCCCCGCGGGTGTTGGAAAGTTGCACGGATGACCTGCTCTTCCCTCGACGTTTGCTAAGCCTCATGCAGTTTCCAAGAAGGAAACAGTGTCGATTTACAAGTTAACCAAATTATATGACACTTCTTGCAAGGTACCGAGTTAGGAGCGAAAAAGAGTGTACGACCACAGTGCAACTTGCCAAGCAGAACTGAACTTCGACGCCGACCGGGAACTCAACCGACACAACCAGGTTAATAATAGCCGAGGCTCGAGAATTTCAAGGAAGGCCGGTTATTTGTGTTGATTGCAGATTTTCCAATGAATTGGTTTACACCATCCTGTTTATTCATTAAAAAGACATGCTAGCCCGATGCTTTTTCCAAACCTCTGTAGCGCAGTCACTCAGCAAAGTCCATGGTAGGAATTCATAGTCAATCCGGACACGAAGCAAACATTTTTCCAGTATTGGTAAAATTGTCATTTATTTCGAGTTGAGCCTATCACATTTCTTTTTCAACAGGGCAGATTCAGGCATGCTAAAGCCTGGCCTGTTTATGCGATTCGGGATTAAAAAAATAATTAACGACTTATTGTTCTTGTGTCAGTACACTGCAAAAACTACAGTGTTAAATTTACACCTTTGGTATCTATATAGGACCATCTGGTGTTAAATTTTACTGGTGTTGTCCTATATAGATACCGAATGGTGTTAAATTAACACTACAGTTTTTGCAGTGTATGTCTTAGCCCAGTCCTTCCCTTAAGTTTGAGAAATAGATCTTCTAAATCTTGTAAAAAAACATTTTGCTGTTTGGTTTTGTCATAGGCAGATTTGAACCAGCTAGATTTGGCGGTGGAGGGGGGGGGGTCCAACGAATTTATAAGGAATTATGGGATATCTTTCCATAGCTCCAGTATTAAATCATGTATGTGTCCTCTGTTTTAATACAAAACAGACGCGTGCTGACAGAAGGGAAATTAAATAACTCTCCCACAAAGGCTGCATAGTGACCAGTATAATTAAATTTGAAGAACACCATTTTGGGGGGCAATAGAATGCATGTGAATAATCACATGTAACCATGCAGGGGACTTGTACTGATTCGCGTTTGGTAGTAATTACTTTAATTAGACATCCACCATGCACGAAAAGACAATCATTTTTTCAACAAATCATAAATTACATGTGAAACTTTTCCAACTTTTATAGGTTTTCCACGCCAATTTCAATTACCACCCTACATAGAAATGTTCACCATTTCCCAATCAGTTGTTGTTTGGCCTTAAAGGATGCCTTAAATCAAGAATCACTCCGCCAAACCCTATTTTAATCTGAATTGGGGAAGGGGGGCTGCTATGCTGAGTGCATGTTAATGAAACAGACAGAAATTGATCTAATTTGGCACACGATTAGAAATTCTTTATTTTTCATTTCAGTATTAAAAAAAGAAAGATAATGGCAGATGCTAATTTGCACATAATTATTCATAAAAACAAATGAATCATTGAAAATGGCTTTAATGAATTTGTTTACCCCAAACATGGTCAAGGCACCTAGATTGATAACCTAGATTGATATATGGCGGGAGATAATTTGCATATTAATTGTTTTTGCATATTAATTGACAATAATGCTCAAGGGTGCCAAGGTGGCACCCGTCGGAATATTGATCTATAAGGTCCAAATGACAAGAAAATGCAAAAACATTTTGTGCGGATTCTAAATCACGCTTCCGTGGTCAACCCCCGGACTAACAGTTAACTAAATGTAGGCCTACATCATAGTGACAAGGCCCTTGCATGACTATCTACTGCATTGATATCGCACTAACTGTGTAAATTGGTGAAAACCCCGGCATAGCCTTTTACAATCTGTTAGATCTCTGGTTTGCATGAACGGATTTCCATGGTATTTTCACTGATTATACACAAGAGTATAATTAATATGCTCCATCAAGATGAAATACTTATGTTATAAAAAAAAAACAGTTTAGAGGATATCTGCTTGCATAACTTACTTTGGACACCCTGTATATTAACGACGCACAAACTAGAACAAAAACTGGTATCCATTCTTTACACGCGTTTACAGCAGGTTAATCCTGAGTACCAGTAACAATGGCGGAACGCAATTCAAGATGGCGGTAAACGGGTTCTCAGCGGTAACGTTCAGGACTTAAACACGCCATAAAAGGCGGGAACCAGTCCATGTCAAAGACACACTGTTATAGACCTTTCTTTCGTTTGTAAACACTAGCGTGGGTGGATGGAGTTGACTGTTTTGTACCGTATGTACAGTGAAATCTCGATAAGTCAAACTCTGATAACTTAAAACAACTGTTAAGTCAAATAAAGAATCAGACCCTCTGCTGTACGCGATCCTATTTTGACTCGCCATTATTGGAAGGCCCAACACTGCAACAATTGAAGAATATTTATAAATGATTACAACAATATTATTGGACTGTTGAAAATATAAAATAATCAACTTCCTAAACATGCCTTTTTCTTATGTAATGAGGGTGTTATGAGAAATCTTTTGGAAAAATATGTTGCCAACCACGGCTGCAATGTATGCGCTTGCGGCAGCCCATACAAAATGGCGCTCAACGTTCACAAACAATAGAAAGGTCTATCATGGCATTCACTCACAACTGCCTGTTTGTGTGTTCATTAAGAAGTGATCACTTTGTATTGATAATGGTCGCCCAGAGCCGCTCCATCATATGCCCCTCCTCCGGGTCCGAGTGGTCGTCTAAAAACGAGATGGCTCGCTCGTAGAAACTCCGCGGGTGCCGTCGGAGATTTTCCTTGGTGGCCGAGAAGCAGGCCCTGAAGCACAGCGGCACCGAGGTGGGCGGCGGGGTGCCGAACACGGCTGTGTAAAACTCCCCCGTTGTGCGCACTCGCCCTATTCGCATCTTGCCGGTGTCCAGTGCCGTCTTATACTTCTCTTCGTGAGGGACCTGTCCCCAGTCGCTGAGGGCTCCGACGACCTTGCAGTAGCGACCCTCGGCGGCGTTACTAACAAACTCCATGGGGTTCGGAAAGCACCATCTTTCGTCGAATCCGGATGGGCCGTGCCCCTGCAGAAACACCGTCAGATCGGCGAGGCTGTCGTAGTTGTGGATGATGTGGTATAAGAAGGTGTGACCCTCCCGACCCACGTTGGGGAACTTCTCCCATATGTTGACGGGGAAGGGCGGGGTCGTGTCCGTCCCCTTGTGGTACACGTGGCTGTGAGTGGCCAGCGGTTTCAACCAGTCCAGATTCTCGTTGTAATGAGAGACGACAAACTCCAAATCGGACTTCGATGTGTGAGGAGCTACGGAGACAAATAATAATAAAAAAATTGGTAAATGCCAGCGTGTCAACTCCAATAGACAATATACAGGGACGTCAAGAAACCACCGCTTGTATAGAGCCTTAATAGCAACCTCGTTCCCAGGATGTCGAGCAGTACGCTCTCACCACCTGCTCTCGCGCCCTAGTATTGGATCATTGCATATCCAATTTTTATGAGGAATATAGTCTGGTGCCTGTGCTTTACATCGGCGTTTTTTTGTATAGAGTGCCTGGGCCAAAACACAATCAATTCGTCGCGGCGTGAGTTTTATACGAAAACATATTTTTTTTTCAAAGTTAAAATGTTACAATCTTAACCAGCCAATATGCAGTATCACATTTCATATTAATATGAGCATATAGAAAAGGAAAGGATTATTTTTGAGAAGGCGTGGAGGTTATAATTACAATGAACGTGAGAACACGTAATGCACGTTGGAAATAACAACACCAACTACACGACATTGATCCATTACCTGCTAATTTCGGTATTGAATCAGGATACAACTATGCGCTAATCAAATATTGCCTTATCCCATTGTATTGTATTGTATGGTAATGTATTGTACATGTCTGTAGTCATTTTTTATGTATGCAGGGCCCCAATGGAAACCAGTTTAAAGCTGTTTGGGCATACTGCCCTGGGTAAATAAATGTAATAAATCATAAATAAATAAATAAATACATGAAGCAAGTTCCCATCCCAGGGCTTACTATTGGAAACGAGGTTGAAATTCAAGTAAGCCCTGGGGACGAGGTTGCCTTTATGGGTACCCATGAAGGAACAATAGGCCCTATTCCTAATCGAATGTTTGGGTACTAGGGACGCGAACCCAATCAAGGGTGCAACCATGCACAAGTAAATAGGCCAAATATCCGTTCGCCGAGCTCATGAATAGTTGTCATACATTCAAATTATTCTATATTAGAGAGTTCGGAGAGCCATGAAATTGAGGGATTGAAGAGATATGACAAAATATGTAGTATAGAAGCAATATCAATGTTTGTTACTAACTACGAGTAACTAACTTCCACATTTCTTTGTTTTTTTTATTGTCCCAGCCACGTGGTAGCCATGCCCAGGTCATCTATCACCAGATCCTAGTATGGACCATGGTACATCCACCAGAGGGGGTGTCAGTCTTGTGATCCTACTGGAGGGGTTGGAAATTGGCGGGAAAAACCTAGTATGCTTGTGCGCATTTACATAGGCTTGTGTACAAATGCATTGTTAACATAAAGATTACCTCCATCACCCCTGTGACCAAAATAGAACTCAATTGGCATTGAGGAGGTTAGTGTCTGGTTTTATTGACTGTTTAGGGCCTGAGAGATACCAGGGATTAATCTGGGGTGAATGGTGGACTTTGAGGGCTCAAATTACATGGTGTCATGGATTGATTCCAAGCAGGCGTCTGATATTATTCTGCCAAAAATTGGCCCGCCTATATATAGGGCTAATGGAGAGACATGATGATTTGTTCAGCAGCTATCCCGCAGCTAAAAACCAGTACAATATTTCTCAATTTGTGTGTGTGTTAAATACAAAAAATGAGATGAGAGCCAAATCCCATGGTTTTCTAGCTGGTAATCTGGTTAAGCAAATGCTTCCTGGAGGCCATGCACGTATAGCGAAGTGTGCGTCCATTGCAGAGACACGATATTGCATGTTTCCTGTAGTGCACGACCTAAGCGTGACCCCGTGTCTGAGTACGGTGATACTGTGACCGTTTTAGCCGATTTTCGGCTAACCTTGACAGAATTTTTGTTAAAAAAACGAGTTTGACGGAAAATTTGACAGAGAACGGTTTTTTTTCTGGCAGAATTCTGCAAAAGTGGTTATTGGACAGAAACCAGCAGATTTGAAACAAAAGTGTACATTTGTTTTTTAAAAAGCTCCAATCAATTTAAACAAACCCAAACAAACAAAACAGGTTGGCTGGTCTAGGTGCTGATATGAGGTTCACTGGGAAACGGACTTTGTCGTGCCTGAAATTTACCAATAATTTCACAACATCTTCACTTGTAGATTGTTTATTATGTAATTTGAATTTAATTAAGGCAATACTGCCAATCTGCATGTGATTTTAAGTGTTTATAGTGTATCTCGAGTAATTCTGGGAAATTTGGCAGACTGACAGATTTTCGATGTGCATTTAGCAGAATTTGGCTCTGACCTTACGGTCATCCTGACGGAGATATGTTAGTATTTTAGCGAAGGCAGAAGAAAAATGTGAAAGGGATGTTCATTTCCCCAAACTGCACACATTACAATTCCTACACGGCACTTACGTATGCTGTATACATGTTTCTTGGCGTGGCGGACAGCGAGGTACGTCACGATGAGAAAAACAACCAGTATGCACAGCAAAATCACTTGACGCCAACGACACTCCATGCCCACCATGGCCGCTCCGGATAATTAGAGTAGGCAATAAACCACACTAGTTATCACCCAGTAAACCACTGTAGTAGTACATGCATGGAGGAATAAGGTACATGTACATTGTACATTGTACATGTACATGTACATGTATGTAGAAACATGTACAGCTGACAAAGAAATGGAACCCACTATGTGTGATCGAAATTTATGTACATGGCGCGTGAATTATAAATAGCGATTCAACCGGTGCTAATAAAAGCGTAGGTAGCAAGGTCCTTTGTTGGTGCTCACTCGAGCATGCATGCATAATGCGCCATTCTCTCGCACTGACCATGGGGCTATATAAACACACTGACCTTCAGGTTTATATTTGTTGTAGGTGGCTAGTATATAATGCCTTGTTTGTTAAAGGGACACTGGGTCCTTGAACAGCCCAATTGGGCTACAAAACGCGCTTTGAACGAAATGATGTTAATCTGAAGGAACATTTAAAAGTAGGATATAAACATCCACACAAATATCCTTTCAAAACTGGGCGGTTTTGTGTTTTTTTGTATTATGCGTGCGTGAACGATTTTCGGGGTCCACTTTTGCGACCCGCAAAATTCGAGCTGTTTTGATGCTAGTCATGATTTCATCCGTAAAGTTATTCGCCTTTTTGCGGACGTGTAAGAAACCATATTTTGTGCATTAGTGATTGGTCACCGTGCGCTGTTCGCGAGCACGGTGCTGTGTATTATATATATCGTACATTATTGACTGAAAGTGGAAACGACAGGAAAAGCGTATTCGTACAACTGAGGTTTTTTTGTCTTTTCTCGGGAACGGGTTGGTTTCCTTTGAACCAGATGTTTGAAATAGGATAAGTAAACGATCCCAAAACGTGAAATGTTAATTCGGGGATCAATTCAGGACCTATAGTGCCCCTTTAAGTGCTTAGGTCAAAGGAGTACGGAAGTGTGACGTCATAAGTACGCCCGCGTGTTGGTTCACGGGCCGCGCTAATATCTTTTGTAAAAAAAATTGTGTACGTGATGTATTCATTGACTGCAAATAAACCGCATGAAAGGCACGTGACTTCGCTTGCCTTTTTGAGATGACAGACACCAATGGAGGGCGCGATTCGCTTTTGATGTATTTGTATTTACCACGGACCTCTATGGGGAAAAATGACAACTATGCGCTGTAGTACAAACAACTACTTGCGCCGTTTCCAGACACAATAAAGTGGAATTGCCTCATATATAGGCCGTGTTATTTTGTTTACAAATTGGATGTTGTTGTCAATGCAAAGATGGTATGAAATGCACTTGGAAATGACTGACACTGGGGTGGCTGTGTACTTGACCCAGTTACCGGCCCGTCAATAGAGGGCGGTATATACCTTAAACAGACCTCATGATGCATTCATTACGCCAAAAAAAAAAGTCTCTGGTTTCTGGTATGCGCGCGCGTCGCCGTAGCCATGCGCGTCGGCAAAATGAAAAAGGTTTTTTTTTTTTCAATGAAAGATGATGTCTTAAAACCGCCAAACTCACTGGTTGGACTGGAATTCTGCTGCTGCGCAATTACAACGTGTTTTTAGATGGGGTTCTGATATATTTCCATATATTTGCACTAAGTTTAGTCGGGCACCATTTGCAGTCATCAGCCGACATTTGAAGCAAAAAAGTCGGGTAAAAAAAAAAAAGCCGCGTCGCCGCACCACTTTTTGGACAAGCTCCATACCAGAAACCGGAGAAAATGTCAATAAAGCAAGTGTCAATAACTATGAATTGTAACCACTGTTTACAGTCTGAGTTCTTTGAAGGCAGTGTCCTTGGTGTCAGAAGTGGGATCACACAACCCCTTCGACTGCTGCTAAAGAAAAATGCAGAGTGGCAGTGGCACCCATAACAAAATCTTTGAGGAACTACAACTTTTGAAACTACAAAATAACATCGTGGTTAAAGGTGGACTATTCTGCCACGGATCATACAGGGATTATTCTGCCCTTGCATGTACAATCACTTTGCTGTTTTTTTTTGTGGGGGGTGGAGGTATGTTTACACAACGGACTTAGGTATTCGCACTTTTCCTGATGCGTTTTTATTATGGGATTTTGCCACCTGGCTTTTTTTCCTCGTTATATTAATAATCATAATTTTCACTTTCAAGAAAAATAACCAGGTGATAGCGGTATGAAACTGAAAACACGGAACTGCGAATTTGCACCCACTCCATTTCCGCTTTGGATATTATGGCGTGACTTTTCTGTTTTTTGTTTTTTAGTACTAAAACACTTTCTGCTTTTATTTCAATACCGCCAAGGTCACTTATAAAAAGACAGTGTGTTGAAAACTAGTCCCACATTCTACTGTTGACTACGAGAGGAAGGTTTATTTCGAGTCTTAATTAAACATGGAGACGCAGTATTTGTCGGTTTCCTTGGCTTTTCTGGCTTTGTGGTGTCTCGTTGTTCCAGGAGCCAGTACCGGGCGTACCTCAGTAGCAGCAGGTCACAATGTCACCCTGCGCTGCGTATCATCCAAGGAGATCTGCGCGGACCAAGACAGCCACGGCTGGTTCCGATACCAAGGCCACTCCTTCCTGGTGCTGAGCCGGTGCGATGAGGTCCTGGCAGCGGCCGGGCCACGGGTGTCGGTCTCAGTCGAGAACGACACCTACCTGTTGACGATCGCCGACAGCCGGCCCGAGGACTCTGGCAACTACGTCTGCTTCAGTGCTCTGAACTGGCGCTTCTCCGAAGCACTGGTTCTGGAAGTGAGGAGCTCTGGGATGAATCCTGCCGCGTCTACGGCACCGGGCAACTCCTCGACGTCAACCATGACGCCGAGTTCCTCGACATTGACGGGGTCTGCCGACAGCATCGGAAGCTCTACGGAGTCGCGGTGGGGTCGCGATTTTACTGGAAGCACAGCACGGGACAACGAGACGAGAGGCGGCTCGGAGACCATGGGACACCCGTCCAAATCGAGCGAACTCCCCGTCGTCTGGATCGTGAGCTGCGCCGTGCTGGTCTTCGCCAACGCCGTCACGGCGCTGTTCGCCGCGCGTTTGTACCGCCGCAAGAAGACGGTCCCGCTGCTGCTGCACGCCGGGAACCCGACCGGACTGGAGATGAAGACCTGGAGGCCAAAGAGAGCCGAAGAATGCCGAGGAGAGCCGATGCAAGCCGATGCCGTCAAGATTCCGGAGATTGAGCTTCAGTACGCGGAGCTAGTCTTGTAAACACGAAAAAGTTCAGGAAATAACTTAATATAGTAAACAAGGAATTCATTGCTCATCTCACTTGGACTTTCTGAAACATTTGACATTTTTAATGAAGCGAACTTGATCGATCTTGATAGTTTTTTTTTTAATAACTATAAATTTGACGGGCTACCTAACAGAAGGAAAGGCTGAAAGAACCTCCATCTTATTAAATAAAAATGACTTTCTAAACTACATTTAAAAAAAATCAATTTGTCTGAGTTACCTGTGAAAAATCATAACTGTTACCTCCGCCAAGGAGGTTATGTTTTCATCGGCGTTTGTTTGTTTGTTGGTTGGTTGGTTGGTTGATTGATTGGTTGGCTGCTTTGTCTGTAAACGGGATAACTTCAAAGGTTTTGGACGGATTTTCATGATTTTTATTTTTGAGGTGGTCCTTGGTACAAATACAAATCGATTTGATGTTGGGCACGATCCGGATCTGGGTCTGGATGCAGGATTTGTTTTTACGAATTTTTTTGGGGGGGTGTACTGACAATATGGCGGGGAATTGTTTGGCCTTGACGGAGGCTTGTGCTCTCTGAGTGCTTTCTAGTTACTGTTATTATGTTATGGCTTCTTAAATTAACTATGCATATATATATGGCCCCAATGTATATTTGGGGCCAAGTGAAAATTAATTGGGATGTGCTTATTCAAGAAATTTGTCAGAAAATATTACCACAGTGTAAAGTAGCCAGCAAAGGATGATTATCTTTAAAAAAAAAATAATAATAATAATGGTGATCACAATAAAAAAGGTCTTTCGGAGAGACAAGAAACTAAGTAAATTTAATTCATCTGAAATCGAATGGAATGTAAGTTAATGCCCACGCGTGACATGCGCACGTTCGGAATATCTTGATTATGGGCCGAGTGCCAACATTCCCAAGAGTGTTAGTCATCGTGTTGATAGCGCCCTCTAACGCGTCGGGGCTAGACCTTGGTCTTCATGAGGGACCGGAAACATCAAAGCTAACGATGTCCAAATCAGGGCTCGGACAACTGTCAGCCAACTCGACTCGGGACAACTCGACCGGTTGGACAACTCGACCGGTGGGACAACTCGACCGGTGGGACAACTCGACCGTGTGCGCGTCGAACGGAAAGACAAGTCGTCCGTTGAGAAAAGTCGTCCGTTGAGGCATGTCGACTTGCAATTTGGTAAACGGTCGAGTTGTCGCACCCGTTGAGTTGTCGGTCGAGTTGTCCCGCGTTGGCCGACATTCTCCAATTTAACCGGTCTTGGAACAAGTCTAGGGCAAATGTTAATGGCAACCAAAGTCAAAATGACCTTGACAACGTCTGTTTACGGAAGCGATTTTTCGTATTAAAGCTTTAAATGGAATTCCCAGTAAAAACATCTACTTTCTATTTCAGCCGTTGGCCCTATGCGTCATTAACATCCCCTTGCTTTCGAAAGTACTACAAATAGTAAACACAGTCAATACAGACCTAAATAATTACTCTTGTTTGTTTTAATTAAGCTAGCGAAACGAGGAAATTGTGAACTTCTCCTGTGCTTATTTGTATCAGTTTGATTTTCTATTCTGTATGTAGTGATGCTATACCTAAATCTGTGCGATTTGGGGAATTTTCCATGTTTATATTTTTGGCCAGCAAAATATCGAGTAATGTTAGTTTTCCAGCCGAGTGACAAATCTGAAAGTGGCTGTAGGAAATACAGGGTTGCAAAACACGACTTTATCACAATGCCTGTTTTGACCACCTAAAGATCCAGATCGCTGTCCCTTTTTTGAACCGAAAAGGGGGCACTTGTTATCCCTTCCTAGACCTAACTTAAATTTTGGGTAAAAGGTTTTTTGCCGGTAACTTAATATTGCTTGTATGCTTAATTTTAAAAATTAATGCGTTTTTTTAACTGTAGCATGTACATTAACGTCTATAAACTTGGATAGGTCTACGCATCTGTTTGTACCCTCAAAATGGCGTCGTGACAGCGCCCTCTCCCGTTCGAGAATAAGACCTACTGGTTTTGCCTAATAATTTAGGCGTGAGAAGCCAATCAGTATAGCGCCCTCAATCCTACGGTCATAGCGAGGAATTTTGGAGAGAGAATACAGCGCCCTCCGTTGCCAGGATTTGCATCAGAATATCATTGCG